TTTAAGAAAGCATCATGAACCTTTTTAAGCCTGCAAAGTGACTCTGTGTGGAGCCTGACAGTCAAAACTCAGGGCCAGAAAGTCAAGCAGGGGATTCCCTTTCCTCTTACTCACAGATCAACATGAGCTCCCTGATCTCTCCTCCTCTGTGACCTGTGGGCGATCCTGATCTGCTTTTAATTCAACAAACATATAAATAGTTTGTGTTGTCAGGGAACCTGTTACTTAACAAAAACCTGTAAACCACCAAAGTTCACGAGAAGCTGAACTTTTGCCAGAAGTTTCCGCTGATTTCTTTGTGCAGGAAAAAGTGTGTCAAGAGTAAAGTTTCTATAAGGACTCTGTGTGATTCAGAGGTTGTGGTTCCATGAGTCAAATATTCAAGAAGAGGGTCCTCAATTTCAAACAAAGAGCTGGTGAGAGGGCTTATATCCTCCTCCTTTAGATCATCTCAGAGAGAAAAACAGGTTTTATACTGGGTATAAAAAAGACATTCAGAGAGGCTGAGTCTTTCAGAAGGAAAGATGGGAAGAGGTTCATCACACTGTGAGAGACTGTGTGAGCTAATAGTTCAACAGTTTCAGAGTAATGTTCCTGGATGTCAAATGTGAAAAAATTAGTGGATTTCATCATCTAAAGTACATTATATCATTAAAAGATTCAGAGAATATGGAGAAATCTCTGAACTAAAGGGAAAATGACCAAAACCAAGACTGGATGGTCCTGATCTTCAGGCCCTCAGGCAGCACTGCATTAAAAACAGACAGGACTCTGGAGTGGAAATCACTGCATGGACTCATCTGTGAAGGCTCCATTAATGCTGAACAATATTTATAGGTTTAAAAGCAACATCTGCTGACATCCAGATAAAGACTTTTTGAGGGAAGACCTTCACATTTTCAGCAAGACAATGTCAAACCACATTCAACAGGTATTACAACAGCCTGGCTCTGTAGTAGAAGAGTCCTGCTGATAAACTGGTCTGTCTAAAGTCCCGACTTGTCCCCCACTGTAAACATTTGGAGCATCATGACACCACAAACAGAACAAAGGAGACCCTGAACTGTTGAGCAGCTGAAATCCACAATCAGGCAAGAATGGGACAACATTTCATTGTTAGACTCCAGAACCTGGTCTGCTGGGTTCACTAAGGTTTACAGAGAGTTGGTAAAAGAAGAGCTGAGGACACATGATGAGAAATATAAACCTGGAACATTCAGTTAAATATTGACTTCAAATGATGAAACTCTGATTAAATCATCTTTCACACAGTGTCCAAATTCCTTTAAATTCTGGTTTGTACTGTCACTTCATGTTCTGCCTCAGTCTAAACCATCATATATCATCAAACCACAGATTGTGAAAGCACAGTGACTGAGAAAGTACAAATACTTTCTGTACTCGCCTACGCAGAACTCAAAAGACACCCACATTATGAAAGGTCCCAGATTAATAATAAATATAATCCAACCCATCGATGAGTAATAACAGCATGTATTTCTGTATTCATTGTCTTCATGTGTGCGTGATGTTGTGTTTTGTCTTGGCAACAGCAGATTCCCATGTTCCCTGAAGCCCCCGCAGAGAGGGTGGGCGGTGGTACAAGCCACTTTTCCATTCACAGCCTCATGCGGAATGTACCAAATCCCAGGGGTGTGGGGGGTCAGAGAGAGAGAGAAGCAGATGTGAGTGCTGATGAGTGTGAGTGATGGAGTGAACACAGAGTAAATAAACAGCCGCGACCACAGGAACTCAGCGCCTAAAAATACATCCTGATGTCACCCACATCTCTGACTAAGACCCCCCCTCTCTGTGTCGGACAGTTTCTGCATTTGCTCTTAGTCTTTGTTCATTAGAGCTGACCGCAGCCCCGTCAGATGCTCTAAACTGTGGTTTAACAGGGACATCAAAGTTCAGCGACACGCCTGCCAATAATTATCACAGACACACACTGACATCAGGCCGTCTGCTGTTTGATCCTCGTGTCTCAGTTTGAAGCCTGGATTTATCATTTTCTCCACTGTCACACTCACACATGGGCTGATTCAATATAATCTAAGATAGACCTCTGGATCTGATGGCTTGTTTTTATGCTGTTTGCACTCATCAGTTACATATCTTTAGAGACAGATCCTAGGTATCCATGCATTGATGCTCTTTTTGTCCTTTATGGCACTCCATAGTTCAGTTACTGCAGTGTCTTCCTGCTTCCATGGAAGAAAGTAATGACTGGTTCTGAGATCATTTGTGTATTTGTCTGACAGTCACAAAGAACAAGAGTTTCAAACCTACAAAGAATTATTATAGTCAGACTGTCTACACTGGAGGAACTGATTTAGACTCTTAAACTGTTGAAATAAACATTTGACACCCCAAATTAATCATCGTGAACTCTGTCAAGTATGAATGATATCAGTTCTTTTTCATTTAATCTGGTTTTATGTCTGAAATGTTGTAAACAGTTGAAAGCTAACTTTACCACCTAAACTTATGAGTTGCAATTGTTGTTACTGGTACTCAGGGTTTGGGACTGGGCAGGACTGGTACCACGCCCACCCCATATGACTGAATAATTGTGATCCGATTATGTTAGTGTTTCCAACTGTCTCTGTGTTGTCATGTGGACAGTAAATTACCCAAAAACCCTCTGTTGTGGTTAAAATAAAAATGTTCATCTGAGTCAGACACTCACGTTTTTGCCACAGTGTCAACAGGCAGGGGTGAACTTGAGGTCTTTCCTGATGTGAATTCATCACTATTGTTGTGGGGGTTTAACCATCAGAATCAAGAATTTAAAGCAGGTGATCAGAATAAGGTCTGATAAAGTCTGCCTCTGTTAGACTCAGACTGTCTCCTCTGCACAGCTGCAGCTTTTTAAACTCTTAAGTGGATAAAACCAGAGCCAGAACTTCCTTTCCTGAGATCCAATCCTTTACCGGCTGGTTTTATTCACAGGAAAGAGCTCCTGCTGTTGCATCATTTTAAAAACCTGTCAGCATCACCAGCTTTCACAGATTCTGTGTTTTCTCTGAGGGGGAGCCTGGATTATCTCCTGAAAAAGCTGAGCTGGTTCAGTCCTGTGTTTATTTTGTGTAGGTGTTAAAGAGGAAAGGGGTAATCAGTCTGTCAAGGTCTTTGTGGGTCTGTTTGAGGCCCCCTCTCTGGAAAAAGTGTGTTTCCCGCTGTCTGCCACATGCTGCTGAGTCCTAACATCAGGAATGTTTAGAGCTAGGACCATGTTTGGTGTTTTTATGTGTCATATATCAGACTCCACCCGAGTCCGAGTTCAACGAGTGACTGTATATGGAAGAGCTCATGTCAAAGAGCATGACTGGACCACTGTGCCTGGGGATAAAACGCACAGAGACAATATTATCAAACACTGATGCAGTATTTCATTCAGACTGAAAACATGCTAGAGATGTCTTTGTCTGCTTCTGGATCTTTCAGTAACATTATAAACGTTCAGCTCCTAGTTTTTGATGAATGCAGTCCTGCTGAGGAGACTCACGTGACAGACCACAGCAGATACATGGACCTGGAGGCGAGTCCGCTTTGTCATCTAATGGTATTTTCATCAGAGCGGCTCTGTCAGCCTGCAGGTCACCTGAGGGGAGAGGAAAGTGTGTGCAGAAACACGTCCGAGCATGAGGATATGCAGCAGAAATGCATGGTGGAAATTTTCAGCATGACTCTGAACCCTTTGGTGTTTCTGTCCTCTCAGTTATTTACACCGTATTTTAATATTTCAACCTTCTTTTTGGTCAATCATATCATCTCGTCCTCCTTTCTTGTTGTTTTTTCATTCATTTGTGAATAAATGTATTTTTTTATTCCATGTTCCTCTTGCAGTCTGCAGAAATAAACTCCTTAAACCGCCTTAGCACACTGTTTACTCAGAGGCTGTCTATTATATGAACATGCATCAAGTTTCTTCATTTAGGACATGATGTTTTTTTCTTGGAGCACAAAGAAAATGTGATTATTTTTGCTGATTTCTTAGGAGGACAGATGTTGGTATCAGCTTAATAAAGTTTGTTAAATAAGAACATAATTCACCAATGCTAACATGTTGTACGGAGTATTTATCAGTTGTGCATGTCCCCATTAGTTTCAACTCAAACCGTAAAATAAGTAAGTAATAATAACCTCATTCATACAGACACAGATAGGAGCTTAAATGTACTTCTGTACTTTATAGATGAAAATGTTTGACTATGATATGAAATATAAATACATAAAATAATAATACAATGAAATAAAGCGGGACAATAATATCACAACCTGTGATCAGAGATAAAACTGCATTAACACTTTACAATACAATACAGTAATATAAAGTATAATATAATACTGCAAAATAACAACATGGTATGATATGGAATAATACATGACTGATATGACGCTGCTGCATGAAACAATACTGGGTGTTACGAAACTGAAACACTCTGTATAATATACTGCTGCACAGAACTGTATGATATCAAGGTTAACAGAAGTTTAATAAGATTATTCACACAGTAAATATATTTATTTAACCATTAATCCCTTAGATCTGTGGATCTACTAACAAAAACAAACATAACTAAGAGATGATTCAAGAGTTTGAGTCCAACTTTTATTTTTAGATGTTTCTTTTTTTTCAGTCATTTCCCCTTTCAGTCTAAAACGTTAGAGAAAAACAGGACTACAGAGCTTCCTGCACATGCCACAGAGATGTGTGTGTGTGTGTGTGTGTGTGTGTGTGTGTGTGTGTGTGTGTGTGTGTGTGTGTGTGTGTGTGTGTGTGTGTGTGTTCAGTGACTTTCCATCTGCTCCGTCATGCTTTGGGGAAAAGAGAGAGAGAAGGAGAGGAAGCCCGTCCAGACAGCGTCAGATGACATCATCCTCTCTAATAACATGTGTGAGTGTGTGTGTATGTTTGTGTGTGTGTGTGTGAGAGTCAGGGGGCGGGGCCTCACACCCTGACTCCTAATAAAAAGAGAGCAGCTCATTCAGACAGAAACAGACGCTTGAGAGACTGAAGCTGAAACAACAAACCTGCTGAGACTCACCTGAGACTGAAACAACCTCCAGGTAAGAGACGCACCTGAACTGATACACTAATTTTGAGACTAAAACATGTTTGTTAAAGTCTTTGAAACTAATTTGAAAAAGTTTAAATCCAGTTTTAGTCTCTTTGATTCTGACAGTGAATTATGTAAAGATGATTATATGCAGCTCAAATAGAGATTTAACACCATTTATTCAACTTTAAGTCGACAAAATATCACAAAATATTTCTTATTCTCTGACTAAACTGCAGTTATATGTCAGTTTTAATTAATTCGTTCATTCATTTTAATTCTTTAAGTCAAAAGAGTAGCAGTGGAGCATGATAAACAACCACTGATCTCATTTAACTTTTTAGAAACTTGGTACTTTTTTTATCTTCAATACTCATGCAAAAGATGTTTTTATTGTTAGATATCAAGTCAAACTATTGAAGCTCCTGTTAAGAGTTTTTTTGGCATTAATGAAATAGACTGAGATTCAAATTGGAGCCTGTCTATGATACACAAAAGGAAACAAGATCACCAGGTATAGGATTCATGTTTCTTATAGTGAAGCAGTTCGAATAAATGATGAAAAACTTTAGAGTGAACTTGATTAGCTCGTTCAGAGTGATGGGACAACTCTTTATAAAATTGCTCCAATTAAATAAAAGAACAATAACAAAAAATGTGCTGCTAAAAAAGAAAATAATCATTTAAAAGAATTCCAAAAAAAGGTGTTTTAACACTCTGAAAATATCTAACTTAATAATAATTTGTATTTCTTGATGGTGTAATTCTGCATTTAATAATGCTTGATAGAGTTTGTGCTATGATGAATGCCTGATGAATAATTAGATTTTCCCACTGAATAGCAGCAAAACAGAAGTTATATTTTATTATCTACACCTAAAACAGCGCATGAATAATCAATAATCAAAGTTTGCTTAAAGCTGCAGAGGCTGATTGTGCAAACAGAGAGTGAGGTCATCTAGCTGACCTTTGACCCTGACTATGTGTACAGCTGATGTTCCTACAGTTTACATGAACATTATTGATGAGTGAGCTGTTAATCAATGAGATTGCCTGCTCTGATTTTCCATCAGAGACCTTATGAAACTCCAGCAGGACTACATTTAAATCTCATGTGAAATATTAGGCATATTAGTCTTTCACATTTTTCTCTGAGTTTGACATTATTTACAGAAACTTCTCTAAGTTGGATTTTTGGATGACTTTTTTTGTTTTTCAACTTCCTTTTTTTCTAATTCTTATAAAACATTTAAAATTGAAAAACCAGAAGCCGTCTAGTTGACTCATGTGAATCACTTCCTGAACCCTCAAGCAGCTTTATTTGGTGTTTAATAGTTTTCTCTGGAAGCCTGAAATATCCTGAGCTCCTCCAGCCTGACTCATACAGGTGATTGAAACCATGTGTTTGTAGTTTCCAGTAGCATTGAGTAATTCGGTGTTCACCCTAAATCAGAAACAGACTCGCTGTGGGCGGATAGTTTCCCTCAGAGTCATTAACTCTGAGGAACATTTCATCCTGATGAGGTCGGAGAAGTTTCCCTCCTTCATGATGAATCCCTAAAAACCACAGTCAAGCTTTCACTTTGAACCACAAACTCAGACAGACTCTTACTCTCTTCCCCAGGATGCTTTGCGTGTACATCTTCGTGTTGCTGACCCTGAGCAGAGCCAGCCTCGGCTCTCTGCAGGACAAACAGACCGACTTCGGCCTGAAGGTTTTCTCACAGCTTGTTCAGGACTCTACAAACCAGAACCTGGCTGTGTCCCCATACGGCGTGGCCTCGGTTCTCGCTATGGCTCAGCTCGGCGCCGCAGGAAACACTCGTAAGGCTTTAACGGCAGCCATGGGATTCTCTCTGCAAGGTGAGTGATTAATGATGCATAATAAAAATGCAGTTTACTGTGAAACCAGAGATCATGACAATGACTGACCATCCTGGTGTTCCTTCTGCAGAGCGGGGGATGTCCCGGCAGCAGCGTCTCCTGCAGCGGGACCTGTCCAGTGAGGAGGGCGTGGAAATAGCCAGTGGGATGATGGTGGAGAGGAAGATGAGCCTGGAGAAAGGATACCGCCGAGCTCTGGCCAAGGCCTTCCAGACTCACCCCAACCAGGTGGATTTCACCAAGCCAGATGAGGCCATCAGCGTCATCAACGCCTGGGTGTCAGACCACACTGCAGGTACTCACACCAACATGTCAACACCTCGCCGTCTGCATGACTCGTCTGAAAATTCAGTGTCCTACTTTCTTGGCCTACGTCTCCTGAATCTTTTTTTAATCTTCTCCTTTGTAGAAGCCATCCCAGAGTTCCTGGCGCCTGGATCTTTGTCCGATGAGACCCGTCTGGTCCTTCTGAACGCACTCCACTTCCAGGGTCTCTGGAAGGTCCCCTTTGACCCCAAACTGACCCAGGAGAGAATGTTCCACTGTGCTAATGGCAGCAACGTACCTGTCCACATGATGAGGCTCACCAACCGCTTCCATTACGGTATGCTCAAGTTTAAATCCACGACAGGAACTTTAGGAGGCTCTTAGCACATTTCCACTGCAGCAAACAGGGTCCACAAAAGTCCCGAATACTTATTCCAACTTGCCCCAAGTCTTTGTTGGAAACTTCTGTGTTTCCACCAAAAGAACCAGGAACTTAAAATCAGCTGTTTTCAGCACTAAGTCCCATAATGAGGGGAAGAGTTCCTCTAGATCATACCAGGACTTAGGTGTTTGGACCAGCAGCCCTGAATATCTGTAATTGTTTAAGCACCAGCACACATCAGATTCACATCAACGGAATAGTCTGAATTTCTGCCAAAATATTCCAGACCTTTAATGCTCAGGAGCAACTTTTCAAGGACCTAAAAGTTCCTCCAGTGAGGTGTTTCCTCTGTTTGGAAAAGGTGTTTGGGTTCCATGAAGCATAGACAAGTATCGTGGGTTTTAACCTCAGTACCTGGTAACAAGGTAGTTTCACAGTGGAAATTTAGACAACAACATTCAGAAGGACCTATTTTTTCTAAAAGTTCCCAGGCCTCACAGTTCCAGGCACTTTTGGTGGAAACATGACTAATGTTTGTGTCTTCACATGTCAGCTTAATAGTGTGACATTGAAATAGCACATATTTCACCTTCTCCTTCCTCCACAGGTGAGTTTGTGACCGCTGACGGCGTGGACTATGATGTCATCGAGGTCCCATATGAGGGCAACTCACTGAGCATGCTCCTGGTGTCTCCCTTCGAGCCTGAGGTTCCACTGAGCACGCTCAGTGCAGATCTGAGCAGTGAGAGGATTCATCAGTGGAGGGCGGAGCTTAGGAACGTGAAGAGACAGCTGGCCCTGCCCAGGTGAGTGACCACCTGTCAGACAGAGAGACAGTTGAGGGTGTTCTTTAGATTTCACTAGATTAAGGGTTCATCTCTGAATCTGATCTGCCTCATAAAGAAACCATGTTAAACTTATGTGTGTCTGCAGGTTTACTCTGGACTCTGAGGTGAACCTGAAGTCCGCATTGTTGAAGATGGGTCTGGGAAACATGTTCAATCTGGCAACAGCTGACTTCACTCGTATCACTGGTGAGTAAGGTTCAAACAGGAAGATACCACATTAGAAATAACCACCATGTATCCAGACAAATCTAACCTGTGTGTGTGTCTTTGCAGCTGACGAGCGGCTGTGCGTGTCGAAGGTTCTGCAGAGAGTGAAGATCGAGGTGGACGAGCGAGGAACCAGAGGATCATCAGCGACAGGTGAGTTAATGACTCACTCTGCTGAGTTCAAAATCACATCAGGTCTGATCTGACGAGCTTCATACAAACAGACAAGAATGGTTAAGTTAGTTATCATTTTGACATCAAGTCTAGATGTCCAAATGATACGTTTACGTGGAGGATCAGAGATCTGAAACATAAAATAAAAGGACAATTGAAGAGGGAATTTTTCTGCCAAAATAAAAACTGTAAAAAAATAAAAACCTAAATTCAAATAACCTGAAAAAAATCTTTTAGGAAGCTGCAGAAAGACCTCATGAGAAATTTAGTGGAAATTTGGCCTTGTTAAATTATGAACAAGTTTGAATAGAAACTCTGAGAGTTCAAGTTTCTTTGGACACTGACCCGTTTCTCTGTCTTCCAGCGGCCGTGATGTTCTCCAGGATGGCTGTGGAGGAGATCACTCTGGACCGACCCTTCCTCTTCCTCATCCAGCACAAACCTACAGGTAACCCCCCTTTCAATAACATCTCATCATTACCCTCTCATTATGAACACTCTCATCGTTAACCCTCTCATTAATAACTCCTTCATTATTTAAACCTTTTTCATTGAAACACTACAATCATCACCCATGTGATAAGGTCTCAGGTACAGTGTCTCATGTGTCCACCTCTCTCTGTCTGTCCAGGTGCCATCCTGTTTGCAGGTCAATTCAATCAGCCTTCTGAACGTCAGTAACATGGAGTCGACTTTCCTGCACTGTGTCTGACTACTGCTGCTCCAGACCGAGAACAACACAGAGAGAAACAGGACTAACTCACTGATGGTTCATAAATGATGGGCTCAAACAGACAGACCAGGACAGATATTGTAAAAAGTGAACTGGGACTTTATTTTGAAAATATGTGTAAAGTTTTATTTATTTATCTGATTGTTTGTGGTGGACGGGACTGAAATAATGAAGGAAGGTTTACTGATCAGACGGACATCATTGCACTTCACATCAGACGGACAGTCGGCTGCACATTTAACCACAAAGATTTATTTTTATTATCTGTATTTTTATGTCTATTTTTGTAATTGTTTATGTTACATTTGTATTTTGCAATATTTATATTTATTAAAGTATTATGTTTTTACAAATGCTGCTGTGTCTGTAGTTACTGTGGAGGATCAACACCGCTCTCTAGTGTTCAAACTGAGAAATGAACACAAACCATATTAAAACATTTACGATTAATAATATTGAGCTGGAAACAAGATGATTAGACAAACAAACAATCATCTTTAAAAAATGAAGAACATTAACCCTTTTATTAGTGAAGTGGACAGAAGTGTTCACTTTTGAGGTCTTCAGCGAGCAGAACCAGAATCTACAGAGACAACTGGGTTTAGAGAGGGGAGAGAGGGAGATGGAGAAAGATAAAGGAGAGACTGATAGATGTTTTTGGAGCAGACAGGTCTTCAGCAACAGGACGTCTTCAGCAGTAATCCAGAGGAACCTACATGATGATGGAGCTCAGGGACTTCAGAAAATACTGTATCAATGACTCTGTAAAAGCATATCTATAAAGACGTGTTTTTAAAGGAAATGAAAAAATACAATTCACTGTTACTGTGTAACCCTCTATCAAAAGTTTTAAAAACATGACTTGATGAACCACTATCAGGATCAGTTAAATTACTTTTTTTCTGTAAATGCATGGAGTCAACTGTAATGGACACCTACAGTATGTACCCATTTTAAACAGTGACAACAAATAAATATATATAGAATATAATAAATAAATAAATTGTATTTATTATTTATTATTATTATTATTTAATTTAAAGAATTTAAAGATACATGCAGGGAAGTGTAAAAAGACAAACTAACTACAACCACAGAAACATCTTGAAAATGATCATTATCATCTGTAAAAGGTAGTCAAGAAGAGCTCTTTCATTGGTTTATGTTGCAGTATTTCCGGAAGAGGAAGGTCAAAGCTGTGGCTGGAAATCAAAGAGTTTTGGTGATTAGAAACGCTTACTTAAATAAAGTTATACAACATTGAAGTTTTGTTGTCATTGTGAAAATAACTAACAGTGTAACATTTTCCTGAGCTGCAAAGTACTGAATAAATAAAAGACACAACAAACATAAAAAATTGAAAGTTAATTGCATAATATTGCATAATATTTAAAATCCTGAAACCCTTTCATTATAACCTGGTAATAGAGTTAAAGTTAGCGTCTTCAATGGGAAGCTGTTTTCACCTGACAGTCCAAACTCAGGGCTCACTGAAAGTGTATGATGTCCAGCATAGACATAATAAAAGGGTAGACCCCGCTGGGGGTGCTGCGCAGCGAGAAATGCGGCCGCCATCTTGGTCAGGTCAAGCTTCCCATACGCTCCGGTCAATCATATTCATTCATTCATTCATTCAGCGATGCCGGAGCACTGTGCGGCGTATTCCTGTGCCAACAGGCGGACAGCAGAGAACAGGGCTCAAAAAATAACTTTTCACAGTTATGATTAAACGTTTTTTCAACATTACACTTGACTGTAGAGTCATTTGTAGGCCAAAGAGGAAGACTATCGGTCAACTCCAAAAAGGAAACAGCATTTGCGAACAGCTAGCTTATTCACAATAATAGCAACTTTGGTCGATTATCAACAGATTTGCATTAGATTGAAAAACTTTTGTTTGAGAGAGGTTCTAAGAAACGTTAAGAAACAAAATAGAAAGAAGAAGGAAGAAAGTGAGCTCTGTTTTATTAAAGATTTCTTTGTGGTGATCTCCTGTTTCATTTTGAAGATTTCCTAAGGACAAAAACTTGAGGAAGAAGTGGGAGATTGCTGTTAGAGGGAAAAATTCGCAGCAAGTGATTCCTCTGTGCTGTGTAGCCAACAAGCAAATTGATATGTAGTTTAGATGCTGTCCTGTCATGCTGTTCTTGTGTTTAAATTTTTTTGATATGTAGGCTATATATTTGTGTGTATTTCTTTGTGTGTATTTTCCAGTTATTAAAATAGTGCTTCTATATGACATTATTTGTGTGTGTCTACAAATGGATAAATAAAATTAAACTAAATAAAATAACATCAAATCAATATATATTGAATCGGCCTATTAAAACCGCCAGTTATTAATAATTATTGAGACATAGCAGGAACCTAGCTCTAAACCTAGATATATCCTTGATTAATTGTTATACTATAATACAGCCACTGCTGCCATGTTCTAAAATATCATTTTATTCATTCTGAGTATTTGAAAACGCCAAAAAAAATAAAGCCTCTATTATGCCTCTTTGAATGGCGTTTGCAGAGAAGAAAATTACGTAGTATTGAGCGAACTATGATTCATTTAATGCGCTCAGACTTCATTCCGCCGGTTAAACAGCGGTGCAGAGTGAGGCGGATGACCGGACCAAGATGGCGGCCGCATTTCTCGACAGCGCCCATTCGTGGTAGCGGCCGATGCGGGGTCTATCTTTTATTATGTCTATGATGTCCAGCGCATGCTCAGCAGAGGCGGAAGCGCTGTGCAGCAGGGAATGGGTCCTGTGTAGTTCCAGTCTCTGACACACAGATATGGACTGTCCCCGTTAGCCGCGGAGTGTGTGCCCGTGTGTGTGTCTGTGTGTGTGTTCAGGTTGGCCCGGAGGTGTGGACGTTTATCCCGTCAGTAACGTCGCCGTAGTTTTAAAATAATCCGTCGGAATGGTGAGTTTCTGCTTCTCTTTGCTTTAAAATTGGCAGGACCTGGCTGCTAAGCTAATGCTAGCAAGGTGTATGATTTCAGGAAGTCTACCTGCGCTACCTCTACCTGGCCTCCGTCAGCAGAGAGGTTAGCACGTAAGCCAACAGGCCGAGTGATGAGGACAGGTGTTAAAGAGCGCGTGACACTCCAAGGCTACCTTTAATTAACAAACAAGTGTGTTTAAATGACATTCAGGAACTAACGGCTAATTCAGGTACACAGGTAGCTGTAATTTAACACCTGCTGCACGAGCCGCCTCCTCGCAGGTAAAAAGGTGAGTTCCAGGTATTAGTCTGTGTCATAAATGGAGGAAATAGCTACCTGACGGTTATCCAGGTGTGTTATTAATTAAAGGCTAACTCTAATAGAGCTCTTACTGTCCTGGATCATCAAGGTGTGCTCAGGTATGAGGTTCTCGTGTCACTGTGGAGGTTTATTAATCCAATTACCACAGTGCTGTTTTAACTGTGAGTTTACTGATGTGTGAAAGAGCACATGGAGGATCAAACCTTGAGCAGGGACGCTGAGTGACTGAAGGAAACTGTTATTAATCAATTAACTTATTTTATTTAATATTTGTTTATGATCATGGCTCGCCTCATTCTGTCCCTCGGCTTTTCAGACATACAGATATACACACCTGCCTTCTCCTCCTCTCCCTGTTCTCTTCTCTCCTCCTCCTTCTCCTGCTCCTCTGTATTTTTTCAGTATTTCTCGTATTGCACAGCCCCAGCTTTCATGACCTGCCTCTTGAACAAACAAACCCGGGTATATAAAATGCCATTGCCCCCCTGAATAATAACTCTTAATGAAGGAGCACCCCTGAAAATCGGAGTGCAATCAAATAATGGTTCTTACAATGAGAGCAAAAGCTGAGATTAAGAAACAATTAAAAATAAATGTGCACTTATAAATCAGAGTAAAACCAGAGAACTGAAATATTTAATCAGTTTTATGAGAGAAGAAGAAACTAAATACTTATAAACATTCAGATTAGGGCTGGGCGATAAAACAGCATCAATATAAAACATGCTCAACATGCTTTTCGATATTCGGGATCTTGCCATGTTTTGGTAGACTATATGGATAGCCAATGAAAAGGGGAGTTGCTCCGGGTCCACTTCACGCTGGACCAATCATGTGCTGAATTAGAACCAAGTAGCAAACAACTGCGTAGTAGCAGGCTGCAGCTACATGCAACCATAGCCCTTTTAACATGTGAGGCCGACAGAATTGTGTGAAGAAAAAAAAATGTGTGCTACTCCCAGCAGAAATGTAGATCAACAGATGACGACATCATCAACAACACTGGCATGTAAACATCAGTGGTGTGGAGGTATTTTGGTTTTTTTGAGGTCGGACATGAAGCAGAGTAATGTGCACTGCAAATTATGTTGAGTACATGTTCTCGCAAAGTCGGGGAATACCTCAAATCTTTTTTACCACCTGAAGCAGTGGCAGAGCACACGCAATGCAAAAGGTGACAAACCCTGAGCGGAGCAAGAAGCCCATGGCGTCTGTTCAGCAGAAACAGCCGACCATTCAGTCCGCTTTCTCTAGCGCAGCGCCTTACGACAAAACGTCAGAGACACTGAGACCTGATATCGACTGATATGAAAAAAATATATCGTGATAAACTTTTTCCCATATCGCCCAGCCCTAATTCAGATATATGTTTTTTGTAACCAGCAGAGGAGATTTCACTGCATTAATAGTGTCAGAGTCACATGTTGAGCTGTCACACATTGCTGGCATGTTTGCTGTCCACATACTTTTGTCCATGTTAATAATCTCTGAGTGTGATGGTTAAACAGCTGCTCATTAAACTGTGTGAAGTTTTTTTTTTTCTGTGCTGAATAAATAAGAGTGGTGTACATCGCTGCTGAGACAGTATTTATATCCTGCTGCAGTTAATCAAACAGGAACCAAACCGTCACACACACACACAAACACAATCACACACACACAGAGCAGCTCTGCAAACACCCAAACGTAAGAAATAGATCTGTGTTAGTGTTGTCATTTGAGTAAAACACAATACCTTTGAAATGTTATTTTAGTATTTGATTATAAATACACTTTGAATTTGATGCCAGCAACACATTTTAATAAGGTTGGTACAGGGACACATTTACTGTTGTGTTTTATCAGCTCCTCCCAATGTAACTGGGACTACAGACAGGCCAGTTTAGCAGCAGGACTCTTCTACTACAGAGCCACGCTAACCCCCTGTTGTTAGAATGTGGTCTGTCATTGTCTCAAATTAGAGCAGTGGTTCTCAAGTCCAGTCCTTGAGGCCCACTGTCCTGCATGTTTTGGATGTTTCTCTGGCTCCAACACACCTGATTCAAATGATTAGCTCGTTATTGAGCCATTACAGAGCTTGATAACGAGCTGATCATTTGAATCAGGTGTGTTGGAGTTAAAGTTTAGCTGTTGGCTCTTGAAAAGTTGACATCTTACGGGTGCAGCATGAGTGTGAACCACACAGCCTGTGTTATCTTTAAGTTAACATTGCAACAGCTCCTCAAACAGCAAACAAAGAGCAGCTCAAAGTCAGGTGACGGCAGCTTTGCAGGTCACAGAAGTTTAACACGATCTAACCATGACAGTGTGTGAGCAGGACTGTGTGTGGACTGATATAATGATGCCAGTGTTTACAGCTGAGAACTCTTGAAAAAAAGCAGTCATATGAAATGTTTCAGAGGGTAAAGTGAGTTTGGTGTGTTCATCCTCCTCTGTACAGTTTAAAATCAGGAGTAACAGCGAAGGTGTTCAGACTGAGGACTCCAGTTTTAGACGTTGTAGGTTTTTATTTTGTATTTTTTTCCAACACTGAAGATTCTGATTCACTTTCTGCAACTGAAAGTTTTTGAAATTATCTCACGACTTTACAGAAAGGTGAGTAATGTTTGTGTTGATGTGTAGTCTGTGTTTTTAAACATTAGTTCAAATCCAACATAGTCTGTTTACTCTGTAAAAGAGGGTGGGAAACTGCCTTAATGAGGCAATTGTAGACCAACAGCTTCCTGTGATCCGTGAGGTGAACTTCCTGTTTGTCTCATTGAAGTCTGGTGTGTCTGTAGAGAGTGATGGTATAGCTGTCTGTGGTTTTAAATTCTCTCTCTCTTCTCTTCTCTTCTCTTCTCTCTTTTTCTCTCTCTCTCACTCTTCTCTCTCGCTCTCTCTTTTTTCTCTTCTCTCTTTTTCTCTATTTCTCTCTCTCTCTTCTCTCTCTTTTCTCTCTCTTTTCTCTCTCTTCTCCTCTCGCTCTCTCTTCTCCCTCTCTCGCTTCTCCTCTCGCTTTCTCTTCTCCCTCTCTCTCTTCTCCTCTCGCTTTCTCTTCTCCCTCTCACTCTTCTCTCTCGCTCTCTCTCTTCTCCCTCTCACTCTTCTCTCTGGCTCTCTTCTCTCCCTCTTTCTTTTCTCTCTTCTTTCTTCTCTTCTCTCTCTCTCTCTTCTCTCTCTCTCTCTCTCGCTCTCTCTCTTCTCTTTCTCTCTCTCTCTCTTCTCTCTTTCTCTGCTGAGATCCTATCTGAGCCTGTTAGTACGAAGGCCCAGAGGGAAAACTGCACAACAAGTTCATGAAGGGAAAAAAACCACTTGTGGTAAATTAAAGATATTGCAAACATAATTCATCAATGTGGATATATTTCATGAAACACAGTAACAAAATTAAAAAGAATTCAACAATAAAAAGGCCAAAACTAAGAAAACATTTCAAATATACATAATGTTTTTATTAAGACGAATACAATTAACTAAATTCATGGTACACAGAACTGTTTCATTAAATGCAAATCTATTGAAGTCAAAAAACCTTTGACACAAAAATTTTTTTGCCAAGTGCCCAAAAAATATTGAATCACAAAAACACTTTAAAATGATCCAAATTCTTGTTGAATTTTGTTGTGCTTGTGAGTGAAGCATTTAATATTTTTGCACTTTGTGAAATAGTTTTGTGTTTTGTAAAAATGTTAAGCATTTTCCTAAATTTTTTGTATCATTTAATATTTTGTTTTTTATTGAAATTGCTTCATGATCTTTTTCATTATGTGAAATACTCTTCATCTCAAGAAATACTTTAACATTCAGTATTATTAAAATATATTTTTGCATTTAATAGAATTTTTTGTCTTCTCTTAATAATTCAATATTTTTATGTCAAGTACTTTTTGTTTTGTGAAATTATTTAAGCATTTTGCATATTATGTAATATTTTGTGTTTCGTGATTTTTTTCTCCCTCCTTGAAATATTTTAACATCATGTTCCTTTTGAATCATAAAAACTGTTCATGCATTGGACCCTGTGGGCCACCGTACTGCAGTCATAGAAACCCTTCAGACTAAAGCGATCATATTAAACCCTCCATGTTCACAGCTGCTGTTGGTGTGCTGATCTTCTCTCTGCGATTCCTTCAGATGCGTTTCATGCTGCTGTTCAGCAGACAGGGGAAGCTGCGGCTCCAGAAGTGGTACACGGCGACCGCCGAGCGCGACAAGAAGAAGATGGTGAGAGAGCTGATGCAGATCGTCCTCGCTCGCAAACCAAAGATGTGCAGCTTCCTGGAGTGGAGGGACCTCAAGATTGTCTATAAACGGTAAAAATACTGAATCAGAAAGTTTAAATTGTTTCTGCACAGCCTGAGCTGAGCTGGTTTATCACAAATGCCCCGTCACTGAGCCTGTTTGGACCGAGGTCTGCTCACAAAGACACGAAAGGGACGCAAGATCATGGGATCAGCTATGACCTGAAGAGAAGATGTCCTATGCACAAGTGTCTTTGCACTAGTGTGTGTGGGCTCTGGTTCCAGCCTGTCCTGTTCCCAGCTGCACACAGGTGTTCCTTGTATGCAGGTCTGTCTGACAGTCCCTGTGTGGTCCCTGATGTACGCTCGTTAAACATGAATATCTTTTTATAGCTACAGTGTGTTTGCATTTGACCAAAGTACATGTTAATGGACTGCTGCGGTGTTAGATAAAGAGGGTCACTGTGATAAATACTGAGCTAATCATTTGCATAAAACTCTGACAACTGGACCGAACATCTGAACATTTAAAGGGATAGTCATGTTTATTCTGAAGTCAGGTTGTCTATAGTTGGTGTTAGTTATTGTGTTAACCTGTAGAGGATTCGGGTCAGCTGAGCCACTTTGTTGAGAAACAGAACAGAAGTTTGACTGTCACTCTCTGCAGACAGGTCAGCTCTGTCACGTCACAAATATTATTGTCCTCAGTGTTGGTGTTGGTTCTGTTTTGTAGTTTCTCTCGGCTTTTCTCAGGGACGATGGTTTGATGAGTAGTTTCTTCACTGCAGTCTGTCGGTGTCAGCTTTTGTTTTCTGCTGTCTTTCCTCCTTCCTCATTTTTTCACACGAGGAAATGCTTCAATGCAGATTAGCAGATTAACAAGCTGCCAGAGCATCCTCCGCGTCAGAGCCATGAAGTCAGTGTCATTTTCACGGGGCTACATCAGAAGGCTTCAGAGTGCTGTGGATGGTGGGCAAGTTCCCAGCAGGGGTCTCTGTGGTTTAGACTTCTCTTTGGTCTGATTCACTGACCTTTGGCATTAAAAATGATCATTTTCACAATCCTGAATCATGCGCTCATTTGAATATTTGCAAAACAGTGAGAAACTGATTTTCTCTCCAAATACTCAGACCTTCAGATTCTCAGATTTCTGTGGATATATAGATATAAAAACTTTCAATCAGAGTAAAAACAGCAGATTCGGTTTCTTTACTTTGGTTCTTCAACAGAGCAGGAAAAGTTCCTTCAAGAAAGAGAGAGGGGGCGGGGGAGTGCGTGTGAGTGTGTGTGTGTGTGTGTCAGTGAAAGAGAGAGAAAGAGAGAGAGTGTGTGTGGGCGCTGAGCACAGTTAGATTTCATGTGGGAGGAAAGGGAGAGACCCAGCTTTCCTCCCTCATTTATCTTACTACACACACACACACACAGAGACACACAGCTCATTATTGCCAGTAGAATAATGCAGAGGTGGACAAGCATCACAAAGGAGAATCAGCTTCAGTGTGTGTCTTGTCTTGTGTAGTGTAGTGTAGTGTAGTGTAGTGTAGTGTAGTGTGTGTGTGTGTGTGTGTGTGTGTGTGTGTGTGTGTGTGTGTGTAGGCGGTGATCACTGAGGGATTTCCTGCAGAGGAGATGAACTGGGGGAACTGCATCGTAAAAGCTGCTCTGCTCTTCATCTCCAAGCTCCTTTTTAACCTTTCAGAGGAGATTTTTTTTTTTATTGATCTCACAGATTTGAACAAAACGTCAACTTTCAGTCTGAAAGAGAATAATGGAAAATTAAAGAGTTATAATTAATCAAATAAGTAGAAGTTTGGAAGCTAAAAGTCGTTGATTTGAGAACCTCAAACAAGTTACTATTGATTTATTTTCTGGTCAAGTCTGTACTGCTCTGAAATTCCTGCTTTTGTTTTATTTTTGTGTACTTTTGCTATTAATGGTCTATATTAGGGCCTGACTGATATGGATGTTTTGGGGCCGCTGCCGATACCGATTATTAGGGGGGAAAAAATTCAGATTACCGATGAAACAGCCGATTTTTTACCGATAAAATTGGGCGCTTTAATCGGCTTGCTGATAAATCGGTCGGGTCTATATTTAGGTATTAAAATATAACTGCAGATGCCAAGGCATGATGACTCCTGATTGTTTAGTTGTTCCACCTGCACTTAATAAATGTGCAAAGGCTTCCTCTTTATTGTGTATTAAAGCGTGTGTGTCTTTGTGTGTGTTTTCCTGCAGGTACGCCAGTCTGTACTTCTGCTGTGCGATTGAGGAGCAGGACAACGAGCTGATCACTCTGGAGGTGATCCATCGTTTCGTGGAGTTGCTGGATAAATACTTTGGCAGCGTGAGTCTGACTCTCCGAATGTTCGCTCTTTCATTTTGAATCAGGAGGCTGCTCACCTGTTATTTATTCACTTTTACGTTCCTTTGTTTCTCAGGTGTGTGAGCTGGACATCATCTTCAACTTTGAGAAGGCCTACTTCATCTTAGACGAGTTCCTGATGGGAGGAGAGATCCAAGACACGTCCAAGAAGAGCGTCCTCAAAGCCATCGAACAAGCTGACCTGCTGCAGGAGGTAAATCCATCAGACACTGATGATCCAAAGTTTCTCCCAGAACTGTCAGAACCAAGGACAGTGACTGAGTCTGTTTTTATTTTGATCCTGATCCACGAATCTTTTTTAAACTCCATGAAGCTAAAGCTGCAGCTGTCCCCAGATTGCAAAAGTAGGTCTTGAAATGGATAAGAGGAGTTTCAGGTCCTTTGCAGTTCTGAATCCGCAGCAGGAGGATTTAGGTCTGAATTATCTTATATTGAAGAGATGCAGACATTTTAAAGTTGTTTGTATGTCTGTAACTTCGGTTGAAATGTTGCTAAACTTAGTCAGGACGCTGATGGAGAGGAGACTTTAATCTTTGTGAGTCTTTACCAGTCACATGTATTCAAATAAATAAACAAGCTCTAAAAAAAGACTTTTTTGGCAAACTTGAAAAGGGACATTTTTATCACGTCTGATTTTTAAAGTCTCATTTTTGTTCTGTTATATCTTCAGGGTTTTATGGTGGGGACAGTTTTTGCTCAGACTTGTTTGTTATATTCAAGACCCTTCAGCTGTCTGGGCTCAGCAGTCCTCAGGTCTTGTACTTTTCAATGAGTCTGGTTTGGTGCAGAAAAAGTCCTCTGGTCAGAACCCCTGATGTTGGCTGTGGTGACTCATGCAGGATGCAGCCACACTAACCTGTGTGTGTGTGTGTGTGTGTGTGTGTGTGTGTGTGTGTGTGTGTCTCCACAGGAGGATGAGTCCCCCCGCAGTGTGCTGGAGGAGATGGGTTTGGCGTAGCTCCCAGCAGCAACAGGTTTCTGACAGACTGTGGGCTCTGAGGGGGCGGGGCCAAAGGAGAAAGGGGGCGGGATCTGAGGAGAAATAAAGGGGGCGGGGCCAGATCTGGACTCTGGGGGCTAAAGGGAGAGAGACGCAGTTAAGAACAGAAGATCCGTAAACTGACAAACCCTTTAGCTCTGAGTGTATGTGAGTGTGTGTCTCTGTGAGTGTGTGTGTGTCTGAGCAAGAGGGGTTGTGTGTTTTTGAAGGCTGAGTCTGTTGTTGCTCATCAGACCATCTGGAGGGGAATACGGAGGTTTATGGAGCCTGAAGTGGACTGAGACCTGGTCTGGGCTCTGGGTAAAAACTGTCTGATGTCACTCTGTATTTATTTCAATAACCTGCGAGCTGAATCAAGAGACAAACACTGACATCATGTCTATGTGTCTGTGAGACGCCTGGTCCTCCATGTAGAAAAAGCTCCCCCATAGTCTCATTTTAACACTGACTCAGTCTAACTGCATCTGCTGGGACTACTTTCAGCGGCGGATGGATCCACATCAGACTGTGATACACACCCGTATATTTAGCATCTAGTTTAATAAATGTTTGTTGGGCTTTGAACAAGGTTTTTGATAATAAGACAAATCGAATATCCGCAGATTATGAACTAATGTGTTTATGAGAACCTGTTTCCCGTCAGTCCTGTTGGTTATAATGATTCATGTTATCACTGAATCCATCTCAGAACAGACTTCAGATCAGATCTTTGGTTTTTACATCCTCTCTCACAATGTTAATCAATTTAGATTTATTTTATTTTACAAGTCCAAACCGAAAAAAGGCAGACCTTGTGTGAAATGTGGATCTGAACAGAATTTCATGGTTTTTCTTCTTATTTTAAGTCCAAATTCAGTTTGTGCGGAATCAACATTTCAAATGATGAAACAAAGAAATTAATTTTGAAACCCTTATTTTAAGCGTCGTTAGAGGAACAAGCAAACAAGACTGAGTCTAAAAGAACATTCAGATAGTCTCTTAGGAGGAAAGATGGGAAGAGGTTCACCACTCTGTGAGAGACTGCGTGAGCTAATGGTTTCACAATAATCAGAATCAGAATCACCTTTATTGTCATTGTGCACAGTATAACGAAATTTGAGCACCACTCCCTTTGGTGCAAGCAATGGTAATAGTAATAAATAAATACTAAAATGAAAGCTATTTAAATCACAAGATAAGTTATGAATAAGTAAGAAAAAGCAAAGTAAAAAGGCAGATATATACACAGAATATATACAATGATGGAATGATATGAAACCCGGTAAGTGTCAAATGTGAAAGAATGAGTGGATTTCATCATCTACAGTACATAATATCATTAAAAGATTCAGATAATCTGGACCACAAATGAGGGTTCAAACTGAACCATGCAAAGAGGAAACCAGATAGAAACAGGATCCATTTGAAAATTTTCTAAATTTGATATTTCTTTTGGAAACCATGACACCATGCTCCAGAAACTGGTCTCCTGGGTTCCCTTATATTAGCTGATGTAAACATGTCCCTGTGAAAACTTTAGAAACTTGCTGGCATCAAATTTAGAAGGAGCAGATTTTTCATTTTCCTCATTTGAGTTTCATCTTTATGCTGTTTTTAATCAGATGTAAGATTAAATGATCAGCAGTTATAGGTCAACGTCTAACTTTTGCAGCTGCAGTTTTAAACTTTGAGGCTCATTTAACACTGAACTGTGATGGAAACAGGATCATAACCAACAAGACTCTGACTGGAGCAGGAGTTTGTTATGGAGCTCCTCTGTCCTCATGCCGCTCCTCTTCTTTTCATGATATTCTCACACTGGTATAAACTGCACTTGATGTATTCCGACTTTCTCTCCAGTTTCCCTGAAGCCTCGGCTACTCTCTTTGATTTCTTCTTCCACGTTTGAGCGATGAACTGTGATGTGGACTGAGAAGAACCAGCCAAAGGTGTTAGGGGTTTTTTCATCACTTATTTCTTTACAAGCCCTTCTTATTTAAGAGGACTGAGGTGAATCTGTTTTATGCAATTCAGCAAGCTGAGAGTCTGATCCTGCAGAGTAGGAAAACACTGACAGGGATGTTGAAGGGTGAAGTCCTGCTGGTACCACATGTTTGACTCCTGAATGTGCAGCTGAAGCTGATGTTTGCTCTGAATTTGATAAACTGTGAAGTTCAGGTAGTGTGAGCACCGTCGGAGGAAGAGAAATTGACCTTGTGTAAATGCTTTTCCTTCTTGCTTTGTATTTAACCCGTGAACAAAGTGCTTTTCTCAAACAGCAGTGAGTCTGTGGGAGTTCTGAATGTATCTGGAGTTTGGTGGGTCATACCTCAGCTTTAGGGTTTGCTTAGTTCTTCAGCTGTCAGGCAGGTTTCCTCCACGACCGCACTTTTCTGTCTCCACCTGCCTTCACTTACTTTAGATCAGCATATAATCAGAAAAAATCACCTAGTCTTCGTTGTTTGCATGGTGCTGTGCTGCAAAGTTCTGGCAGTGTTGAGGTTCTGCTGTCATGAGTTTACATCCAAGGGAACCCGACCAAACCCCATTTCAAAAAGAAGCATTTTAAGGGCGTTAGAGTTTTGTTCAAACAAAAGCGTAAAAAAAGGAGGAAGAAGAAACAGATGAATATAATGTTCCTGTTCCTCTGAGTCGTCTGTGCAGCAGGTTCATGTCTGTAAAGAGTCGTTCTCTTATAGGACGACTCTGCAGGACACTAATGCTGCTGTCAGGAACTTTTGGCGCCCCCTGTAGACAAAGCTGTCTTTGCTGGTCTTGTTCTCTCCGTACTAAATAGTGTCCTCTGATTGAAAAATCTCATTCTGTTGACTGTAGACAGTTAAATGTATAATTTATCGTGAATGTGTGGGCAGAAACAATAACAACTGGCTGTTTCTTCAGCTGCTTGGCTGACCTCCTCACAAATATATTCAAACATCACTTTATCTCAAAGTTCAGCTCACCTTGTTCTACTGAATCTGACTGTTTTGTTTCTAAATTTTCAATTAAAACTGATTTCTGAATAAAACAAGCTTGACCCTTAAAGAGTATTTTCCAGAATATTCTCTGGAAAGGGATCCTCAGAAATCCGGCTCAGTAAAGTGCTCTTGACATGGATTGACAGTTTTTAGATTCTTCTGACCAGGTAGGAAAGGTTGGACCAAACTCCACTCAGAAAACACACATTTTACTCCGTGTTTGCTTCTGGTCTTACAGACTGCCCTGACAAATCCTGAATTTAGATGTTTTTAAATCTGTATCTTGATTTTGTTCATTCTCCACGTTTCATCAGAATTATTTAAATTTTTTTTCTGCAGCCGGTTTTAAAACCAAACGTGTGTTTGCAGCAGGTTCAGTGGGCTGAATGTGACCTGCTGCTGGTGTTGCTTGGTTGCACAGATGGAGAGTTTCTCTGTGAATAATAGACCGTGAAAGTGGCGTCCTCAGATGATCTCTTACAGAGTCTTTATCCTGTCGAAGGAGGCAGAGGGTCTCAAACAGCAGATCCAACTAGAGGCTGAGTCTGCTGGTACAGAAAGGGCTCACTGTGTGATTTCAGTGTTTTATAGGTAACTGTACCACATGCAGGTACTTTGCTCCTCTTATACAGAAAGCAGAATGTCCAACCGAGGAGTTGCAGGTGTGTTTGGCTGACTTTTACTTGTTTGGATGTGTTATTTCAATTTCTGCTCTGCCTGAACTTTAACTTTCACCCTCAAATAAAAGCCTATCATGATTCATGCTTCAGACAGATCTATCAGGCGTTACAGCGGTCAGACTCGGGCTCTTAAGGACAGATGAATATCAGATTAATCTGCAGGTATCATGAGGAAAGCTGTAGCTTTCAAACCCACCGAGAGTGAATATTTATGTGACTGTGTGCCTCCAATCTCAGCGCTGAAGCCTCAATTATTCACACAGCTGTTACTAGTTGGAACTAATATATTTAAGAAGCTCATATTTATTGTATTAAGACTAGAGGTATGCATCTTTATGTTGTAAATCACAGCAGCTCTTCAGCCTTGGTTTTATTTCTTAACTTGTGTGAAGCATGATTAAATCCCCTGAAAAAGGGGGCGTGGCCTTGGTGATAAAACAGGAGTTTGGTTATTTAGATGTTGAACTGTGTGCAGTCTTCATTTCAGGACATCCTCAGACCTCAGATACAAAAGCATCAGGTGTCAGGAAAACATATGCGGCTGTTTTTCTGCTCCAGAAAAACAGTTAAAAAATGGTTTCAGAAATAAAAAAGTTTCAGTAGAAAAAATTTATAAAATATATAAAATAAACAGTTTAAGACAGAAATAGTTTTAGATGGGAACTGCTTCCGTTGTAAAAGCTCATAGCATTATAGCCTCATAGAAGAGGCAGTTTTATTTTGAAATTCACCAGGAAACGTCAAATATTTTCAATATTAGCAAGTTTCAGAAGAAAAAACATGAATGTCAAAGATGAGACCATTAAACTCTAGGCCTGTTACACTTTCTAACCCTGAGATACACTGATGATGTTTCTTGTTTTTCTTTACAATAAAATGGAATAAATAAATTGAGTTTTTTTTCTTTGGCCATTTCTTCTGGTCTGATTCATGATAGAAGGTACTGAAGACCAAAAGCTTTTTCTGATCCCTGACTGTGAGACCTGAGGAGGTCCTGAAATGAAACTGTAACCATCTGAACTCCTAGTTTAGTGGATGAAAAATCAGAAGCTGAGAGTTTGTTTGGGTACGATGAAAACTGGAGGCGGTGACAGGGTCAGTACTAGTCCTGATCCTGAAGTCTCCTTGTGGTCTTTGTTTGGTACTGAAGCTCTTTGGCTCCCTAAGGGTTATCTCTCTGACCTCTAGATCCTTCAAATACTCAATCTAACTTTCTTCTCTTCTTAAACTTCATGACTTACTCTGTATGATAACGGTTTTGTTCTGCAGTTAATGATTATTATGATTTCAGAATTTTTTTGCATTTAAAGGAAATTGAGAAGAACATGTAGGTGTGTCTGCAAAGCTGTAAATGGGCCCTCTGTCTATGAGAGCCGAGACTGTGTAACCTTCTGCAGCCTACGGCTAAAGGGACTCAGTGTGTGAATGTAATTTTATAAAGAAATAAAGCATTTGAAGCTAAACTGAGAGAGTGTTTCTGTTTTCTTTGTGTCTCAGCTTTTATTTGAGGAAGTTTAGGGGTTCCACTCATAAGAAATGAGGTGAAAAGGACCAAGAGTGGTGTCTTGTATTTGGAGGTAAAGGTGAGAGTTTTAGTGGAGGAGAGAATGGAGCTGGAGAGGAGCGAGGTCCATCCTCTCCTCCTCTAAAACTCTCACTTTAGCACAAAGAGACTTAAAGGGATTTTCTGGCGTAAAATTAATTTAGGGTCAAACACAACGTAACACTGAGTTAGACACCCCCTCTAGAGATGAGTGTTGGCGACCGCTTGCTTCTCTAGTTATGCCAACTTTAGTAATGACCGCACGATAGCAATACACAGCGGTCTGAGGAGCCATACACAAACCTCAACCAAAAAGCAACTCTATAGTCACAAATAATGCTCAGAACAGCACCTAACTTCATCAACAGTACATATAGGGTCCCAGCCATAGCACTAGCCACCAAACATCTTTTTAGATTTGCCTGATTTCTTTAGCAAAGAGACTAAACACAACTCACCTACTCTCTTCCAGCAGCCACTTGTTTGTAGACAGACCTCAGGCCAGTCCATTACGAACTGAAGCGGGGTGACACAGCTCAAGGAAGAACATTTATGATAATTTCTTTATCATTTCCTTTAAGTAATAATCACCATATTCATCATTTTGCACTGCAGACACAGTAGTTCTTCTGCCTTAGCGTCTCGGTCTGATTGCATTTCCATGAAGAAATGATCATAAATGTTCTTCCTTGAGCTGCGTCACCCCACTGCAGTCTGTAATGAACTGGCCTGAGGTCTCGCTACGAACAAGTGGCTGCTGGAAGAGAGTGAGTGACTTGTGTTTAATGTCTTTGCTAAAGAAATTAGGCAAAGTTAAAGAGATGTTTGGTGGCTTGGACCCTATATGTACTGTTGAAGAAGTTAGTTGCTGTTCTGAGCATTATTTGTGGCTATAGAGTGGCTTTTTGGTTGAGGTTTGCACGTGGAGACGTAGACCACTGTGTATTGCTATCGTACGGTCATCACTAAAGTTGGTATAACTAGAGAAGTAAGTGGTCGGCAACATTCATCTCTCGAGGGGGTGTCTAACTCACCGTTAAGGTGTGTTTGACCCTAAATTAATTTTACGCCGGAATATCCCTTTAAGCACTAAAATTCCTTCCAGGAGCTTTAATGATGCTGCAACCAAGACCTGAGGGCGCTTTATGTTCAGTTTGTAATTTGACACATGGTATTACACTGGAGTTGTGCAAGAGGGAGAGAGAATGTAATGCATAAAGTAGCAGATTTATATTCTTTTCAAAATAAAAGCCATCAAATGATTTAGACATTGATTGGTGCCAAATGTCGCCTCTTATCTAAAATGATTACAAAACTTGTTTCTTCAGTGACTTCTAAAAGGTTTAATAGTAATGTCGTTATGTCGTTTACAGGAAAGCCTCGTGAATTTATGATAAATAGTGAAATCTCCCTGGCACGTGTCTGCTGAAACACGTGACCCTGGTGAAGAAGCTGCTTTCCAAACTGCGGATTCATTCAGCAGCTTCTGTTCATTCAGCAGAGAGGAGCTAATTGATGGTTGAGGGGAGAGGAGTGTGTGTGTGTGTGTGTGTGTGTGTGTGTGTGTGTGTGTGTGTGTGTGTGTGTGTGTGTGTGTGTGTGTTTGCGGAGCAATCTTATGAATGAAACCCAGCCCAGTGACGTCAATGGGGGGCCTCTTGACGCAGGAGTCACGTGGTCCGGGAGGGCGGAGGTATAAGAGCTGCAGCCGCTGTCCGTGGTCCTGAAAACAGGAGAGGAGAAACAAGAGAGGAGTCCCGAGAGAGGAAAACCTTAGAGGAAGAGAGAGAACCTCCTAAACAAAACAAAACAAAACAAAAAACAACAAAAATATCAGAGAAATAAAGAAGTTTAAAAATTAAAAATAAAAACAACAGTACGAGGAGGGGGCGTCTGCGCGTGACAGCGGGACCTCCAGCAGCTGAGAGAGTGACGCGCCGGGGAGGGAAGGCTGGAATCCCCCCACTGCTCCCACTGAGCCGCAAGTAAGTCCCAACTTCTCCGGATTGAGTGTCTGTGCTGTGCTGTAAGCGGACTGATTCTCAAACTCAGTTTGTTTGAGGAAGTTTGTGCTTTTCTTCAGCAGAAAATACCAAAACTGCGCAAAAAAGAGGCGCCGCTTTCTGTTTGGGTACAGAAGATTCAGTTTTTCAAGAAAACAACAAAAATGACTCTCAAACTGGTCACTCAGTTAAAGAGCAAATACAGATTAATCTGAGTATTTGGGGTCAAATTGGGGGGTCTTCAGGGGAGATTTGGGTTGAATTCGAGCGGGAGCTGAACGGGCTGTAGGTCTTTGTTTGGAGCCAACACACAGGCAGCTGTATTGTCCTCCTCCACCCTTCTACCCCATTATCATCTTCATCACCTTCATCACCATCATCTCATCACCATCATTACCGTCACCATGACTCGCTCAGCCAAAAATATCCAGATTGAGAAAGAGGCTGATTTGAGGGTCTGTGACGCTCAGAGACACAGAGACAAGAGCCTTTGTCGTGTCTGAGAGGGTCGCGCGCGCGCGCACACACACACACACACACACACACACACACACACACACACACACACACACAGTGAGTGTGAGGTGTTCTTATTCTTGTATTCTTGGCTGTTGCTCCTCAGATTATTAATCTGTAATCTGACCCTCTCTGGCCTGATTTATTCCTGATGAAAGTACAGCTCTGGTGTGTTTGTGTGACTGTGCGGGATGTGATCAGTCATGCTGGATTGTGTTTATCTCACTGCGTGTTTGCACATCACGCATCATCATCCTCTGCAATCCCACCACCTCCGCTGCAGCTGCGGAACATACGCGCTCCTCCGCCGCTCAATTAGCCTGTTATTGACATTTCAGCGCGTTTGCAGCTCTTCATCCCAACAGTTTTAAGGCAACTCCTTTCCCCCAGAATCTAAAGTAACTTCCAGAATTGTAAAATATAGTAATTTAATAACATTTGTCTAATCTGGCGCATAAATTCCTTCTTTGCTGTTTTTTTTTTTTTTTCCGACCCTTAAATTGGCAAAATTCCTGCAGATATGTTTTGCAGTGTCTGCAGCACACTGTGGCGTGGTGCCATGCAGCACGATAGAAGAAGAGCAGGTTGTTCCAGCTGATGTGCAGACCCTCCAGAGCAGTTTGTGACACATATGTGGGCGTTTTTCCTGATGTTTTGGACTGGATGTCACAGTCAGTACACTTGTTGAAGCAAACAGCGTTTCTGTGTTGCAGTGCTGCAGACTGCTGCAGGAATGCATGCATGATCTGTGTGTGTGTGTGTGCATGTATGTTCTGGATCTGTTTGTGGGGAGAAATTGAGATATCTCCAGATGACTGTTGATGCAGAATATTTTAAAGGATTTTTTTTTTTCTTCTGATAGCTCTGAAGTTGTCATGATGTTCTGGTTCCCTCCCTCCCCTGTGATTCCACAGTCCTGGGTTTGTGATAAGTTTGCGACACACGTGGGCGTGTTATTTCAACATATCACACTGAATGTCACAGTCAGTGAACTTGTTGCACTTTGGGGATGTTGTGGTGAAGAAGATTTGAGCAACCCCCCCCCCCCCCCCCAAAGCACCCAGAGCTGTCCTTGGTGCTGATCAGTAAAACAGCATTTCATTGATGCAGTGCTGCTGACTGCAACAGGAATGCATGGATGTTTTCATGTGCTTGTGTGATTTTTGGAAACTGGGTTGAGTCTTAGATATTAAACAGGTTAAAGATATTGAAAGAAAAAAACGTTTATCCATACAGTATATACATGTCCGTCCAGCTGCATAGTGTTATAAATGTCCTCTTTCTCACAAACACATTAATCTCAAACCAGAAATCCAATTTGTCCGGAAACAGATTCATGAACAAATGAAATAATCACATGCTCCAGTTGGAGTCTTATCCTGTTAAACGTGCGTGGGCAGCAGAAAAGAGGATTTCGTGTTTTCATGGTGAAATGAGTCTTCTGATATGTTAAACAGAACCTGTGGCTGTGCATGTGAGCTTGTGACGTCTTTACATCTCAGCTCTGAAAAGCTGCCAAAATCCTTATTTTACCAACAACCCTTCATTAATCCTTCACTCTTTCATTGACAGAGTTACTTCTTCTCCAGCTTACACGCTGCTGTTTCAGATTTTTCATGCTGCCAGTGAAATGATAACAACATCACGATTCAGTTTTTTATGTCATGTTTCCTGATTTAACTGTCTGTAAAAGATAAGAAATATAACATTAAGATTAATCTGCCCTGATAAAATTGAGTTTTTTTTTTATACAAATATTATGATGTGTTGTAATTTGCTTGTAAACTTGTATAACTATCATTATAAACACTCATTAATTATCATAAGGCTTTATAAAAATAAGCATAAAACATTACAAATCCTGACCTTGTAAGTCATGATAAAATGCTTTATAATGTGTTATGATTATTGCTATAAAGCATTATGATCATTTATGAGTGTTTATAACTACAGTTATACAGTGCTATAACGTGATTATAACTCATTATACATATATTTATAGAGATAAGCGTCAAATAAATTGTTATCAGAACGTTAAATTGTTATTGAATTGTTAAAAGTCCTCATGAAATTCTTCAGAACAGCTCTTATTTTCTGGACCTCTGATTGGCTGAAATCTAACCCTTATCATTTAGTATTGATCCAGTTCTGATTACCTACCCAGTATGGTGATTCACTTTGCAATAAGGTTCCCAGCGCTCATGGATGGGACTGTTAGGATGAGGAACTTTATACACTTAGACGAAGTACCAAACAACATCTCTGAGAACATCAGTGTGAAGAGAGAAACTCATGTATGTCCTTGTTTTTCTGTCTTTTAGGTATTTCTGATCTTCAGACCCTGCTCTGAGCGGCCATGCCCGGGTACCACCATGCCTCAAGTGCCCTTACCCTGCTGCTCCTCCTGACGGGAGCCTCCCTCCTCCATCCGTCCACCCCCACCCCACTGAACACCCCTGAGAAGGCTGAAAACCTGCACACTGACTCTCCCCCTGCACCGACGGCAGCAGGAAATGAGGACAGAGGAGATGAGGAGAGGCGATCGGTGCAGAAAGAGGAGACGGAGGAGGAGGAAGAGGAGCTCTTCAAAGACGTGGATCCAAAAACGCTGGCAGCGGTCCTGCTAGAGGCGCTGAATCGCTCAGACGTGGGGAGGAGGAGGGAGGAAGAGGAGATGAACGCTGAGATGGAGGAGGAAAACAGAGAGGTGAGAACAATGAAGGGAGCGGACAGAGACAGAGATGGACGACAGGAGTTAGAGACACTGATGGCTGCTCACGGGAAGGAGAGGGAGAAAGAGGAGGAAGAGGAGAGAAGGAAGGCTCAGGAGGAAGAGGAGAAGATGACAGAGAAGGTAACCAGTCGAACCACGAGCCAGACGGTCCAGGTCCAAGCAGAACCACAACCACAGAGTCCAGAAGGAGTAGGGGAGAGGGGGAAGGATGGAGGGGACACTTCTCCCGAACCAGACGCCAATGAGGAGGAAGAGGAGGAGCAGCTCAGCCCAGAGGAGCTGAAGAGTCTGGAGACCATGATGAAGGAGTTCCCCCGACTGAACACGGCAACCAAGAGGGAGGGCGAGCAGAACCAGAGGGAGAGCCGAGGGTGGAGCAGCTACAATGAAGTCCTCCCCGTCAAAGGAAGTGACATCGCCATGACGAAGAAGAAGCTGAAATGGCAGGAGGAGACGCAGAAGGGGGTCAACATCCCAATGTTCAGGGAGGGAAACTTCATGGATGACTTTGAGGAGAGTAACCGGGCAGGAAGTAACGACATCCAATCACAGCTTCCATTGGAACAGGAAGTGACAGAGGAGGAGGAGGAGCCAGAGGAGGAAGAGGAGGAGGAGGAGGAACAGCTTAGTCCTGAGGAAGAGGAGGTTCGTGCCAAAGCCGAGCAGGAAGAGATGAGGAGGCAAGCAGCCGAGGCACAGCGGGCCAAGATGGAGGAGGAGAAGCTGGCGGACATCGCCTCTGACATGCTGCTGCGCTACATGGTGAAGCAGAACAACGGGAACCGCAAATACAGCTCGTCTCTGTCCAACGCCGCCGAGGACAAACGCTCCGATGAGGAGCAGGAGGCGGCAGAGGAGGAGGACCTAGACCCCCAGACCATTGACAAGCTCATTGAGATTTCCAGCAAGCTCCACCTCCCTGCAGATGATGTGGTTGACATCATCAGTGACGTGGAGAAGAAGAAAAAAAAGGATGTCCCACCAGAGATGACATCTCGGTGGCAGCGTCCTCTGACGCCACTCTCCTCTTCATTCTCGTCCACTAAGGGTTTGTCTTCGTCCCCACCCAACACCAACAGCTACCCTGTTACTAAGCAACCATCTCCAGCTGTCAATCTCCTCAAGACCTGGTTCCAGGAGAAAACACCAACGAAATCCCAAGATCTGTGGAGCAAACCTCTGCAAACCAATCAGAATCTTTGGTCCAAACCTCAGAAACCAATCAAGCAGGAAGTCTGGTTCAAGTCTCCAAAGCCCCTCAGGACCGGATACCCCTTCTACCCCTACAGATACCCCTCCTACTACCAGAGGAAGCCTTACCCCGACTACTACCCTGTCTACTTCCCTCCTCCGCCAAGACCCAAACCTCGCTACTTTCTCCCCAAACCTGTGGAAGGTGCATATGCCTTCCCACCCAAACGCCGCTACCACAGCTGGATCCAACCCCGGCTCAGAGTCCCCCCTGCAGACCTCCAGCAGAAGCCTTACTACCCCAGCTACCCCCTTCCTCTCTACCCCCGGACATTTCAGCCGGTCAGAGTCCCTGTGATGCCTCCTCAGCAGAGGCAATTTTATTTCTCTGCACCGGCAGCTTCAGCGACCAGAAGCGACAATCGTTACGAGGCAAGAAAACAACCAGAGAGCCGTGACGACCTGGAAAAATATATCCAACAGATCCTCCTGAAGAGACCGCAGATATCAGACTGAGAAGGACTGAGAGGAAAGAGAAATATGAAGAGAGTGAAGACGAGCAGGAAAGAGTGTTTCTTTAAGGTCATTATTTCTGCTTTTGTTTTGAATCTGTCAAAATTGTTCTTTTTTTTTTTTTTGATCGGCGTAAAGGACACGACAGAGGACTTTCTGGCTGAAATGAGACTTTGGTGAGAAAGTGAAAGTGAAGATTCACATCCACACTTCTCCTCCTCTTCCTCAGTGAAGCAGGGAGAGAACAGGATGGATGCTGATGAAGTGTGATGCGGCAAAGACGAGCATCACACTTAAACTCTTCATCCAAACTCCCAACATAACAACATTCTCCATGTGGACATTTTAAAAATGCCAACAGAGGAGGAGGACGCTCAAACATGCTGTTACTGTACCTTTAAGAAATCTCAGTCAGAGCCGAATGAGTCACAGGCAGTGATAGATGCTGGGAAATGCCTGTTGGCTGCTTAAAAGGACATTTGTGTCATTATCTCAGGCAGGGAACTTTGATAAACTAACACTAAATGACCAAAAGTATGTGGACACTCTATTATCTCCTTGGTTTCAGGATTCAGCTCTAAGTTGTTGCAGGCCGTTGGGGTTTAGACTGCAGATAAGAAGCACTCAGAAAAGTAAGGCCAAAGTAGAAGTGCCTTAAACTTGCATTCTCTCTAATGTCCAGCAGGAGGCAACAAGCTTGAGTGCAGTGCATTGGTACATGACGATCCATTCAGAGTCACACAGAACAGAAAGCAGTGAGAAAGGCCTGGGACCTGACTGAAAAGTCTCGAATGGGGCACCAGAAAATAATATTAAAAGTTGAATTATTGTCAAACCTGATACCAAGGCTTTTTGCAGGAGGTTTGACCTGCAGGTGGCAGTATTAGCTTTGTGAACCCCAATAAGAATAATCATGTCAAAGTCTGTGTGTCCAACAGGAAGGTAATACTGAGTATCATCTGCATAGAAAGAAATAAAACTCCATGCTTGTTAACGATATGCCCCCAGCAAGCATGTGTAAGATTAATTAAATGGGACCTAAAAATAATCCCTGAGGAATGCCCTACTTCTCATTAGTAAAAGTAGAGAAACAGTCAATCATAGACTTCTATATATATCCAATAAATGTCTTAATCAGTGTTTGTAAAAGACATTCTGAGTTGCTGCTACTTTTGCTTGAAACCTGTTTATTTGCTTCTTTAAATTAGTGCTTCACTCACAAAATTCAACTGAGGTTTCGGTATATAATTGTTTGAATATTTTCCAGCTAGCCAAACCAACAAACTGCCAATATCACAGTGACTTACAGATGCGGCTTGCTTACAAATGTAGCACAAGCTAGCATTAGCCGATAACCTAGTGTTTGCCAGGCTCCTTTTAGTCTCAAGCTCCGCCCTCATCCTAATATGGTGTCCTAATATTTTAGAGAACCCCTTTAATTTTAATACAAAAATAACACCATACTTACAGTTGTGATGAGTATGTGTTTGTCAATTAGAGTCACTACTGAGGGTATTAGGGTTAGGGTAGGGTTGGGGTTAGGGTTAGGGTTTAGGGTTATCTTAACCAATAGAAAAGTGTCCTGAAGTTGCCCTCGGTGGAAATGCAGATGCATGAAATGCCGGGTACAGACACAGCTTTGCAGTGAAATTTCATTGTTGCCTCCCTACTGTTCAGCTCCACCCTCGTCCTAATAAGGTCACTTCCTGCTGTAAAAATATGATGGTGATGGAGAATTTAAATCTAAACTCAAAGTCCACTTTTTAAGAACTCTTGCAGCTTGAAATGCTTCTTGAAGTTGAGTGCTCCCTAAAGGGTTTGTCATGTTGATTCAGAAAAAGGACCAAATGAAAACCAGAAAATCAAACTATTATCTGAAATAGTGTACAGAGATTCAAGTTCCAGGTCACACGGTGTCCACAAACTTTTGGCCAAATAGTGTATGGATGTAAACTCATCTTATACAGATGAAACCAACAGCCACCATGAGGCGGGGAGGCCCCTGACTGTTTCATCTCTAAAATGATCCATTTCAGTGTAAATGTCTGATTTTGTTGTATTTGTGTACGAGCAGCTCTCCACCTCTCATCAGTAAACCTACACACACCCTTTAAAGCTCTTTATGGGAAAACACAAAGCTCCAAACAGCTTGTTTCCTGAGCAGAGCCACGCTCACTCTGCTATAATGGCACGGTGAGTCATCCTTTTGCATAACTTCAATTACCTTGTTGCTATGGTGCCAAACCCCGGCCAAAGTCTATATGGCATTCTTTCACAGCTGACGCCTTCACAGGGATGCAGCGGTGCAGCAAACTGAGCTCTCACTGAACATACATGAAGGTTTTAAGGACAAGGCTGCCACTCTGAGACTGTGGAAACACAAAAATACTAAATCCTGAAGTGCTGAATCGTCTCTCTAAACCTCTCAGCCCTGTTAGTATCTCTCAGCCCACCTGGTCCGGATCTAAACCGCTTTATAGCACCAGACCACTCTGCCTCCTTCTTGATTCATCCCCTTGCTTTTTGCCCCACATTACATCTGGACTCCAGATGTACATCCTCCACACTTTTGAACCAGTCCCTCGGTTTTATGATAAATCAATGTTAATCAAAATAATGTTAAGAGTGTGTTTGTAAGGGACTACTTTTAACAGCAGTTATCTATGTTTGGGGATCCAGTTGGACTTTGGAGCAGCTGGAAATCGTTATATATTTACATGGAGCTTTCCAGACCCATTTTCAGAGCAGATTTCCTCTTAAGAAAATCTTAAAGGGTTAACTTTAGTGTTCTGAGGGCTCCATGTCCTTCCACATGTACAAGGCGGGGTGAGCACACCTCCATTGTTTCATATACATAAAAAAGCCAAGGCAGGGAGAGCAGTAGCAAAGTTTCCAAGTGTTTTTTGATCCTGATGAAATATGGTTTCTTCCCATTATACTATAGTTTTAACCTGAATTATAGTCCGGACAACTTGAATTTCTGGTCACATATGGGGGTCTGGATTTGTTGTTTGTGTCCGTAGAGTGCCAAAGCCTCAAGCATGGAGAGCACCCCCTTCAAGAGCCCCAAGTCAGAGTTGTTTCAAGGGTTCAGTGTCAGGTTTTAATGCCTCACTAAAACATTGATCATACTTTCGGGGATCCAGATTTCAGACTGTGAATACACACACTTTAAAAGTTAGGCTGATACTTGTGGGTGTCCTACCTAACCCTAATCCCCCTGACCTAGTTTGTGAACCCCACAGAGCTGCCTCTCCACCTGTAACCCTCACACTAACACTCATCATACTGAGTTATTATTCTGATACCCTGGCCTTAGTTCTCCATGTCCATGGAGGTCTTGAGCTCAGCAGCAGCCTTGTCCTCTAAAAGTCCTTCATGGCTTCATTAAAGCGCTGCTGAAACCCCGCCCTCCTTTTAGCTCCATTAGCCCATCAGTGTTGAACAGTTTCTTAATTTTTCATCCTCAGCTCGAAGTCTGTTTTTCTCCTCTCAGCTGAATGTTTCTGATCAACCAGAGCAGAAACCTGCTGCCTTACATCACATCACTGTGACGCCATGTCCATGAGATCACTGAGGTCAAAGGTCACTGGACTGAAAGGGAAAGAGCTTACCTTTAAAACACACACCTGGGGGGATTTTTCACTGCTTGAATCGGACATTTACAAATGATTGTAAAAATGTTTTTTAAATGTGCAAAAAAAGATGATTGTACTGCTGAGTTCGGGTTTCTTTACTCCTCAGAATCAGCGATTGATAAACTCTTTGAGTTCATTCTCCAAAAATATGTCGGCAGAGAAAAGCAGGTCTTTGTGTTTCTGTGGCCGTCTGATGAGAAGCCAAATTAAATCTGACAATCTCACAATTTAAAAAAGTAAGTTAATGCGATTATTCTTCAAAGAGTGTTTACTGACTGGAGGAGTTTTTGTATTTTAATAATTTGTTGTTTTTTATGCGATGAAGAGTGAAGCTACAGACCAGGGCAGAGGGGACGATGTCTGCACGTTTATGTATATTTGCATCTAAAACTTTAATCCAGCATTAAGAAAAATGTCAAAAAAAATCTAAAGAAGAAGAAACGAAGACGTCGGTGTACCTTTAACTCATTTTTGGAGAGTTGTGTGTCTGTAGATGTGCTTTGTTGTAACCATCGTAATAAACATGCGTTTGCTGGATGTAAATATGCGCATGTCAATCCATACTTTTGCTACACAGAAAGAAAGAAATAAAGTCGACTATTTTTATTACCAAACGCTTCGTTGTGGACGGAGAACATTTTTATTTTTCAGGAGTTCATTCACACTACACAAGAGTTGGGCTAAAGGGAGTGACATCAGCTGTTTTTATGAGTAACATTGTGGCTGGGATCCAAAAGTACAGCATTCAGAACCAGCAGAAAAAGCAGGACAATCCATCTCTGATGGATCTGCACCACCTTCTACCCGTTTCAGAGTGAGTCAGGGGGTCACCAACCACAAAGAAAGAAAGATTTATCTTTAAAAAAGGAGTTTGTTTTTTTTCCACTGAGGTATTTTTTCATCAGCAATAAAGTTCATAAAATGTCAGGACAAACCGATAAACAGTTAAACACTACAGGGACATTATGATCCAAAGTAAAACCAGTGTTAAAAATCAAATTCTGCAGGATGGTTAAAAGGAAAAGAGGAGTGTCAGCAGCGGAAATAAAGGAAATATCAAGAACAGGGCATTTTTCAAAACTTTACTGAAAGAGAATCAGATTAAATCAGTCAAAACCAGAGAGAAACATCCAGTAAACCAACAGAAAACAGTTGAAATCCTCTTTGTTTGACATGTATAAACCTACAGGACACTCTGACTTGTCTGCAGACAAAGATTTACAGATCTCAAACTTGTTCCTCAGCAGTACCCTTTATATCTGCGTCCTGGGATTTTAATTTGCAGAACCATCTACTTACTTATATTATCCTTGACCTTACCATAAAGTCTCCTGCACACAGATATGAAACAGAAAAACAGAAATGACCTTAAAAAAATTAAAAAATAATCAGGTTATCATTTCTAAAATCCCCTTTAAATCATGAATGTCCCTTTGTGTCAGTTAAATGTCAGCTGATACATATTTGCTCTCATGGTTTATAGTTGTATATTTGTATCCTTATTCAGACTGGAGCAGATATGTGAAGACTGTGAGGTCATACGATCAAAAATAAACTTTAGCGTCAACTTTAAAACACTCATCAATGTGGAAGGACTGTAAAAATATTTACATAAAAATTTCACAAGAATTCTGAAAAAAAAAAAAAACAGTGTCCATTTTTATTTTGAAAAATTGTTTTTGAGAATTTACCTAAAGGGGCGGTTCAAAGATGTAGAGTTACATATTACCTGTTAGTGTTTCAGCCACAGTGAATGTTGGTCAGCTCTGCCCCTTTACTAAGAAACTGCAGAGAGAACCTGCATGCAAGCTAGGCAACAGTTTTCTGCAGGTGTAATTAAACTAATTTAAAAACACTTGACTCTGTTGAAATGTGCAGTTCTTCCCTTTTCTATCAGAAAACTCTTCTGTCTGAGGAAAACTGTAGACTGGCTCATTTAATGGTTCTGTCCTGTTTGCCATTAAAGGGGTGTAGCTGACCGACATCAATTGTGGCTAAAACACTTGGTGAGACATGTCGCTCATTCAACCTCCCTTCAAAATTACTGAAATATACCTTTAAGCCTGAAAAATAAGCAAAGTCGATCTGTGAAGGACTAAGGATGAAGCCTGTGCAGGTAAATGTGGCTCCTTGGTGAACATGTTGGAAATTGCACTTAACTCTGAAGCTGTGAGTACAGACAGACGGAGGAAAACACTCGTGTGCATGAAGTTTAGATAAAGCAGCAGCAGGTGGAAATAAGAGACGGAGGTTTAATCATCAGCTTCAGCTCCTCGTTCAATCGGTGGACTGAGGCCAACAACTCCCTCTGATGAATAAATGATGATTAATAGATGTAATCTGGGGGAGTCAATGAAGATAACCCCCCTGAGTGGTCTGAATTAAAGGCAACACAGGATGCCGTGATACAGCAGGGTGGAGGTGTTTAAAGGCATGATCAGAGGTGAGAGCCTCATCACCACCAGTATCCTCCTCATCCTCATGAAGCTGCCTGTGGGCTGCAGGGAGACGCTGAAACACCCACACAGCAAAAAACAGCAAAGGCATGTTTGTGTCACGCTCTGAGAAAGTTCTGGAGGCGAGTCAGAGCGAGTCAGAACGAGTCAGGACTCTGGAAGAATGAAGACACGATGAAGAGACACGAAGACTCACATGAATAAAAAAGCAGGAGGATAAAATTAGATTAAAGCTGCTCTGAAATAGAATCAAAGCAGAGGCCTGTGGTAAAAATAAAAAAGGGAAAGAAGAAGAACGAGAAGGGGAGAAGGAGATGAAAGGGGGGAGAAAAGTGAGGAGAAAGGGGAGGGAGGGAGGAGTGGAGGGAGGGAGGATGCAGCTCTGCCCGAGGAGGAGAGGTGCAGTGATTCATGGCGTCACGTGGTGAAGACTGGGTGACTCATCCACCAACATCATCATTGTGCAGCCACTGCAGAGCGCACACACACACACACACACACACACACACACGCACGCACGCACGCACGCACGCACGCACGCACACACACACACACACACACACACACACACACACACACACACACACACACACACACACACACACACAGCTGATCAAACAGATTAATGAGTGTGGTAAAGTCAACATGAAGCAGCTCAAACACACAAGCTGATGTCACACTACAACATAAGTGCTTTCTGGAAAACACACACACACACACATTTCCCTGTCTTCTAAGATATTTTGTGTGTGTGTATGTGTATCACCTGTATGAGGAAAGAGCTGTGCAGATGAACCTGATGAAGAGCTGAGAGGTCTAAGCCCGCATGAGTGTCTCAGGTGAGAGGAGGTGATCATGCAGCATGTGCTTCACCTGTCTGACTGTAACTTGTACACTTTCAGCAGATGGTTTACAACCCTGGTAACACATCAGTTTATTGCTGCAGACCTGGGAACAGACCTTGAAAGTGTCATTTTAAGACGAGATTTAACCTAAAGAAACAATGTCAAAAGCCTTTTAAGTAGAACTGGTGTAATGGAGAGCACTTGACGCCTCACCTGCAGGCCTACAGTAAGTGAGGAAAGAGCGCCCTCTGGATCATCTTCTGTTCACTCAAACGGGGAGGAGCGGTGTTGAACAGGTGTGTGTGTGTGTGTGTGTGTGTGTGTGTGTGTGTGTGTGTGTGTGTGTGTGTGTGTGTGTGTGTGTGTGTGTGTGTGGAATAAAGACATCGCCCCATCCCAATCTGACCCTATCTAAAGCACTAATCTTTAATTTGTGACGGAATTGTCCTTTTCAGTGGCATTCATCGGTAGCGTGGCCGAGCGGTCTAAGGCGCTGGATTAAGGCTCCAGTCTCTTCGGGGGCGTGGGTTCGAATCCCACCGCTGCCAAGAATGGTTTTGCAACTAGGTTTAGGGTTAGGGTTACGTGTGAATTCGGACAATAACAACGTTTTAGCGTTTTTCCTTATCTCTATAAATACAACGAATTCCTACCACTGCTGTCCGTACGGGTTATCTATTCCCTGGGTTCAGTCTCGTCAGCAGAGTTAACTTCAGGCGTTACATTTAACTCAAGTTTTACCGGAATTATGTAATAAATGATGCTGTTTTTAGCGACTTGATGATGTTTGATGAAGATCAACAAAAAGAAAAAAAAATCCATTGATGAATTCATACCTGGCAGAATTTACTCAGGGCACAATGTTTTCTAGGAAGCGTCTAATACCCGGAAGTGTAAGAACCCCATGCCTTCAGATTAAAGAGGAGGTGAAAAACCACCCACTTGTAGATGACATTTTTTTCTAACCTGTTCGTATTTCAAAAGGAAAATGTACATTTCAAAACCCCCTAATAAAAATACATTTCAAAACTCCCTAATGAAACATTTTTAAACATTTTCGTGAACAAGGTTGATGATTTTGTGTTGTGCGTTATTAAAGCAGTTATTGGCCTGAAAACTATTAAAATAACAACAATTAAATCGTCAAAAACATTTTACTAAATTGAAATTAGTCAAATAAACTGAAATTAGTGAAAATAATACCATACAAAATAGAATAACTGAATGAATTTTTTGTCATATTAATACAAATGTCAAATAAAACCAAAATATATTTATTGAGAGTCATTTTAATCAAATTAAAATTAGTGATACCAACCACTTTGGTTAAAATACCGCCTTCGTTGTCAAATCAAAATTACATGCTTTTATTTTGAAAGTGTTCACCGGAAGAATTTCAGATGTTGTTAGCGGTTCGGTTTGTCTGTGTTGTCTGTTGTGAAGTCTGATATTTGAACAGCTGATCAAAGTTGGGAGATTTTCCAGAACAGCTGTTGGAGGGTCAAAATATACTTTTGTTTCTGTCATTTTTGGCCTTTTTAATCACCCAGATGAAGCCTCCTCCTCGGAAGCGAAACAAACCGGAGCGGACCCAGACAGAATCGGTTCACATGCGGTCCGGTAAGTGGCAGAGAGCCGAACTGAGGAGGCTGCTGGCCGGGCTGAGGACACAGAACCGGAACGCAGCAGAGCATGGAGACATCGACTACTCTGCCCTGAAGAAACAAGTCAAAACCCGGTCAGAGACTGAGGTACAGAACCGCCTTAATGATATAGTTTTCATTTATTTTAATTCACACTGTTTAAAAAGCGAGATATCACAGACGCTGACTGATTTGAAAACCATACAAACATGATTTTATCAACATTTTCCCTGCATCCTCTAACCGTATGGTTGATGTCATTGTCTCTCTGAATACTATGACACTCCATCTGTATCATTTTTAACATTGTTTTACTATATTTCTGGGACTTGGTAAAGCTCACTGCTTCATGTTTCTCTGTTTCATTTCTATTTTTATCCCTGATTGATACACAAAGTAATGTTACATCTTCGTGTTAAATCTGTTGACAACAACATCAACGTTCAAATCTGCAAACATCACAAAGAGTTCAGTAACCACCATCTCTGCTGTAACATTACTGTAGCATAGAGTCAAATATATCCGATTAAGTTATATGAAGTCACCACACTGGGAGTAAGATGAGCAGGGATTCTTTTACTTGATCTGAAGATTCATTTATGTTTGTTGTTATCCAGGAAAAAATGTGTGTTATACACCTTTCAGTGTTTCTGCTCTGGGTGACTCCTGAACTGTTTTTTTCTCATAAATATTTTAGATGTCTGAATTTATGGACTCGTAGCTCATGTTTTTTCTCTTCATCTCCAGGCTTTGGCTCAGTGCAGCATGTTGGGGTAAAATGTGCTTTATAAATAAAGTTTTTCTAATTTGATAAAAGTCTTGTGACCTGTTTGTTCCCTGGTCAGATCCGGTCTGTGGTGGACGCTCTGAAGGAAAAAGTCATCTCCTCTGCCAGTTATGTCTTTAAGAAGAGGGAACGGGAGGAGAGGATGGACAAAAAGCCCATCCAGCTGTGGACTGAAATGGCGTCCTCTGTGACGGGGACCATCGAAGAAACTATTAACGCAGCCTTCTCCCAGGTGACAACAGCAGGTCTATCTTACCTGTCTGCTCAGGTGTATCTGAAGACTCTGACCTTCACCTGCTCAGGTTCATCATCATCATCTCTCTCTCTGTTTTTCAGATGCTGATCGTTTCATCCACAGAGCCCAGCACTCACAGGAACTCTGACCCCCCAAAGGTCCCTGGATCAATCACAGATCAGAACAGACCTGCAGGGCGCACTGTCCCCTTCAGGCCAGTGCCTCGTCCTGCATCTGGACCAGGTACAAAGCTGACTCTCTGTCCTCAGGAGAAACAGATCTACAGTTGTGTTCATAATAATAGCAGTCCCACATCACTAACAAGATAAATCGCTGTTTTTGTTAGATTTTCAACTTCTGCACTGCAAGGAAGTTTCTAGAAGGTTTAGTAAAGGTATAGAAAACCAACTGACCCAACAGGCATGACGTGCATGCTGCAGAAAATGATAGGCTGTTCAGCTAAAATGATATCAAATGCTTTAAAATGGCAGCCAAACCCAAAAGGCACGGAAGAAAAAGAAAAACAACTATTTGAATGGATCGGAGAATAACCAAAATGACAAAGGCTCAGCCAATGATGAGCTCCAGGAGGATCAAAGAAGATCTAAGATTGCCTGTGAGTACTGTAACAATCAGACGACGTCTATGTGAAGCCAAGCTACCAGCAAGAAGCCCCCACAAAGTCCCATTGTTAAAATAAATACATGTGCTGAAGCGGTTACAATTTGCCAAAGAACACATTGACTGGCCTAAAAAGAAATGGCGTAATATTTTGTGAACTGATGAGAGTGAGATTGTTCTTTTTTGGGTCTAAGGGCCACAGACAGTTTGTGAGACATCCTGCAAACACATCAGTTTGAGTCCATCAGAATACTAAAAGAAGTCATGTTGCCGTATGCTGAAGAGGAACTGCCCTTGAAATGGTTGTTTCAACAAGACAATGACCCCAAACAAACTAGCAAGCGAGTAAAATCATGGTTCCAGACAAACAGAATTCAAGTAATAGAGTGGCCAGCACAATCCCTGGACCTTAATCCCATAGAAAACTTGGACTGACATGAAAAATGCTGTTCATGAGGCAAAACCAAGAAATGCGGAGGAATTGTGGAACATAGTACAATTGTCCTGGGCTGCAATACCTGTTGACCGGTGCCAGAAGTTGGTTGACTCCATGTACCACAGATGTGAAGCAGTTATCAGAAACCGTGGTTATGCAACTAGATATTAGTTCATTCTTCTCTGGAAAGTTTGATCTTCAAGCATTTCTTAATTTATACAGTTTGAGTTTGTAAAGAAAGATGTCAACACTGCTTGACTTTCTGTTAAATGTTATCAAATTCAATGACTTTTCTTGCTTTGAAATAGAATGTGCAGTGTCCCCAATGCATTTGTCTTCATTAAAATACAGTTTATTTCAGAATTTTGAGGTTTACTCACCTTTTTAAACACAGTGCTCTTATTATGAACATAACTGTATGTGTGAAACAGCTGACCTGTGTGGTGTTTTTCCCTTCAGGTGTGCGTCCTGGCACCAGCCACACCCCACCACATATGGTTATGAAGACCCCTGCCCTCATAGTGAGCCCAGCCAGAAGACTCCCAGCTCCCTCACAAGTGGTTCCAATCCCAGCCACCAAAGTCTCTACACCTCAGACACAACCTGGACCTGGAACTGGACCTGGAGCCCCCCCAGCTCCCTCACAAGTGGTTCCAATCCCAGCTACCAAAGTCTCTACACCTCAGACACAACCTGGACCTGGAGCCCCCCCATGTCAGACTGCTAATGCTCTCTCCCATCCCACCCGCCTCACCACTGTTACCACACCCGTCACTCCCACTCCTAACTCTGCAGCAGAGGGACAGACCACCTGCCCTCCCCTGTCCTCCTCCCCCTCTGCTCCCAGTCCTGTTTCCTACCCCAGTTCAGCCTCCCTCATTCAGCCCACTCACCCCCCTCCCTCCGGCTCAGCTGCTGCCCTCTGCGCCCGCTTTGGACGAACCAGTAAGCACGCCACTGAGGACAGTCCCAGGGCGTTAGGGGTTAAATGTGTGGTGGACTTTGAGAGGATCTACAAATACCTAAGCTTTATCCTCAAGCCTGACGAAGAGTGTCCCCTCACCCCCATGGGTAAGTCATCATCCCTTACCCAGTTGGGTGTTTTTACAACATAAGAAGCAGCAAAGAAAGTTTTCAAACACTAGCAGATGGGAGTCTTGGCAGCAGAACGTCCTGTTGAACAAAGCGAGGCTGAACAGACAGAAATGAGAGCCGCGCTGTGATCCTGTGAAACTTCCTCCATGTTTTAGCGTGGTCAACAGTATCACAGAAACTTTGTGGAGTTTCAGAGTAGCTGCCTCAGTCATTAGTTAAGCAGTTAACATGCAGTCATTATGATATTAAAACAATAACTTCATGAAACTGATCACCAGACCAGAGACAGACATCCGTGCACTTTGGTCTTAAAAACCAGCATGACTGAATCAGGTGTGTTTTTGAAGCAGCCCTCTCTGTATCTTATTAACCAGCTATCATATAAAATCTCTGATGTTTTTAATTCTGTTCAGGTGTCTGCACATTTTTCTGTGCTTAAAAAGACATGCTTTTACTTTCTTTGTCCTCAAGAGGGCGCCATCATGCTGGACCTGTTGATGTCTCTTCCTGAGGAGCTCCCAAAGCTGGACTGCAATGGGCTGAGAAAACACCTGAGACAGGTAAAGCTGCAGCACTCTGGTTAGTTTATTACTCGTGTATAATCTCATGTACTATCACAGATCAGACTTTATGAGTACGGCTCTCTACAGACCAACCGTATATTCACATTAATTACATTAGTAATTATTTTTCATTTTTAAAACGGAACTGTGCCTGAAGTTGGTGAATTACTGATAATAGATAAGAACTCATTTCATAAGTAGCTACTCCTGGAAACTCTTAGCCAGTTTACAGTCACTGAATCACATGAATATCTCTTTACTTTGGTTCTACAGTTCTTGAGTCAGTTTTCAGAGATCGAGTGAAATTAAGACTCTGCAGCAGAGACTTTAAAAAGGAAAAAAAATAGAATTCAGTAAGGACTAATACAGTGAAAATGCAAAGAGACTAAATCGAGACTGAAACAGAAAAACTAAAATGAAGCAAAATACTGACAGGAGGAAGTTAAGACATAGTGGAGAAAGATGCTGTGATCTGAGACTGAGCAGTAAAATATCCCTTAAAAATTGAATATACATGAGACAGATACAGAGAAACTGAGACTCAGAAGAGACAGATACAGTAAAACTGAGACTCAGAAGAGACAGATACAGTAAAACTGAGACTCAGAGGAGACAGGGACAGTAAAACTGAGAGTCAGAGGAGACAGAGACAGAAAACTGAGGTCCAGAGGAGACAGATTCAGTAAAACTGAGACTCAGAGGAGACAGATTTAGTAAAAGTGACACTCAGCAGAGGCAAACACAGTAAAACTGAGACTCAGAGGAGACAGACACAGTAAAACTGAGACTCAGAGGAGACGGAGACAGACAGTATAACTGAGACTCAAAGTTGACAGATAAAATTAAACTGAGACTCAGAGGAAACAGATACAATAAAACTAAGACTCAGCCTTAGCGGAGCTAGGTAGTTATGTACTGGCCAAAACAGACACTGGCTGTTGAATTCGATCATTGAAATCCTGGTACTGATCCTAATAACAGCTCATAAAACGATGACCTGGTCTGTCTCAGGTATCTGGGAGCAGCAGGACATTTTGTCTGCTCTCAGTTAATGGAGGAGGAGACCTTAACCTCAGGGTGAGGGTCCAGGTGATGGTAGAGACACAGAGGGGTTTTCTGTTTGGTCTGTCTGGTGTATGAAAGATGGGAACGTGCAGCTCGTGTTTAATGAAAGATTACAGTTAGTTCCTGTCTTGTCCCCTCAGGCGTATCAGAGTCTCTCCTCCTCATCTGACTCCAGGGCAGCCAGAGACCTTTTCAAAGACTTGCAGGACAGACCTGGGGCTCAGACTGAGTCTCCTGCTGTTACAAACATGGACAGACCTGACACCCAGCAGAACCCTGCAGGACCTGCAGACATAGACAAGAGGGGGGTCACACAGCAGCCACAAGAAGCTGAGACCCACTCATCTGCGAGCAACACCACAGCCAATCAGGATGCAGACATTTCGGGGGTCTGCCCCCCTCTCAACCCTTTCATGGTGCCTCTGAAACTGTTGAAACGCAGAGAGATTGTGCTGCAGAGTCTATGAATGTTATTTCCACCTTTATTAATATCAGTGTTTTACTTTTGTGGAGTATCAGAGCAGGTATCACACCTGAACTCTCATCTGAAACAGGAAGTCAAGTTCGTCAAGCCTGGCCGGGCCATCCTGTTGCGTGAATCACTTGCCATTCCTTCCCACAACAAGGAAGGAACGGGAAGGAACGGCAAGTGATTCACGCAACAAGATGGCCCGGCCAGACTAAAGTTCATCTGGTTTATCCTCTTCTTTTCTGCGTTTTTTCATCCCTCATTTTTTGAATTGTGCCAGACTTTTCTGTTTGTTTTAAACTTTGTTCTGCAGGAAAACTGTGACTTTCAAACCCTAATGCTGTTGAATCAGAGGTCACCTTGAGGTCAAAGCTTGGCGAACAAGTACCTCAGAGTTTTAAAAATGTTCGTTTCTTTAGGGAAGTTTGTTTTTGAGAATAAATGCTTTCTTGTTTGTCTGTTAGGTTTCTGTCTGTCTTACCTGAAAGATCTGTGTGATCTGAAGTGACTTTGAGCTGTCTGACGTATTCAGCTCTACAGGAGGAGGAACAAATAATATAATAATAATAAAAAAGATAAAAAAATACTTTTTGTTGTATTGCTTTCCATGTTTTTGCAAAACTTTTTGAGAGCATTCCATCCCTCCAAGATAATAGTAAAGCTCATCATGATTCTCCATATTTTTCATGTCATATCTAGAGAAATAACAAAGAGGAAGTGACCTCCCCATGTTTAAAGATAAATAGTCCTGAAGGACTCCTCTCAGGTATCTCTAATATTTAAGCGTCACTCCTTCTAGCTGATGCAAACCGCAAGACATCAAAAATCTCAAAGGAATGTTCTCTCCTTGATTTTTTTACAGGTGAAGACATGGTGTGAAAAAAGTAAAACCTCAGCAGTAAAAGGAGCCAAGCAGTCCTGTGATGTCCACCACGACTACACTTTCCATTTCCCAGCAGGAGGATGACATATGGACTTTATCTGGCGAGTTACCCAATAAAGATAAACACCACTGTCAAGTAACGCAAAACAAACTCAATAAAGCCATAAAATATATAATTATAGAAGAGGAAATAAACACTCCCTCTGAATTCTGTAAGACATCTCAGGCTACTACAACTCTTATCATTTTTATTATTACAACTATTATTGTTATTTTACAAGACCAATGCAAAAAAGCTTAGATCCTGTGTAAACTGATAACAGAAATTTGAGTTTTTCTGATTGAAAATGAGCTGATAGATTCTCATAGATTTTGGACTCCTGCTCCAAACAGGCTTTTTATTTCAGCTGTAATAAATTGGAGGACAACCATAAAGCAGTTTTATTCTGTATGACTAAGGCTGAGTTTAACAGACAAGATTGTAATTGACAAGTGGAAAACTTATTTGGATTTTAGGTTCGAACCAGGAACAGGATCAGCTGATCAAGAGTTCAGACTGCAGTCACAGGACACTGAATTCACCTGTACCTGTGAGCCATAAGAAACCCTGAGCTCCTTAATAAGCCTGTGTGTGACACACACAAAGCAAACACTCCAAAAAGAACTGATCCGTATCATGAACACCTGCCCAAATGTTGCTGGTCAAAGGTGAGTTTCAATCTTGATTTCATAATGACTTCAGGTATAAATTACTAAGTACAAACACAAAGATGAAACATCACGCACTGCCAAAGTATGACGGGATCAACAGAAAGAACTTCCTCAAAGCTTCACAGAGGGGCCGACATGGTTCAAGGACGGTGCACCTCTGTTTCATTTCACTGGAAAGCCCAGCGTATTTATCAGTTAGGTTACATTTTTGACCCTCAAGTCATAAAACATCCAACCAGGAAACACTGACTGATAGAGATGTTAATCATCATAGTTACCAAACTGCACTGTAATATTACACTCATCAGGATTGTATCACAGTGGGTTCAGTTTGCTCTGCCTTTCTGTAGTGAGGGGTCGACCTGCAGATGCCACAAGATGCTGAGACCTGATTGGTCAAAACCATTTCAGTTTTTACTCATTACAATCTAACATCTATTTTTCCATAGACACTATTATCGTACATGAAGATGTACAAAACCCAATTCCACTGAAGTTGGGAAATTGTGATGAATGTAAATAAAAACAGAATACAATGATTTGCAAATCCTTTTCAAGCTATATTCAACTGAATACACTACAAAGACAAGATATTTAATGTTCAAACTCAAACACTTTTTTTATTTTTGAAAATAATAATTACCTCAGAATTTCATGGCTGAAACACATGCCAAAGTAGTGTGGAAAGGGGCATGTTTGCCACTGTGTTACATCACCTTTCCTTTTAACAACACTCAACAAACGTTTGGGAACTGAGGAGACCAATTGTTGAAGCTTTGAAGGTGGAATTCTTTCCCATTCTTGCTTGATGTACAGCTTCAGTTGTTCAACAGTCCGGGGTCTCCGTTGTTGTATTTTACGCTTCATAATGCGGCACACATTTTAAATAGGAGACAGGTCTGGACTGCAGGCAGACCAGTCGAATACCTGCACTCTTTTACTACGAAGCCACACTGTTGTAACATGTGCAGAATGTGGCTTGGCATTGTCTTGCTGAAATAAGCAGGGGCGTCCATGAAGTCACATGTTGCTGCCATCAAATTCTAAAATTAATTATTATTTGCAAAAAAAAAAGTTTATGAGTTTGAACATTAAATATCTTGTCTTTGTAGTATATTCAACTGAACAGAGGATTTGCAAATCATTGCATTCTGTTTTTATTTACGTTTTTCACAATTTCCCAACTTCAATGGAATTGGGTTTTGTACACCAGAACTTTAAAGGTCAATATGGCTCATACTGGGTGTAATGAGATGGTTTGATTAGATTGGACAAAGTTACTGTTTAAATTTGAGTTTTTTTCAGTCCTTATTAGATTTAGTCTGATTTAAAAGACTTTAATGTTTCCCAGACAACAAACTAGTAAGGGGTGAAATGTTCAGAAATAAAAGTGGACTTGAGTTAGATTTGTTGAGGACTAACTGCATTAAGTTTTACCAAAGTTACCCAATAACTAACCTTCTAACTGTAAATACAGAAACAACGAAAACAGTGAAGAAAATGTGAAGCGCTTTTGAAGATTTCTCTGGACCTGAGCACATAAGGGGGACTGTGGGGAAAAGGAAAACTGTTCTGTGGGCTGAGGGATCAGGTGCACATTAAAGTACAGTAAAAGTTTTAAAACATCAAACTGGCCTTAGACCAGCTGGTGTTTCAGTTACTTCTAACATCCACAGCCTTAACTGCGGATTATACTGTTTCTAAAGAATCTGATTATGACTTTATAAGACGGCGCTGTAATTTAAGTCCAACAAATGTAAAATATAAAAATGGTTAAATATTAAAATACACTGGCAATAGACGCATTTCTGAACATTTCCTGAGAACACAGTCCAGCTAATCTCTACAAGAGGGCTCAAAGGTTAACACTTCAGACACTTGAGATGGTGACAAAAAGGGAGAGGTTTGGAAAAAGAATTACACCCAAACCAATCCTACAATTACACAATGTATTTCATAAGAGCAATACTGTGTCAGAGGTCAGTGCAAACAGATTCTATAGCTTTTAAAAGTGAAGAACTATAGTCAATCAAAAAAGAGCAAAGGCCACATATCAAAAATTCAAACTAAAAATATAAATGTGCAGTCTGTGCGCATCTATCTGCTCTATCTGATGTTTGTAAAAAGTAGTTCCAGGTTCATGTTTCTGAATGTGTGTCCTCGGCTCTTCTTTCACCAACCCTCTGTAGACCTTAGTGAACCCGACAGACCAGGTTCCCGTCTCATTCATTATCTGGATGGTAGCTGATGTTACTCCTAAACTTGTAGATATTGTCCAGCATTAATGTAGCCTTCTCAGATGTGGAAGATACCCATGACATGAACTCTGATGATCTCCATACCATCAGGGATGCTGGATTTAGACTGGGAGCTGAGAACAAACCAGGTTGTCTCTCTACTCTTTACAGAGGAGAATGCAGTGTCTACGATTTCTATAAAGAATGTCATTGATTGGTTAGACCAGGTATCAGTATGTTGTGCTGTCTGCAGGTTGACCCCTCACTACAGAAAGGCAAACTGAATCCACCATAATGCAATCCTGATGTGTGTTTTTTTTACAGTGCAGTTTGGTCACCATGGAGATTCACATTTATGACTTGAGGGTCAAAAATGTAACCTAACTGATTAATAGGCTGGGGTTTTCTCGTAAAATGAAACAGAGGAGCATCGTCCTTGAACCATGTCGGCCCCTCTGTGAAGCTTTGAGGAAGTTCTTTCCGGTCATGCTGTCATACTTTGGCAGTGTGTGATGTTTCATCTTTGTGTTTGTACTTAGTAATTCATACCTGAAGTCGTTATAAAATCAGGATTGAAACTCACCTTTGACCAGCAACATTTGGGCAGGTCTTCATGATACGGATCAGTTCTTTTTGGAGTGTTTGCTTTGTGTGTGTCACACACAGGCTTATTAAGGAGCTCAGGATTTCATATAGCCCACAGGTACAGGTGAATTCAGTGTTTCGGGACTGCAGTCTGACCTCTTGATCAGCTGATCCTGTTCCTGGTTCGAACCTAAAATCCAAATAACTTTTCTGTGTCCAGGATTCCAAAGAAGAATATGGATCATGTTTGTATTCTGTTTCCTCATTTCATGATGTGAGGGATTAACTGTGTCAGTTCAGTCAGGAATGATCTTTTATAGACTTTTAACCTTTTGTTGCAAAAATTTAATACAGTAACAGTTGGGTTTAAGACTCCACTATGGCTTGTAGTCTGCAGTTAGATGTGAAACCGCCACAGCAATGCAGGATGCAGACACAGCCTTTACTTAGGTTGTACAGGGACTGGACACTTTGTAGCAGCAGCCCTGTTATCCCCCCTTTAACCTCCTGTGGGGCATGTTCACAGCTCCTCTCTTTGTCTACAGAACACTTGTAGACTGGATGACCAAACCCTGGTGCACCATCCTGAAATCCTGTAAGATTAAACAGCTGGTCCACTGTGCCTCAACCAGGACTAAATTCACTCAGTTCTCCAAGTATCTGGGGTTCAAAGGTTCTTAACAGTAAAAGTAATCTCCATCAGTGGATGCACACCCTCCAGGGATTAACTTTCCCTCCTTAAAATGGTGTTTGAGTAAAGTGACCTCGCCCTAAAAGAAACAGCGACTGCTCAGAGTGTCTCTCAGGAAAAATAACGCTAAACGTCACAATCCTGAGTATGGCATCATCAGGAAAATATTAACTGAGGGAGTAAATCAGCAGAGAAGTGGGACCATTAAACAATCGCACGGCTTATACAACCAGAGGAGCTGTGAAGTTTCAGTCAATCAATCAATAAAACTCTATTTGTTAAGTTCTTTTCATACAAGGAAGTGTAGCACAAAGTGTTTAACAGGAACAAAAGAAGCGACTAAAACAACCGAAAACCTGAGTCATGCCTCAGGTGAATGACAAGCAAACAAAAGATAGACTGAATATTTCTCAGAAATTAGTTCATAAAAGACCCCACACAATTAGAACTGAGAGCATGTTTTCTGTAAGTAAATACTGGAGGAGAGGTTAAAGCGTAAAAAGTCAAGTGAGCAATAAAAACAGAAAAAGAACTGAATCAGTTTGACAAAAAAAAGACACCATGAGGTCAAAGTGTGCAATAAAATGTAGGCGATGGGGATCTGCACGCGGACCTTTATGAGCTTGCACAAGTTTGGCTCTTCTACATGTAATAAAGAGAAGATAAAAAAAGCAAAATTGCCTAAACACTTAAAAAACAGACCTAAATAAACATGTAAGGAATTAAAAAAGTTAGTCTTGAGTTTGCTATGAAGGACTCTTCAGAATTTGCTTTTCCACAAAAATAAGCTGTTCTTATAAAAAGCTGCCTCTTTCTGGGTTTTTGGTCTGACTTTAGGATCTAGGAAAGGACCTCGAGCTGAACACCTGGGGACTCTCAGGATCAGGAGCTGGAACAAAATCTGCGAAATGAGTCAAAGTAAGACCACTCAATAGAAGAGCTTGAAAACTGGCTCTCAGGGAGACTGTTGGCCAGTGCAGGGACAAACACCAGTCCTTTTTTATGACACAGACTGTGGCCAACATGGGGGGAATTTGAGTCAGAACTATGGTCTATATTTTTACTGTTTTTTTACCTCTAACTACAAACTTTCCCAGTCTTTAACCAACTGTTACACAGTCTATCCTTCATGCAGACTACATGTTTCTGGGGGGATATTAGAATTGATAGAGCATGCATTTGAAGACTGAGTAATGTCCGATAATACTTCGATATGTTTTCATATATTCTATATTAAATATTTTACAGTTTTAGGTGTGGGTGTGTCTGTTGCAGCAGAATTTAAGGTGGCACATCCTGAGAGTTCCTGCAGTCCTTCCTGCAGGTGTTGTCTGGGGGAATATAAAAAACAGTTGGTTGACTCACGTGCAGAAGGTGTGTGCATGTCATAAACTCATGTCAAGGTGACCATATTCAACACTGAGCTGCATCCCTGTAGCTGAGGCAGTAAGCAGAGCTCACCCCATAGATGAGTTACTGAAATCATGTGTTTAATTTCTGTGTTTTTTTAGTGTTTTTAAATTTGGACTCCTGAGTCTTGGACACTTGGCTGAGGGATCAAACCCAGTCATGGCACCTTCTTCAACTTTTGTGTTTGTATTTTTTATACTCCTCTGTGCTGCTTCTGTGGACAGAGCGGCTCACGGTAAGATGTTAACGTCAATAAACTTTCCTTCCTACTTTCACCTCTTGTTGTAAAAATCTTTCATTTTATATTTTAGTCATTTTGCACTAAAGCTGTAGCGTTATGGCTGCCAGTTTTCTTTAATTGAGAAGAACTTGTCAAGTCAGGGAAAAAGGGAAATGAAAAATTTCATACAAATTTGTGAGCAAATTTGAAAGACTGTAAAATGAATTAAATGATTAAATGTCTCATAATTCTTGATCAGGGTGCCGTTGGTGAGGAAAAAGGATTTTTTTTGCTAAAATTATTTCCTTTTTTGTTCATATCATGCCACATCAGCATCAGCAAAAGAATCCACTCCCTGCATCTCTCTGTGTGTTTAATGACAAAACGAACATTTACAGGTTTTCCAAAGTTCATTCTGGCTACAGTAAGCTGTCGACACACCATTGCAGTTGATCCACAATAAATCCCTAAAAAAAATTTTGTGACTGAAAAAAATCTCAAATACAATGTGGAAATTTTTTTACGTCTAATTCATTTATCTGAATCGCTTCCATATGAGGCTTGTGTCACTTTACAGAATAAAGAAACCAATTTTAAATCTTCTGGTTTAAGCAGGATTTTGGAGATAAATTTGAAAAATGTTGTTTCTAGACTCTTATATATTAGTAAGAAGGGCTCCAAGTCTTCAATAAGAGTGCTCCGGTTTAAAATCGATCAAATGCATCAGTTATTCTGATTTTAACAAAGAAAACTCCAATTCAGTTGCATAAATTCTCAAAGACAAAGAGGTCATGACTTTTGGTTGTAGTCGCCGCCTCAAAGACTCTCTTCCTGTTGGCGGCTGAAGCCCCTGCACCAACCATGTTAACACTTTCACTTCTGCAGTCAGGGGTGTGCCTAGATCGCTTTGATAGGGTGGCCAAAACCAGCGCACTGAGTGGCATCAAGTATGTGCACATATACAAGAATGAAAGTACAGTACTTATTCACCATTGCTTTCCCTGCCAATGAGATCTACTTTATAAGGGATATTTCAGTATTTGAAGTGAGGTTGTAGGATGTTAGTGTCGCTGGTCAGTGTTTTAAGACACTAGATGTCCATACTTTCCTTTAAAGTGGATACTCCCCTTTAAACAAGTAGAAGACAGAACACAGGTAGGCAAGTCAGATGAGGTAGAGGTACCCAAAAACATGAGGCAAAAAGGTAAGGTCAAAAAGGCAGGCAAGTTCCAAAGAATACTTGACTATGACTGTGGCTATGAACAAGAGTGCTGGAACTAGGACTGTGAAGTATGACAAACTGGCAAAAAAGACATGAGAGACAAGAGGTATGAGGTACATGAAACAATCAGGAGGCACGTGTGACAACATGTGGGCAGGGAAGATCTAACATGAACAAACTGAAAACATGGATGAGGTTAGTGATGTCAAAATAAAACAGGAAAGACAGGACATGACAGTGAATTTGCAAAAAAATAAGGGAATCTTGACAGACATGACACAAAAAGGAAATAAACCTACAATCATGACACAGAGAGTGCACAACATTCAACAAAAAACAATTAAGCGAGAAAATAAACACAAACAGAAAAGTAAAAGGTAGATCTCTTGTAAACTCTTTGAGTCCCACCTCAAAAAGAGCATTAAAAGAAAGCTGACAACAGTTCAGAATCAGCTATATAGGCTAGGTATGTTACACTCATACAGAAATGGTACGTCTGATAAATTTTGGCCTTTACAACATGTAATATGGTAAATGCAACATATGAACAAGATTGTTGTTTTTGTATAGATTTGGAGGAATAAACTAGAAAACAAATGAATTAAATGAAATAAAAGCATAACAAAATGTAAGATATATAACTATAATGACAATGTTGTACTATTTCTTGAGCTGACCTTGTGTCTCCTTTATTTTTTCTCATCTGCTTTCTGGGGCCAATAATTTGTGATACAGGTCTAAAAACTAAAGGAAAACAAAACCAAAGGACTGTTAAAACAGCAACAAGTAATACTTCAACTACACCAGGTAGGGGCAGCAGTGGGCCAACAACAGCTGGGCCAACAAGTGAGGGCAGCAGCAGCCCCGCACCAACAACTGCTCCACCTGCAACCAGTGGGCCAACAACAGCTGGGCCAACAAGTGAGGGCAGCAGCAGCCCCGCACCAACAACTGCTCCACCTGCAACCAGTGGGCCAACAACAGCTGGGCCAACAAGTGAGGGCAGCAGCAGCCCCGCACCAACAACTGCTCCACCTGCAACCAGTGGGCCAACAACAGCTGGGCCAACAAGTGAGGGCAGCAGCAGCCCCGCACCAACAACTGCTCCACCTGCAACCAGTGGGCCAACAACAGCTGGGCCAACAAGTGAGGGCAGCAGCAGCCCCGCACCAACAACTGCTCCACCTGCAACCAGTGGGCCAACAACAGCTGGGCCAACAAGTGAGGGCAGCAGCAGCCCCGCACCAACAACTGCTCCACCTGCAACCAGTGGGCCAACAACAGCTGGGCCAACAAGTGAGGGCAGCAGCAGCCCCGCACCAACAACTGCTCCACCTGCAACCAGTGGGCCAACAACAGCTGGGCCAACAAGTGAGGGCAGCAGCAGCCCCGCACCAACAACTGCTCCACCTGCAACCAGTGGGCCAACAACAGCTGGGCCAACAAGTGAGGGCAGCAGCAGCCCCGCACCAACAACTGCTCCACCTGCAACCAGTGGGCCAACAACAGCTGGGCCAACAAGTGAGGGCAGCAGCAGCCCCGCACCAACAACTGCTCCACCTGCAACCAGTGGGCCAACAACAGCTGGGCCAACAAGTGAGGGCAGCAGCAGCCCCGCACCAACAACTGCTCCACCTGCAACCAGTGGGCCAACAACAGCTGGGCCAACAAGTGAGGGCAGCAGCAGCCCCGCACCAACAACTGCTCCACCTGCAACCAGTGGGCCAACAACAGCTGGGCCAACAAGTGAGGGCAGCAGCAGCCCCGCACCAACAACTGCTCCACCTGCAACCAGTGGGCCAACAACAGCTGGGCCAACAAGTGAGGGCAGCAGCAGCCCCGCACCAACAACTGCTCCACCTGCAACCAGTGGGCCAACAACAGCTGGGCCAACAAGTGAGGGCAGCAGCAGCCCCGCACCAACAACTGCTCCACCTGCAACCAGTGGGCCAACAACAGCTGGGCCAACAAGTGAGGGCAGCAGCAGCCCCGCACCAACAACTGCTCCACCTGCAACCAGTGGGCCAACAACAGCTGGGCCAACAAGTGAGGGCAGCAGCAGCCCCGCACCAACAACTGCTCCACCTGCAACCAGTGGGCCAACAACAGCTGGGCCAACAAGTGAGGGCAGCAGCAGCCCCGCACCAACAACTGCTCCACCTGCAACCAGTGGGCCAACAACAGCTGGGCCAACAAGTGAGGGCAGCAGCAGCCCCGCACCAACAACTGCTCCACCTGCAACCAGTGGGCCAACAACAGCTGGGCCAACAAGTGAGGGCAGCAGCAGCCCCGCACCAACAACTGCTCCACCTGCAACCAGTGGGCCAACAACAGCTGGGCCAACAAGTGAGGGCAGCAGCAGCCCCGCACCAACAACTGCTCCACCTGCAACCAGTGGGCCAACAACAGCTGGGCCAACAAGTGAGGGCAGCAGCAGCTCCGCACCAACAACTGCTCCACCTGCAACCAGTGGGCCAACAACAGCTGGGCCAACAAGTGAGGGCAGCAGCAGCCCCGCACCAACAACTGCTCCACCTGCAACCAGTGGGCCAACAACAGCTGGGCCAACAAGTGAGGGCAGCAGCAGCCCCGCACCAACAACTGCTCCACCTGCAACCAGTGGGCCAACAACAGCTGGGCCAACAAGTGAGGGCAGCAGCAGCCCCGCACCAACAACTGCTCCACCTGCAACCAGTGGGCCAACAACAGCTGGGCCAACAAGTGAGGGCAGCAGCAGCCCCGCACCAACAACTGCTCCACCTGCAACCAGTGGGCCAACAACAGCTGGGCCAACAAGTGAGGGCAGCAGCAGCCCCGCACCAACAACTGCTCCACCTGCAACCAGTGGGCCAACAACAGCTGGGCCAACAAGTGAGGGCAGCAGCAGCCCCGCACCAACAACTGCTCCACCTGCAACCAGTGGGCCAACAACAGCTGGGCCAACAAGTGAGGGCAGCAGCAGCCCCGCACCAACAACTGCTCCACCTGCAACCAGTGGGCCAACAACAGCTGGGCCAACAAGTGAGGGCAGCAGCAGCCCCGCACCAACAACTGCTCCACCTGCAACCAGTGGGCCAACAACAGCTGGGCCAACAAGTGAGGGCAGCAGCAGCCCCGCACCAACAACTGCTCCACCTGCAACCAGTGGGCCAACAACAGCTGGGCCAACAAGTGAGGGCAGCAGCAGCCCCGCACCAACAACTGCTCCACCTGCAACCAGTGGGCCAACAACAGCTGGGCCAACAAGTGAGGGCAGCAGCAGCCCCGCACCAACAACTGCTCCACCTGCAACCAGTGGGCCAACAACAGCTGGGCCAACAAGTGAGGGCAGCAGCAGCCCCGCACCAACAACTGCTCCACCTGCAACCAGTGGGCCAACAACAGCTGGGCCAACAAGTGAGGGCAGCAGCAGCCCCGCACCAACAACTGCTCCACCTGCAACCAGTGGGCCAACAACAGCTGGGCCAACAAGTGAGGGCATAATCTCACCAACAACTGCTCCACCTGCAACCAGTGGGCCAACAACAGCTGGGCCAACAAGTGAGGGCAGCAGCAGCCCCGCACCAACAACTGCTCCACCTGCAACCAGTGGGCCAACAACAGCTGGGCCAACAAGTGAGGGCAGCAGCAGCCCCGCACCAACAACTGCTCCACCTGCAACCAGTGGGCCAACAACAGCTGGGCCAACAAGTGAGGGCAGCAGCAGCCCCGCACCAACAACTGCTCCACCTGCAACCAGTGGGCCAACAACAGCTGGGCCAACAAGTGAGGGCAGCAGCAGCCCCGCACCAACAACTGCTCCACCTGCAACCAGTGGGCCAACAACAGCTGGGCCAACAAGTGAGGGCAGCAGCAGCCCACGCTCCCCAACAACTGCTCCACCTGCAACCAGTGGGCCAACAACAGCTGGGCCAACAAGTGGGGGAAGCAGCAGCCTTGCACCAACAACTGCTCCACCTGCAACCAGTGGGCCAACAACAGCTGGGCCAACAAGTGAGGGCAGCAGCAGCAGCCCCGCACCAACAACTGCTCCACCTGCAACCAGTGGGCCAACAACAGCTGGGCCAACAAGTGAGGGCAGCAGCAGCCCCGCACCAACAACTGCTCCACCTGCAACCAGTGGGCCAACAACAGCTGGGCCAACAAGTGAGGGCAGCAGCAGCAGCCCCGCACAAACAACTGCTCCACCTGCAACCAGTGGGCCAACAACAGCTGGGCCAACAAGTGAGGGCAGCAGCAGCCCCGCACCAACAACTGCTCCACCTGCAACCAGTGGGCCAACAACAGCTGGGCCAACAAGTGAGGGCAGCAGCAGCCCCGCACCAACAACTGCTCCACCTGCAACCAGTGGGCCAACAACAGCTGGGCCAACAAGTGAGGGCAGCAGCAGCCCCGCACCAACAACTGCTCCACCTGCAACCAGTGGGCCAACAACAGCTGGGCCAACAAGTGAGGGCATAATCTCACCAACAACTGCTCCACCTGCAACCAGTGGGCCAACAACAGCTGGGCCAACAAGTGAGGGCAGCAGCAGCCCCGCACCAACAACTGCTCCACCTGCAACCAGTGGGCCAACAACAGCTGGGCCAACAAGTGAGGGCAGCAGCAGCCCCGCACCAACAACTGCTCCACCTGCAACCAGTGGGCCAACAACAGCTGGGCCAACAAGTGAGGGCAGCAGCAGCCCCGCACCAACAACTGCTCCACCTGCAACCAGTGGGCCAACAACAGCTGGGCCAACAAGTGAGGGCATAATCTCCCCAACAACTGCTCCACCTGCAACCAGTGGGCCAACAACAGCTGGGCCAACAAGTGGGGGAAGCAGCAGCCCCGCACCAACAACTGCTCCACCTGCAACCAGTGGGCCAACAACAGCTGGGCCAACAAGTGAGGGCAGCAGCAGCCCCGCACCAACAACTGCTCCACCTGCAACCAGTGGGCCAACAACAGCTGGGCCAACAAGTGAGGGCAGCAGCAGCCCCGCACCAACAACTGCTCCACCTGCAACCAGTGGGCCAACAACAGCTGGGCCAACAAGTGAGGGCAGCAGCAGCCCCGCACCAACAACTGCTCCACCTGCAACCAGTGGGCCAACAACAGCTGGGCCAACAAGTGAGGGCAGCAGCAGCCCCGCACCAACAACTGCTCCACCTGCAACCAGTGGGCCAACAACAGCTGGGCCAACAAGTGAGGGCATAATCTCCCCAACAACTGCTCCACCTGCAACCAGTGGGCCAACAACAGCTGGGCCAACAAGTGGGGGAAGCAGCAGCCCCGCACCAACAACTGCTCCACCTGCAACCAGTGGGCCAACAACAGCTGGGCCAACAAGTGAGGGCAGCAGCAGCAGCCCCGCACCAACAACTGCTCCACCTGCAACCAGTGGGCCAACAACAGCTGGGCCAACAAGTGAGGGCAGCAGCAGCCCCGCACCAACAACTGCTCCACCTGCAACCAGTGGGCCAACAACAGCTGGGCCAACAAGTGAGGGCAGCAGCAGCCCCGCACCAACAACTGCTCCACCTGCAACCAGTGGGCCAACAACAGCTGGGCCAACAAGTGAGGGCAGCAGCAGCCCCGCACCAACAACTTCTCCACCTGCAACCAGTGGGCCAACAACAGCTGGGCCAACAAGTGAGGGCATAATCTCACCAACAACTGCTCCACCTGCAACCAGTGGGCCAACAACAGCTGGGCCAACAAGTGAGGGCAGCAGCAGCCCCGCACCAACAACTGCTCCACCTGCAACCAGTGGGCCAACAACAGCTGGGCCAACAAGTGAGGGCAGCAGCAGCCCCGCACCAACAACTGCTCCACCTGCAACCAGTGGGCCAACAACAGCTGGGCCAACAAGTGAGGGCAGCAGCAGCCCCGCACCAACAACTGCTCCACCTGCAACCAGTGGGCCAACAACAGCTGGGCCAACAAGGAGGCAGCAAGCTGGCAGTGAGGGCAGCAGCAGCCCCGCACCAACAACTGCTCCACCTGCAACCAGTGGGCCAACAACAGCTGGGCCAACAAGTGAGGGCAGCAGCCCCAACAACTGCTCCACCTGCAACCAGTGGGCCAACAACAGCTGGGCCAACAAGTGAGGGAGCAGCAGCCCCGCACCAACAACTGCTCCACCTGCAACCAGTGGGCCAACAACAGCTGGGCCAACAAGTGAGGGCAGCAGCAGCCCCGCACCAACAACTGCTCCACCTGCAACCAGTGGGCCAACAACAGCTGGGCCAACAAGTGAGGGCAACAACCAACAACTGCTCCACCTGCAACCAGTGGGCCAACAACAGCTGGGCCAACAAGTGAGGGCAGCAGCAGCCCCGCACCAACAACTGCTCCACCTGCAACCAGTGGGCCAACAACAGCTGGGCCAACAAGTGAGGGCAGCAGCAGCCCCGCACCAACAACTGCTCCACCTGCAACCAGTGGGCCAACAACAGCTGGGCCAACAAGTGAGGGCAGCAGCAGCCCCGCACCAACAACTGCTCCACCTGCAACCAGTGGGCCAACAACAGCTGGGCCAACAAGTGAGGGCAGCAGCAGCCCCGCACCAACAACTGCTCCACCTGCAACCAGTGGGCCAACAACAGCTGGGCCAACAAGTGAGGGCAGCAGCAGCCCCGCACCAACAACTGCTCCACCTGCAACCAGTGGGCCAACAACAGCTGGGCCAACAAGTGAGGGCATAATCTCACCAACAACTGCTCCACCTGCAACCAGTGGGCCAACAACAGCTGGGCCAACAAGTGAGGGCAGCAGCAGCCCCGCACCAACAACTGCTCCACCTGCAACCAGTGGGCCAACAACAGCTGGGCCAACAAGTGAGGGCAGCAGCAGCCCCGCACCAACAACTGCTCCACCTGCAACCAGTGGGCCAACAACAGCTGGGCCAACAAGTGAGGGCATAATCTCACCAACAACTGCTCCACCTGCAACCAGTGGGCCAACAACAGCTGGGCCAACAAGTGAGGGCAGCAGCAGCCCCGCACCAACAACTGCTCCACCTGCAACCAGTGGGCCAACAACAGCTGGGCCAACAAGTGAGGGCAGCAGCAGCCCCGCACCAACAACTGCTCCACCTGCAACCAGTGGGCCAACAACAGCTGGGCCAACAAGTGAGGGCAGCAGCAGCCCCGCACCAACAACTGCTCCACCTGCAACCAGTGGGCCAACAACAGCTGGGCCAACAAGTGAGGGCATAATCTCACCAACAACTGCTCCACCTGCAACCAGTGGGCCAACAACAGCTGGGCCAACAAGTGAGGGGAAGCAGCAGCCTTGCACCAACAACTGCTCCACCTGCAACCAGTGGGCCAACAACAGCTGGGCCAACAAGTGAGGGCAGCAGCAGCAGCCCCGCACCAACAACTGCTCCACCTGCAACCAGTGGGCCAACAACAGCTGGGCCAACAAGTGAGGGCAGCAGCAGCCCCGCACCAACAACTGCTCCACCTGCAACCAGTGGGCCAACAACAGCTGGGCCAACAAGTGAGGGCAGCAGCAGCCCCGCACCAACAACTGCTCCACCTGCAACCAGTGGGCCAACAACAGCTGGGCCAACAAGTGAGGGCATAATCTCACCAACAACTGCTCCACCTGCAACCAGTGGGCCAACAACAGCTGGGCCAACAAGTGAGGGCAGCAGCAGCCCCGCACCAACAACTGCTCCACCTGCAACCAGTGGGCCAACAACAGCTGGGCCAACAAGTGAGGGCAGCAGCAGCCCCGCACCAACAACTGCTCCACCTGCAACCAGTGGGCCAACAACAGCTGGGCCAACAAGTGAGGGCAGCAGCAGCCCCGCACCAACAACTGCTCCACCTGCAACCAGTGGGCCAACAACAGCTGGGCCAACAAGTGAGGGCATAATCTCACCAACAACTGCTCCACCTGCAACCAGTGGGCCAACAACAGCTGGGCCAACAAGTGAGGGCAGCAGCAGCCCCGCACCAACAACTGCTCCACCTGCAACCAGTGGGCCAACAACAGCTGGGCCAACAAGTGAGGGCAGCAGCAGCCCCGCACCAACAACTGCTCCACCTGCAACCAGTGGGCCAACAACAGCTGGGCCAACAAGTGAGGGCAGCAGCAGCCCCGCACCAACAACTGCTCCACCTGCAACCAGTGGGCCAACAACAGCTGGGCCAACAAGTGAGGGCATAATCTCCCCAACAACTGCTCCACCTGCAACCAGTGGGCCAACAACAGCTGGGCCAACAAGTGAGGGAAGCAGCAGCCCCGCACCAACAACTGCTCCACCTGCAACCAGTGGGCCAACAACAGCTGGGCCAACAAGTGAGGGCAGCAAGCTCCGCACCAACAACTGCTCCACCTGCAACCAGTGGGCCAACAACAGCTGGGCCAACAAGTGAGGGCAGCAGCAGCCCCGCACCAACAACTGCTCCACCTGCAACCAGTGGGCCAACAACAGCTGGGCCAACAAGTGAGGGCAGCAGCAGCCCCGCACCAACAACTGCTCCACCTGCAACCAGTGGGCCAACAACAGCTGGGCCAACAAGTGAGGGCAGCAGCAGCCCCGCACCAACAACTGCTCCACCTGCAACCAGTGGGCCAACAACAGCTGGGCCAACAAGTGAGGGCAGCAGCAGCCCCGCACCAACAACTGCTCCACCTGCAACCAGTGGGCCAACAACAGCTGGGCCAACAAGTGAGGGCATAATCTCACCAACAACTGCTCCACCTGCAACCAGTGGGCCAACAACAGCTGGGCCAACAAGTGAGGGCAGCAGCAGCCCCGCACCAACAACTGTTCCACCTGCAACCAGTGGGCCAACAACAGCTGGGCCAACAAGTGAGGGCATAATCTCACCAACAACTGCTCCACCTGCAACCAGTGGGCCAACAACAGCTGGGCCAACAAGTGAGGGCAGCAGCAGCCCCGCACCAACAACTGCTCCACCTGCAACCAGTGGGCCAACAACAGCCGGGCCAACAAGTGAGGGCATAATCTCACCAACAACTGCTCCACCTGCAACCAGTGGGCCAACAACAACTGGGCCAACAAGTGAGGGCAGCAGCAGCCCCGCACCAACAACTGCTCCACCTGCAACTAGTGGGCCAACAACAGCTGGGCCAACAAGTGAGGGCAGCAGCAGCCCCGCACCAACAACTGCTCCACCTGCAACCAGTGGGCCAACAACAGCTAGGCCAACAAGTGAGGGCAGCAGCAGCCCCGCACCAACAACTGCTCCACCTGCAACCAGTGGGCCAACAACAGCTGGGCCAACAAGTGAGGGCATAATCTCACCAACAACTGCTCCACCTGCAACCAGTGGGCCAACAACAGCTGGGCCAACAAGTGAAGGCAGCAGCAGCCCCGCACCAACAACTGCTCCACCTGCAACCAGTGGGCCAACAACAGCTGGGCCAACAAGTGAGGGCAGCAATCTCACCAACAACTGCTCCACCTGCAACCAGTGGGCCAACAACAGCTGGGCCAACAAGTGAGGGCAGCAGCAGCCCCGCACCAACAACTGCTCCACCTGCAACCAGTGGGCCAACAACAGCTGGGCCAACAAGTGAAGGCAGCAGCACCCCTGCACCAACAACTGCTCCACCTGCAACCAGTGGGCCAACAACAGCTGGGCCAACAAGTGAGGGCAGCAGCAGCCCCGCACCAACAACTGCTCCACCTGCAACCAGTGGGCCAACAACAGCTGGGCCAACAAGTGAGGGCATAATCTCACCAACAACTGCTCCACCTGCAACCAGTGGGCCAACAACAGCTGGGCCAACAAGTGAGGGCAGCAGCAGCCCCGCACCAACAACTGCTCCACCTGCAACCAGTGGGCCAACAACAGCTGGGCCAACAAGTGAGGGCATAATCTCACCAACAACTGCTCCACCTGCAACCAGTGGGCCAACAACAGCTGGGCCAACAAGTGAGGGCAGCAGCAGCCCCGCACCAACAACTGCTCCACCTGCAACCAGTGGGCCAACAACAGCTGGGCCAACAAGTGAGGGCAGCAGCAGCCCCGCACCAACAACTGCTCCACCTGCAACCAGTGGGCCAACAACAGCTGGGCCAACAAGTGAGGGCAGCAGCAGCCCCGCACCAACAACTGCTCCACCTGCAACCAGTGGGCCAACAACAGCTGGGCCAACAAGTGAGGGCAGCAGCAGCCCCGCACCAACAACTGCTCCACCTGCAACCAGTGGGCCAACAACAGCTGGGCCAACAAGTGAGGGCAGCAGCAGCCCCCACCAACAACTGCTCCACCTGCAACCAGTGGGCCAACAACAGCTGGGCCAACAAGTGAGGGCAGCAGCAGCCCCGCACCAACAACTGCTCCACCTGCAACCAGTGGGCCAACAACAGCTGGGCCAACAAGTGAGGGCAGCAGCAGCCCCGCACCAACAACTGCTCCACCTGCAACCAGTGGGCCAACAACAGCTGGGCCAACAAGTGAGGGCAGCAGCAGCCCCGCACCAACAACTGCTCCACCTGCAACCAGTGGGCCAACAACAGCTGGGCCAACAAGTGAGGGCAGCAGCAGCCCCGCACCAACAACTGCTCCACCTGCAACCAGTGGGCCAACAACAGCTGGGCCAACAAGTGAGGGCATAATCTCACCAACAACTGCTCCACCTGCAACCAGTGGGCCAACAACAGCTGGGCCAACAAGTGAGGGCAGCAGCAGCCCCGCACCAACAACTGCTCCACCTGCAACCAGTGGGCCAACAACAGCTGGGCCAACAAGTGAGGGCAGCAGCAGCCCCGCACCAACAACTGCTCCACCTGCAACCAGTGGGCCAACAACAGCTGGGCCAACAAGTGAGGGCAGCAGCAGCCCCGCACCAACAACTGCTCCACCTGCAACCAGTGGGCCAACAACAGCTGGGCCAACAAGTGAGGGCAGCAGCAGCCCCGCACCAACAACTGCTCCACCTGCAACCAGTGGGCCAACAACAGCTGGGCCAACAAGTGAGGGCATAATCTCACCAACAACTGCTCCACCTGCAACCAGTGGGCCAACAACAGCTGGGCCAACAAGTGAGGGCAGCAGCAGCCCTGCACCAACAACTGCTCCACCTGCAACCAGTGGGCCAACAACAGCTGGGCCAACAAGTGAGGGCAGCAGCAGCCCCGCACCAACAACTGCTCCACCTGCAACCAGTGGGCCAACAACAGCTGGGCCAACAAGTGAGGGCATAATCTCACCAACAACTGCTCCACCTGCAACCAGTGGGCCAACAACAGCTGGGCCAACAAGTGAGGGCAGCAGCAGCCCCGCACCAACAACTGCTCCACCTGCAACCAGTGGGCCAACAACAGCTGGGCCAACAAGTGAGGGCAGCAGCAGCCCCGCACCAACAACTGCTCCACCTGCAACCAGTGGGCCAACAACAGCTGGGCCAACAAGTGAGGGCATAATCTCACCAACAACTGCTCCACCTGCAACCAGTGGGCCAACAACAGCTGGGCCAACAAGTGAGGGCAGCAGCAGCCCCGCACCAACAACTGCTCCACCTGCAACTAGTGGGCCAACAACAGCTGGGCCAACAAGTGAGGGCATAATCTCACCAACAACTGCTCCACCTGCAACCAGTGGGCCAACAACAGCTGGGCCAACAAGTGAGGGCAGCAGCAGCCCCGCACCAACAACTTCTCCACCTGCAACCAGTGGGCCAACAACAGCTGGGCCAACAAGTGAGGGCATAATCTCACCAACAACTGCTCCACCTGCAACCAGTGGGCCAACAACAGCTGGGCCAACAAGTGAGGGCAGCAGCAGCCCCGCACCAACAACTACTCCACCTGCAACCAGTGGGCCAACAACAGCTGGGCCAACAAGTGAAGGCAGCAGCAGCCCCGCACCAACAACTGCTCCACCTGCAACCAGTGGGCCAACAACAGCTGGGCCAACAAGTGAGGGCAGCAGCAGCCCCGCACCAACAACTACTCCACCTGCAACCAGTGGGCCAACAACAGCTGGGCCAACAAGTGAAGGCAGCAGCAGCCCCGCACCAACAACTGCTCCACCTGCAACCAGTGGGCCAACAACAGCTGGGCCAACAAGTGAGGGCATAATCTCACCAACAACTGCTCCACCTGCAACCAGTGGGCCAACAACAGCTGGGCCAACAAGTGAGGGCAGCAGCAGCCCCGCACCAACAACTGCTCCACCTGCAACCAGTGGGCCAACAACAGCTGGGCCAACAAGTGAGGGCAGCAGCAGCCCCGCACCAACAACTGCTCCACCTGCAACCAGTGGGCCAACAACAGCTGAGCCAACAAGTGAGGGCAGCAGCAGCCCCGCACCAACAACTGCTCCCCCTGCAACCACTGGGCCAACAACAGCTGGGCCAACAAGTGAGGGCATAATCTCACCAACAACTGCTCCACCTGCAACCAGTGGGCCAACAACAGCTGGGCCAACAAGTGAGGGCAGCAGCAGCCCCGCACCAACAACTGCTCCACCTGCAACCAGTGGGCCAACAACAGCTGGGCCAACAAGTGAGGGCAGCAGCAGCCCCACACCAACAACTGCTCCACCTGCAACCAGTGGGCCAACAACAGCTGGGCCAACAAGTGAGGGCAGCAGCAGCCCCGCACCAACAACTGCTCCACCTGCAACCAGTGGGCCAACAACAGCTGGGCCAACAAGTGAGGGCAGCAGCAGCCCCGCACCAACAACTGCTCCACCTGCAACCAGTGGGCCAACAACAGCTGGGCCAACAAGTGAGGGCAGCAGCAGCCCCGCACCAACAACTGCTCCACCTGCAACCAGTGGGCCAACAACAGCTGGGCCAACAAGTGAGGGCAGCAGCAGCCCCGCACCAACAACTGCTCCACCTGCAACCAGTGGGCCAACAACAGCTGGGCCAACAAGTGAGGGCATAATCTCACCAACAACTGCTCCACCTGCAACCAGTGGGCCAACAACAGCTGGGCCAACAAGTGAGGGCAGCAGCAGCCCCGCACCAACAACTGCTCCACCTGCAACCAGTGGGCCAACAACAGCTGGGCCAACAAGTGAGGGCAGCAGCAGCCCCGCACCAACAACTGCTCCACCTGCAACCAGTGGGCCAACAACAGCTGGGCCAACAAGTGAGGGCAGCAGCAGCCCCGCACCAACAACTGCTCCACCTGCAACCAGTGGGCCAACAACAGCTGGGCCAACAAGTGAGGGCAGCAGCAGCCCCGCACCAACAACTGCTCCACCTGCAACCAGTGGGCCAACAACAGCTGGGCCAACAAGTGAGGGCATAATCTCACCAACAACTGCTCCACCTGCAACCAGTGGGCCAACAACAGCTGGGCCAACAAGTGAGGGCAGCAGCAGCCCTGCACCAACAACTGCTCCACCTGCAACCAGTGGGCCAACAACAGCTGGGCCAACAAGTGAGGGCAGCAGCAGCCCCGCACCAACAACTGCTCCACCTGCAACCAGTGGGCCAACAACAGCTGGGCCAACAAGTGAGGGCATAATCTCACCAACAACTGCTCCACCTGCAACCAGTGGGCCAACAACAGCTGGGCCAACAAGTGAGGGCAGCAGCAGCCCCGCACCAACAACTGCTCCACCTGCAACCAGTGGGCCAACAACAGCTGGGCCAACAAGTGAGGGCAGCAGCAGCCCCGCACCAACAACTGCTCCACCTGCAACCAGTGGGCCAACAACAGCTGGGCCAACAAGTGAGGGCATAATCTCACCGACAACTGCTCCACCTGCAACCAGTGGGCCAACAACAGCTGGGCCAACAAGTGAGGGCAGCAGCAGCCCCGCACCAACAACTGCTCCACCTGCAACCAGTGGGCCAACAACAGCTGGGCCAACAAGTGAGGGAAGCAGCAGCCCCGCACCAACAACTGCTCCACCTGCAACCAGTGGGCCAACAACAGCTGGGCCAACAAGTGAGGGCAGCAGCAGCCCCGCACCAACAACTGCTCCCCCTGCAACCAGTGGGCCAACAACAGCTGGGCCAACAAGTGAGGGCATAATCTCACTAACAACTGCTCCACCTGCAACCAGTGGGCCAACAACAGCTGGGCCAACAAGTGAGGGCAGCAGCAGCCCCGCACCAACAACTGCTCCACCTGCAACCAGTGGGCCAACAACAGCTGGGCCAACAAGTGAGGGCAGCAGCAGCCCCGCACCAACAACTGCTCCACCTGCAACCAGTGGGCCAACAACAGCTGGGCCAACAAGTGAGGGCAGCAGCAGCCCCGCACCAACAACTGCTCCACCTGCAACCAGTGGGCCAACAACAGCTGGGCCAACAAGTGAGGGCAGCAGCAGCCCCGCACCAACAACTGCTCCACCTGCAACCAGTGGGCCAACAACAGCTGGGCCAACAAGTGAGGGCAGCAGCAGCCCCGCACCAACAACTGCTCCACCTGCAACCAGTGGGCCAACAACAGCTGGGCCAACAAGTGAGGGCAGCAGCAGCCCCGCACCAACAACTGCTCCACCTGCAACCAGTGGGCCAACAACAGCTGGGCCAACAAGTGAGGGCATAATCTCACCAACAACTGCTCCACCTGCAACCAGTGGGCCAACAACAGCTGGGCCAACAAGTGAGGGCAGCAGCAGCCCCGCACCAACAACTGCTCCACCTGCAACCAGTGGGCCAACAACAGCTGGGCCAACAAGTGAGGGCAGCAGCAGCCCCGCACCAACAACTGCTCCACCTGCAACCAGTGGGCCAACAACAGCTGGGCCAACAAGTGAGGGCAGCAGCAGCCCCGCACCAACAACTGCTCCACCTGCAACCAGTGGGCCAACAACAGCTGGGCCAACAAGTGAGGGCATAATCTCACCAACAACTGCTCCACCTGCAACCAGTGGGCCAACAACAGCTGGGCCAACAAGTGAGGGCAGCAGCAGCCCTGCACCAACAACTGCTCCACCTGCAACCAGTGGGCCAACAACAGCTGGGCCAACAAGTGAGGGCAGCAGCAGCCCCGCACCAACAACTGCTCCACCTGCAACCAGTGGGCCAACAACAGCTGGGCCAACAAGTGAGGGCAGCAGCAGCCCCGCACCAACAACTGCTCCACCTGCAACCAGTGGGCCAACAACAGCTGGGCCAACAAGTGAGGGCAGCAGCAGCCCCGCACCAACAACTGCTCCACCTGCAACCAGTGGGCCAACAACAGCTGGGCCAACAAGTGAGGGCAGCAGCAGCCCCGCACCAACAACTGTTCCACCTGCAACCAGTGGGCCAACAACAGCTGGGCCAACAAGTGAGGGCATAATCTCACCAACAACTGCTCCACCTGCAACCAGTGGGCCAACAACAGCTGGGCCAACAAGTGAGGGCAGCAGCAGCCCCGCACCAACAACTGCTCCACCTGCAACCAGTGGGCCAACAACAGCCGGGCCAACAAGTGAGGGCATAATCTCACCAACAACTGCTCCACCTGCAACCAGTGGGCCAACAACAGCTGGGCCAACAAGTGAGGGCAGCAGCAGCCCCGCACCAACAACTGCTCCACCTGCAACCAGTGGGCTAACAACAGCTGGGCCAACAAGTGAGGGCAGCAGCAGCCCCGCACCAACAACTGCTCCACCTGCAACCAGTGGGCCAACAACAGCTGGGCCAACAAGTGAGGGCAGCAGCAGCCCCGCACCAACAACTGCTCCACCTGCAACCAGTGGGCCAACAACAGCTGGGCCAACAAGTGAGGGCATAATCTCACCAACAACTGCTCCACCTGCAACCAGTGGGCCAACAACAGCTGGGCCAACAAGTGAAGGCAGCAGCAGCCCCGCACCAACAACTGCTCCACCTGCAACCAGTGGGCCAACAACAGCTGGGCCAACAAGTGAGGGCATAATCTCACCAACAACTGCTCCACCTGCAACCAGTGGGCCAACAACAGCTGGGCCAACAAGTGAGGGCAGCAGCAGCCCCGCACCAACAACTGCTCCACCTGCAACTAGTGGGCCAACAACAGCTGGGCCAACAAGTGAGGGCATAATCTCACCAACAACTGCTCCACCTGCAACCAGTGGGCCAACAACAGCTGGGCCAACAAGTGAGGGCAGCAGCAGCCCCGCACCAACAACTTCTCCACCTGCAACCAGTGGGCCAACAACAGCTGGGCCAACAAGTGAGGGCATAATCTCACCAACAACTGCTCCACCTGCAACCAGTGGGCCAACAACAGCTGGGCCAACAAGTGAGGGCAGCAGCAGCCCCGCACCAACAACTACTCCACCTGCAACCAGTGGGCCAACAACAGCTGGGCCAACAAGTGAAGGCAGCAGCAGCCCCGCACCAACAACTGCTCCACCTGCAACCAGTGGGCCAACAACAGCTGGGCCAACAAGTGAGGGCAGCAGCAGCCCCGCACCAACAACTACTCCACCTGCAACCAGTGGGCCAACAACAGCTGGGCCAACAAGTGAAGGCAGCAGCAGCCCCGCACCAACAACTGCTCCACCTGCAACCAGTGGGCCAACAACAGCTGGGCCAACAAGTGAGGGCATAATCTCACCAACAACTGCTCCACCTGCAACCAGTGGGCCAACAACAGCTGGGCCAACAAGTGAGGGCAGCAGCAGCCCCGCACCAACAACTGCTCCACCTGCAACCAGTGGGCCAACAACAGCTGGGCCAACAAGTGAGGGCAGCAGCAGCCCCGCACCAACAACTGCTCCACCTGCAACCAGTGGGCCAACAACAGCTGAGCCAACAAGTGAGGGCAGCAGCAGCCCCGCACCAACAACTGCTCCCCCTGCAACCACTGGGCCAACAACAGCTGGGCCAACAAGTGAGGGCATAATCTCACCAACAACTGCTCCACCTGCAACCAGTGGGCCAACAACAGCTGGGCCAACAAGTGAGGGCAGCAGCAGCCCCGCACCAACAACTGCTCCACCTGCAACCAGTGGGCCAACTACAGCTGGGCCAACAAGTGAGGGCAGCAGCAGCCCCGCACCAACAACTGCTCCACCTGCAACCAGTGGGCCAACAACAGCTGGGCCAACAAGTGAGGGCAGCAGCAGCCCCGCACCAACAACTGCTCCACCTGCAACCAGTGGGCCAACAACAGCTGGGCCAACAAGTGAGGGCAGCAGCAGCCCCGCACCAACAACTGCTCCACCTGCAACCAGTGGGCCAACAACAGCTGGGCCAACAAGTGAGGGCAGCAGCAGCCCCGCACCAACAACTGCTCCACCTGCAACCAGTGGGCCAACAACAGCTGGGCCAACAAGTGAGGGCAGCAGCAGCCCCGCACCAACAACTGCTCCACCTGCAACCAGTGGGCCAACAACAGCTGGGCCAACAAGTGAGGGCAGCAGCAGCCCTGCACCAACAACTGCTCCACCTGCAACCAGTGGGCCAACAACAGCTGGGCCAACAAGTGAGGGCAGCAGCAGCCCCGCACCAACAACTGCTCCACCTGCAACCACAGTCCGGCCCACCTCTGGCTCCCCATCTACTACCATTAAACCCTTAACGTGCCAGAATGGAGGAGTCTTTAATGGAACCCACTGTTTATGTTTGGCGGGATTTATGGGAGATGTCTGTGAAGAGGGTCATATTGATGTTAAACCTAGTAAGATAATCAAATATTTGGACAATACTCCTAAATATTCTGACAATATTAATATCATCAAGTTTTGTAGATATTTGTATTGAATTTTTTTTTCTTAATTTCACAGATACAATTGACAGAAAAATTTTGGTGAACGTTGAAGTTGATCAGGAATACAACAACAACTTTGAGAATAAGTCATCAGAGGAGTATAAAAACTTTGTCAGCGACTTCACTCGGCAGGTGAGATCTAAGTGGGTTTTTGACTGAAAAATAAATTGTGGTGGTGAGCAATCATTCCTCTCAATATCCCCTTCACCTTTAAGATTTAGCCTTCATTACAGGAGATCAACCATACAACCTAAAAAAGCATAAAGACTGACATGTTGCTGTGATGTTTTATTCTCAGATGTTTGAGTACTACAACTCAAAAATAGACCATTTAAAAGAAGTGGTGGTCATCAGTCTCAGGTATGGCATTTTCACTATTTTTGTAAAGTTTTAAATTCTACCTGGTCACTGAGGCTATTTTTTTCTAAAGTTACTCATTTTGTTCCTTCTTTTAGTCCTGGAAACCTATTGGTGAGATCCTCAAGGAACACTGTGGAAAAGGTAATTTTTTTTTTTAATTTTGACAAGAAAATCATTGAAAAGTAATAATGACATACTGAATTTGAACTACTTCACTGTCATCGTAGAGGAGAAAAAGGGCTGAAGACACAGAAGGCTACAGAAACACACGAAGCGTGGGGTAAATACAGAAGATGATAATAAAAAAAAATCTTTTATCAAAAGGTTTTCTCAATAACTGCAACTGACATATACAAAATTCTTTCTCGCAGAGTTAAAGTTGAACATGATGTTGTCCTGGAGATTCCCAATGATGTGACTCATGAGTCATTGTATGCAAATGACACTGAAGCAATCAAGCAGGCGGTCAGTGGCCTCGTAAACTGCACAGATGGTGAGGGAGAACTTTAAAGAACAACCTCAACACCAAAAATGTTGAGATGCTGTAAATAAAAAACAGGATTTGATGGTTTCACTCTTAGTTGTAGCTTTCTAAGATGCTGGACCATGAGACAAAAAACAAAAAACTTTATTCTTACTGAATATTTCCTTCTTCGGCTTGTTTTTGTATATGCTCATTTTTGTTCATGTCATTTGATCTTTGGTTGTCTGAATTTCCAGGTTGTCCTACTTTACCCATCACACAGGAGCCCACAGTGAATACCACAGAACCGGATCATGGAGGTCAGTCTCAGCACAGCTCATGTGTTTATGTGAAACTGTGTGTGAAACCATTGTTAAATCATGACTTATTTTTGTCTCTGTGTGAGCTGTGCAATCAAAAGAGGAAAAAACAACAGAAGCTACCGTACACTCACTTTTAGCCCAACAGATTAGCATTGTTGGTCGATAAAACAGTAAAACGGTAAAACACAGTAAAACTGTAATATTCAATGTTTTTGACTCACTTAATTTCACTTTAGATGAGACAGGATGTCAGGGAATTTTGGGCTTTTCTGTTCCCCCACAGTGTGCACGGCTCAACAACCAAAATGTGTTCAGACACACTTTATTTCACTTTGTCCCACACCCCTTAGCCTGAAGGCCCTGGACATAATGAATCTGCAACTATGAATATAGACTTACTGCACTCAGCGGCTCAGAGAAAGAATGTGTGAATTTACTTGAATTTTGATACAATAAAATAGATGAGAAAAGCATCATTAAGTTGCATTTTACAGTTTTTTTTTCCATCTATGTGCTGTGTTAGTTAGTATTCCTGCTGCTTTATCATACTTCATCATTTCAGGTCTGTTCTTCTTCCTCTGTTTTTGCAGCCTTCTGTGTAAATGTGGTGGAGGATGCAGATCTGGCAGTTTACTACCAGCTTTTTAATGACAGTGGCGTCCTCTCCTGTGTGAGCTCCTGCGACTCCAAACATACCAATAGTAAAACATGCTACAACAACGGCAAGTGCCGAATCTTCATAGCCACCGGAGCTGTCTGCGAGTGAGTCTAACTCTGCTGTGACTTTGATTGCAGACAAACTAGACAGGGTTAAATTCATCACACACGTGATATTTGTACTCAGATTTCTCCAGAATCCCAGTGAGAAGGGGTTTCTTTTAGAATCTTCCTATCTGCTCTGTCATCTGACTTTATTTCTCCTTCTGTCTCCAGGTGTGTTGACGTGACCTCCACCTGGTACCTGGGGGATGACTGCAGCATGCCCATCTATAGGACGCCTCTCATTGCAGGACTGAGTGTGACGCTGGCGGTTCTGCTGGTGCTGATAGGAGTTATGACAGCGTTTGTACTGAGAAACAGACACATGCAGGAGAGGTGAGATGTTCGAGATTAATCTGCAAAGACCAAGAACTACCTACAGAATGTGATTTGTCACATTGTGCAGGTGGTGATTTCCACTCCAGAGTCCTGTCGTTTGTTAATGAAGTGCTGCCTGAAGGCCTGAGGATCACATCAAATAAAATACAGACTTTGCATGATTGGCAAACCATCATGTTTTCTTTTACACCACATTTCAAATCTCAGGTTGTACTTTTGGAGGCTGTTATTGTCTTTTCTGTAGTGAAATCTGATTGGTGTTCTGCTGTGTCCGCAGGAAGAGAGACCCTAGACAGATGCAGGTCGACGAATGGCTAGATGAAGACTTTGAATGGTCCAGATCAAACAATCGCAGTGCTGGTAATACATTTATCACACACACACACACACACACACACACACACACACACACACACACACACACACACACACACAGACTTCCTCATCAGTCACAAAACAATATCTTGTTTCCTCAATGTATTTTTTTACAATTCATCAATGGTCTATATGCTATTTATAAATGATGATTAAACATAAATAAACTATCTGCTTACCATTTTTACATGGTCTATTTACCATTTATAAGTTATGGTTATTTTTAAGTGTTACCCATATTTTGAGGACAAGATTAGAATATTGTAGGAAAGTTCAATATTTTGTGCACACATTAAAACTAGCTTATTTTTTAAAAGACGTGAACTTTGTCATAAATCATAACAGAGTCAAGGGCAGAGATCCAAGTCAGAGTCAAAAGTTACCTGGTGAATCAGGACCTGTTTGGATCACTTGTGGTCTTTCTCGGCTGTTAGCAGCCAGCTGAAGTTCGGAGGCTCCATAAGTATGCATGCCAGATAAAAACTCCCCTAATTGAAATTAATTAAAGTTCTTATCCTGTGAGCTAAGAATAAAGAAGTCTTTTTGGAGACTGTCAAGCTCTGTAAGGACGCTGCACAGTTTTGGGGGTCTGACTCTAACTGGCCCTGTGTCTATTAAACAGAAGCTTCAGATCGATCCAGAATCCTGATTTAAAAGTTTTAGAGAGTAATGTTCGTGCATTGTAATCCACAGACAATCGTTTCTTCTGTGGTTGTAAGCCACTGATGAACCCTTACTGTTCTTCTGTTTTTAGGGACTTACAGGAACCCCTCATTCCCCCAGCATGTACAAGCAGCTCACAGAGAGGATCCAGATCTTTCCAGACGACTTGCATCTGTAAACCAGTCAGCTGGACCGCCGAGTGACCACAGACAGTCAGACAGGACGTCCAGCCCACTACAGCAGGATCAGGGGCACATTTCTCCATCAGACAACACCAGATCCCCTCAGTCTGTAGGAGCAGCCGGACTATACACAAACCCAGTCAGTCAGATTTGAACCTCCATGTCCTCCTTATTGGCAGCCTCCACCCTGATTTCCATGTTTACATTTTTCTGCTTTTTTGTCCTCTCTCTCCACAGATGAGGATCAACAGGCCTGAGATCAGGATGTCCTGGGACGCCTGAAGAGTGCAATAAAAAGGAGGTGCTGAAGAATCAAATCGGGAATACGGGGCAGAGGGTTTTTTCAGCCCATTCAGGGAAATCTGTGCCTTATATTTGCTTAAGGGTTTTAATTGTGTTTTTTATTCACGGATTTTATAGTTAAAATGTACCTGGAGGTGTAGCAGTTTACCAAAGAGGGACTGGAGGTTATCTTTAGGCGTATTTACTGACTATTTATGACTGAAAATTGATCTGAGTCACTGCTTTATTTATTCTGTATTTATTCAGCCATTATTGAACAAAGTTTGATCCACTGGAGCTGAAGATGTCTGCCAGTGTTAGAGTTAAAATCACATTATGTAAAAATGAAGATGATCATCAAAAACCTGGACTCAGAGAATCCAGCAGAGCTCCGGCAGCTCTGAGGTTTTAGAGCACTTTTAAAGCACTTTCTCTAACTCAGGTCCAACCTTAGTTTCAGGTTTTAGTTTGTCCCGGTGGAGTTGCCATACTTGCACAAGTACAGAGCCTGAGCCAGTCTGATCCCCAGAACTTTGAAACAGACATGCAGCCAAAGTTTACATAATATCCAGTGGTGCTGGTTCATCCAAACACCCACAAAAGACATCTTTAGGAAAATTTCACAATTACAAATACAGATTTCATTCCTACACACTTTAATTTACCAGCTTTACAGGTCTGACAGCTGCTCAAACTCTTAATGTTTGCTCTTCAATTCGAGCAATTATCAAAGAACTCCCCCGCCACTGTTTATGACCCATTTATATATTTATTCATGACTTTGCATGTTTCATATTTTAACTAATATTACAGAAACTACATCCTAAAACTTTCTGAGGTAAAGATATGAACCTGTGCACACATATCAGTGGGTTCAAACAGTTGATTAGTTTGAGAGTGCAGTATATTTTGCAGGAACAAATACTATTTTTGTGATCAATATCAAAAGAAAATTCAATAATCCATTACCAATAATGATTCTCTACCATTAACCATAGCTTTTTCTAAAAAGTTCAGGTCTGAAGTTCTTGAAGTTGCAGGAAATTTGTGTTTTTTACAAAAATAACCTTGTTTTTGTTTTGTTTTTTTATAAACTGTGGTTTCCTAAATCTTATCAAACATATGCTGAAGTGGAGCTGATCAGGAAACAACGGTGTCATCAGCAAAGAGACGAATAACAGAGTCTGCACTTTCATTAACAGTGAGCCTGAGATTGACCCCTGTGGGACACAATATTTGATTAACGTCTCCCCATAGAGCTACCTCAGTGTAAATTTTGGTATAAAGTCATGAACTGTCAGTCACTCTCTTTATCTGAAGGAAATGAAACTTTCATCTTTGCATGTTCAAATGAGTGTGGGGTCTCCTGAATCCTCTGACTGAAGACAGACAGACACTGAACATGAATTACAGACTGAGAAGAAGAAAGAGGAGCCTTTTATGTATGAGTTTTTTTGCACTGGTGATGTTGTTTTAGCTGTAATGATGCACTTTATATGAATAAAAAGTTCTTGAATAAAAAAGCTTAATGAGACTCAGATTTCTCACTGTAGTTAAGGAGTAAAGCATGGTGAGTGATTTAGGTTAATGAATTTATCTGCAGATAGAAAACTACAGTCTGAGAGTTGATGGTTTCATTGCTATAGCTGCACCTCCAAGCTAACAATCAGGTGGATTCAGGTGAAGACTGAAGATTTCTCTAGTGTTTCTATTCCCCTGTGTTTATTATTCTTATGTTTCTGTTGTTCTTGTTTTTCACGGTTTGGTTTCTAAATTCAGTTTCCTGTTTTATTTTGTAGGAGTCAGGCCCTGTGTGTCTAGTCTAGTTTTACTTCCACATTTTTCCCTCCTTTTGTTGATAACTCACCAGACTCACCTGTCCTTTGCTGCGTCCGAATTGCCAAGTAGTAGACGAAGTAGTATGTAGCATGTCCGAATTGGCCACCGGAGCGAGTAGCATGCTACTTCAGATACTACTTCAGATACTAGACACGCCCACATTGTAGGATGGTCGCGGTGCATCCTACGGGCATGCCACTGACCCAAAATGCCCCGCGGGCTTCTTCTTCGTCCTCTTAAAAGTTGTAGAAGCGCATGTGACGCTAACGCCACCAGCTGCTGCCTATTTAGATGCATCGCGAACGCCGGCTGGCCACAGCAGCGCGCACCATGGCGGAGCAGTAGCAGCAGAAGCAGCAGGCACGACCGCAGCTGTACAGATGTAAGTTTCATGTAACTTCGCACACTGTCCTAAAAAATGTGCGGTTGTATCTCTTTGTCATGTCATGGTGTCATATTTGCCCAAGTAATCATTTTATGAGCAAATATGTGGCGACATCATGGAGGTAAAGCTCACTTATTCCATCATTAAACTGCACAGCTGCAGTAATCAGACAGATCTCATTGAACAAACGATCACCACGTGAGTGAATGAAGACTAAAAGTAATGGAAAAGCTACTTTGTGAATTTCTAAAGCAATGCAGGAATATAATACAGCAGCATCCGTCACTTGCACAATTACCATTCAAAGAGTCTAAAACGGGCGCAGTATCTAATGTCTGCCTGCGGGGGTCGTCGTTCCCCACCGCTCGTCTAGTGTGTCCGAATTGGGCCAGCGTGTTTATTTTGTAGGAGTAGGATCTAGCAGTAGTATGTTGCAGTAGCATGTAGTATGTGAGCGGGCAATTTGGACACAGCACTTGTCTGCCTCACCTGCCACTTGTTTCCCTATGTGTGTATAAAGTCCTTTCTTCACCTCTGTTCTTGTTGATCCATGTTGTCCATGCTTTCCTTGTTGTCCTTACCTGTCCATGTTTTTTTGGTGTTCTTCTCTGCCTCTGGTAGTTTTGGGTATTGCAGATTTTGTTGGACTTTGTAAAGTAAGTTTTTCTCTTTAGTTTTGAAATTCTTGTTCATTAATTTTTAATCTTAATTTTTTGAGTCTACATTTTGGATCATTTCCTTTTGTTCAAACTCTGGATCTGCAGGGTTCGGCCAAACCATCTAAACAAATACTTAATGTGAAGGTTAGAAAGATGGCAGTACTTGCGCTCAGTTAAACAGAGATGTTTAGATCTGCTGCTTATTTTAGGGTTTTTTCAGACTTGCACACTTTTGCTGTTCTCTTCATGTTTGGGAGGTGGAACAGCAAGCGGAATCACCGTTATCCTTCCTGCACATTATCTTTCCATGTATGATATAATCAGTCTTATCTCTCTCTGATGCTTCCTTTAACAGCAGAATTAAGGTTATTGTTTAACCATTTTGAAGGGTGGAGATACAGAGCTGCACATCAAATCTGCTTTAACTGATACATGGACCACGCCTTCATCCACACACCACAGGTTTATCCAGAGTACTTAACTGTTCACATGAGGACTATCAGACAAGAATAGGTGTGTCAGCTTCAGTGCTCATCTGCAAACATTGGTGGGTCTGTGATTAACATGTACCTAGACTAACCATGACGACTGTAAATGTTGTGCAGACTTGCAGCAGCTGCAAACACATGCTTGGCTTAACATGCACTTCTTCTTCATGCATCCCTATAAAGACACGACATGGTAATCACTGTTAATGATGACGAGGACTGTCTGCCAACAAGTGCATGGACAAATCCTGCAAGTCAGCTCTGAGAATTTATGTGAGGGAGGACAGGGAAGACACCTGAATCTTCTGCCGTCTGTGGGACAGACACAGAGGACATCTGAGGACAATCGCATTAACATCGGTAACATCCTTTACTAACTCTAGCTCAGCCCAGGACAGATCATTAATACTGAACTTTGGTTCAACGTGAATCACCTCTCAAAAGCATGCACACACACGAGCCCATCCTGGATAATGACTCTACTGCACAGCGCAGATAATAAATACCATGACTCTCTCACCCTTGACCAGCTTTTGTCAAAGCTTCTGGACCCATCTTCCTATTCCTCCCTCACAGCTGGTGGTCAACCTGGGGATCTGTAATTAATCATTACCATGAAGGTAAATAGGAAACTTTAGAGGCTTTCACCAACAGAAGTAACTCCCAACTCGGACAAAAGAAAAAAATAAAAGCAGAAACTGAGCATAGTGCTAGTTCAGGCAAGCAAGACAAGACAAGCTCCCTTTACAGCATATTAACCAATCTTCACTCCGGCTGGTGGCTAAGCACATTATCGGCCTTAAATTAAAATGGAGCAGAGTTGGCATGAAAACTGTTGAAACGGTGAAATGTTAATGTCCTTTTAACAAATTTGTCTGCTCATTCTAAATCTGATGTTTGTTTAAATTAGTACCAGGTTTATGTTTCTCATCGTGAGTCCTCAGCTTTTCTTTCACCCTCTGTAGACCTTTGTGAACCAAGCTGACCAGGTTCTGGAGTTTGAGAGTGAAATATTGTCCCGTTCTTGCCTGATAGTGGATTTCAGCTACTCAACAGTTCAGGGTCTCCTTTGTCCTGTTTTTGGTGTCAATGTTTTCAATGGGGGGACAAGTCAGGACTACAGGCAGACCAGTTTCTCAGCAGGTCTCTTCGACTACAGAGCCATGCTGTTGTAATCCCTGCAGAATGTGGTTTATCATTGTCTTGCTGAAATATGAAGGTCTTCCCTGAAAAAGTCTTTGTCTGGATGGCAGTGGATGTTTTTTTTTTTCAGCCTCTGTGGGTGAGAGCTTGATCAACTTCAGTCAAGGTCAAAATGTTTCACAAGTTCAGCTTGTCCTTATCTGAGACACTCCTGTAAACTATAATAAATCCTTACAACACGCCTGCCTGACTCAGTCGTTTGGGAACGTCCACTGAACGTGTATCAAAGTGACTTCATCAGACCTGTGTTTTTTGCAATGACCTGACAGTCTGGACACCTCTTCATCTCTAAAACACATCTGTTGGATTTTCACCTGCTGGAGTTTAACTCAGCAATGGCGCTTCCTTCGGCCTCTGTGACTATCGTTTTCATTTTCATCTGCACTGTTTCTGCTGACAGAGGAGTTTACGGTAAAATTAAAACTTAAGTGAAATTTCCACATGAATTAGTCGACCATGGTCAGAATCTCTGTCCATCTCTCTCTGTCTTAAAGACTGACTGACTGAAAGATTGATAAGAAGAGAATGGTGGTTGTTGTTGTTGTTGTTGTGGTTGTAGTGTAAAGAAATATGTATTGTGTGTTTTGATGGTAAAAACTCGTTACATGGAGGATCAAACTTCACAGCAGCTCCTGGGCCTCAAAGGTCACCACTCTCTTTCTTCTTCTCTCAGAGGTCTTAGAGAAGAGATGACGAAAATTAAAGTTAATGACTCCAATATAAAATAATGAATAGAAACCTGCAAATATACCATAATTTTTTAAATTTCCTTAAAGGGCCTTCCCAGAAGGATTAATTAAGTTCTACCTAATCTAAAGGTAAGTTATTGACTCACTGAGCATTTTTTGGTCTAAAAGGTCTAATAGACGTCTAAATGTTGCCAAGACAACTGGTCCAAAATCAGGCTACCACAGGTCTAATAATGAGAGTTTTTTTAGACATCTAAATTTAGACCAAGTTTAGACCAAGTCTAAATCTGCGCTATATTGATACTACACTGTATATTGCTCAATGGCTATCATAATTATTTCAGTTTAGTACTCGGAGATCAGTTATGCAACTCATAGTTGTGTTAAAGTGTCAGTGAGTCCACTTAATTGTTGCAGCTGATAAATCTAGGCTCTTCTCTGAGTTTGATGCATCTAACCTCTTCAGTTATCAACTGCAAAGCAGCCAAAGTCCTATCTATCATAAAGATATTCAGTCATAAAATCATCATCAGTTCGTCAGACTCTGCTTCAATGATCCAAATCTGGAAAGGTTCAGTGTAGAGAAGTGGAAATATTCAGCATTATCTAATGGTCATATCCTACAGAAAATCGCTCTGCTGCTCACCCCTCATGTTGGTGAAACTCCACAATGAGAGGTGACCTTTGAGGACCAGGAGCTGCTGTGAAGTTTGATCCTCTGTTTGTCAAGTTTTCACAATCAAATACGCAATACATATTCCTTTATACTACAACCACCACCACCACAACAACAACAACAACCACTCTCTTCTTATTATTCTTTCAGTCAATCAGTCTTTAGGAAAGAAAGAGATGAACAGAGAGAATGATAGAAGGAGGCTCAGCAATTCTTAATAAAGTGGTTGTAGTAACGAAGTGATTTCTCTGAAGGACCCCAGTCTCCTCAGCAAGTGAAGCTCTTGGGTCCTTCTTGTAGAGAGTGCTGAAAGAGCAGAAAAAACAAGATTCATGACTTTCATCAGATAAACCGTATCAAACTGATTCAAAAGGATAATACTTCCCTCTCTTTTGGTTAAAAAATAAAGATCTGTCCAATGAGGGACGAAGCAGGATCCTCAAGTCTGACCTCCTTTCTGCAACTGGAGCAGCACCTGAAAACACCCCAACTACAGACCCAACTGGGACAACTGGGAACACCCCTACAACAGACCCAACTGGGACAACTGAAAACACCCCTACAACAGACCCAACTGAAACAACTGACAACACCCCTACAACAGACCCAGCTGGAACAACTGAAAACACCCCAACTACAAACCCAACTGAAACAACTGAAAACACCCCAACTACAGACCCAGCTGGAACAACCGAAAACACCCCAACTACAAACCCAACTGAAAACACCCCAACTACAAGCCCAACTGGAACAACTGAAAACACCCCAAGAACAGACCCAACTGGAACAACCGAAAACACCCCAACTACAGACCCAACTGAAACAACTGACAACACCCCTACAACAGACCCAAATGAAACAACCGAAAACACCCCAACTACAAACCCAACTGAAGCAACTGAAAACACCCCAACTACAGACCCAACTGAAACAACTGAAAACACCCCAACTACAGACCCAACTGGAACAACTGAAAACACCCCAACAACAGACCCAACTGAAACAACTGAAAACACCCCAACTACAGACCCAACTGGAACAACTGAAAACACACCAACTACAGACCCCACTGGAACAACTGAAAACACCCCAACAACAGACCCAACTGAAACAACTGAAAACACCCCTACAACAGACCCAACTGGAACAACTGAAAACACCCCTACAACAGACCCAAATGAAACAACCGAAAACACCCCGACTACAGACCCCACTGGAACAACTGAAAACACCCCAACAACAGACCCAACTGGGACAACTGAAAACACCCCTACAACAGACCCAACTGAAACAACTGAAAACACCCCAACTACAGACCCAGCTGGAACAACTGAAAACACCCCTACAACAGACCCAGCTGGAACAACTGAAAACACCCCTACAACAGACTCAACTGAAACAACAGAAAACACCCCTACAACAGACCCAGCTGGAACAACTGAAAACACCCCTACAACAGACCCAACTGGAACAACCGAAAACACCCCAACTACAGACCCAACTGGAACAACTGAAAACACCCCAACAACAGACCCAACTGAAACAACTGAAAACACCCCAACTACAAACCCAACTGAAACAACTGAAAACACCCCAACTACAAACCCAACTGGAACAACCGAAAACACCCCAACTACAGACCCAACTGGAACAACTGAAAACACCCCAACAACAGACCCAACTGGAACAACTGAAAACACCCCTACAACAGACCCAAATGAAACAACCGAAAACACCCCAACTACAAACCCAACTGGAACAACTGAAAACACCCCAACTACAGACCCAACTGGAACAACTGAAAACACCCCAACAACAGACCCAAATGAAACAACCGAAAACACCCCAACTACAAACCCAACTGGAACAACTGAAAACGCCCCAACAACAGACCCAACTGAAACAACTGAAAACACCCCAACTACAGACCCAACTGGAACAACTGAAAACACCCCAACAACAGACCCAACTGAAACAACTGAAAACACCCCAACTACAGACCCAACTGGAACAACTGAAAACACCCCAACTACAGACCCCACTGGAACAACTGAAAACACCCCAACAACAGACCCAACTGAAACAACTGAAAACACCCCTACAACAGACCCAACTGGAACAACTGAAAACACCCCTACAACAGACCCAAATGAAACAACCGAAAACACCCCTACAACAGACCCAACTGGAACAACTGAAAACACCCCTACAACAGACCCAAATGAAACAACCGAAAACACCCCGACTACAGACCCCACTGGAACAACTGAAAACACCCCAACTACAGACCCAACTGGGACAACTGAAAACACCCCTACAACAGACCCAACTGAAACAACTGAAAACACCCCAACTACAGACCCGACTGGAACAACAGAAAACACCCCTACAACAGACCCAGCTGGAACAACTGAAAACACCCCTACAACAGACCCAGCTGGAACAACTGAAAACACCCCTACAACAGACTCAACTGAAACAACAGAAAACACCCCTACAACAGACCCAGCTGGAACAACTGAAAACACCCCTACAACAGACCCAACTGGAACAACCGAAAACACCCCAACTACAGACCCAACTGGAACAACTGAAAACACCCCAACAACAGACCCAACTGAAACAACTGAAAACACCCCAACTACAAACCCAACTGAAACAACTGAAAACACCCCAACTACAAACCCAACTGGAACAACCGAAAACACCCCAACTACAGACCCAACTGGAACAACTGAAAACACCCCAACAACAGACCCAACTGGAACAACTGAAAACACCCCTACAACAGACCCAAATGAAACAACCGAAAACACCCCAACTACAAACCCAACTGGAACAACTGAAAACACCCCAACTACAGACCCAACTGGAACAACTGAAAACACCCCAACAACAGACCAACCAACTCCAACTGTGGTACCAACTCAACCAACAGAGGGTACTCCCACAACGTCTGCATCTACCACAAGAGAGCCTCTAAAATGCCAGAATGGAGGAACCTATGATGGAACCAAGTGCATATGTCCTGTTGGATTCTCTGGAACTCTTTGTGAAAAGGTTGAGGCCATTGTTGACCCTGGTAAATTCTTTAAAGCTCATTATGGTTTTTAAACAGACTCAATTTTAATGTTTTTTTAACCTTAAAGTCATGCTTAATAAAATATTGACATCTATTTTCAGACACGGTTGATGGAACAGTTGTGGTGAATGTGGAGATCAAAGAGGAATACAATGATCGATATGATGATGAGAAATCAGAGGAATACATATCATTTGTTGGAAATTTTACTGACCAGGTGAGTTGAATGGATAGAGCAAGTTTGTTGAAACAAATGAGAATAGTGTAGGACAACGAGCTGTTTAAAGAGCCACGAGGAAGGAGAGTTTCTTGAAAAGGGATAAATGATAAATCAAAATCTGCAGGCAGCAAGGAAAGAGCCCCTGCACCTTGGAGATTACTGTGGCATGTTACAACCATCAGGTGTGGAAAAGCATCTAGAACAGTATGGCATTGGCTCTCAAGGCCGGGCCACGCCTTTTCCAAATTTATCACTTGTAGAAATGCTCATGACAGTGTATATGCTACAGAGAAAAAAATGGGGAGAAGTTAACGTGTTTGTGCTACCTACTGGTCATTTGTTTTTATTATTTAATTTTATAACCAAGTAAGCCAATGTAGCTACGCTAAGGCTGGGGCCATAATCATACCTAGAGCAGATCAGACATTATTACAATGAAAGGTGGTGGTATGACTATAACAGCGTTGTGTAACCCCATAGCTTTGTGTTTAGTGGTGGACTGTGATCATGCTTATGAAATCTGTAACAAACCAAACATTGTATGAAAGAGTTAGAACACTTTCCTGTTTTATGGAACGGCTTAAGTATGACAGGTGCCCCCTTAGACAAAGAGTTGAGAATTTTTAAGTCCTCAAAGAGTCTACAATATACCAACCAAGGTTCTTCAAACAAAACCACTTAAAAGACTTAGTTCCAAAATGGACCAGTAACGTCGTAGAAATAGGACCTTCAAATGATTATAGTGAAATACTGTTGGGTGCAGGGGATGAGTGTGAGGGGATCTTCTATAGTGTTAAAAATAATATAAAGTCCGAAAAATGTTCATGCATGTAGGTAAAATCCTCTTAAGAGGCAGACTTCTTCAAAATATCGGGGGCGCTGTTACAAAAAGATTTTTGCAAAGTTTTGAATGAAACTCAAAAACGATCAAAGTTTGATGAGCAGATTTTGGTGAGTAGAAGCTAATAGCCTACTGTCAATACACCCAAATAGTTCATAATACTCAGTTAATACATAATTTTGGCGCGTCAAAGCCTCTTTATATGGAAGAAAAAGACAATTTGGGTTATAAAAGGGTCTCACACCATGTTTCAGAACCTGGGACAGGATTATCAGAAAATAAGCAGATTAGAGGTGGGGAGAGCAGCAGCTCATGAAATGCCAAAATCTGAGGCAGGGAGAGTATATGTATACATGCAATGCAAAGGCAGGGAGAGCAGCAGCAAAGGCTTTAGCTTCTGGTCCAAACAGATGAATCTGTTCAGACGTGCTAATATGTAATTGTTATAAAGAATTAAAGATGAAACTGATATTTTTTGTGGCTTTTTACAGATGATGAAGTTTTACAGACCAAAAATGAAAAATCTAAAAGACGTGGTGGTTATCAAAGTCAGGTATTAACCTAAAACTTAAAAGTATTTTAAATTCTGCTTATGTTTTAGTAGTCTGTGTTTTAACAGTTTCTTTTTGTTTCTTTTCTTGTAGCCGTGGAGACCCATTAACCAGGTTCTCCAGCAGCCTTTCGGAAAAGGTAAAGTTTTTTTAAATCACAGCAGTTCAGTGATTGGACATGAAATAAAGTCAGATCTTAAAAACTACTTAATGTAACTTTCAGAGAAGAGGAAGGGCTGAAGACATGTCCAGCTACAGAACCACACCAGAAGGAGTGGGGTAATTAAAGGAGAAGATACTGATGACTACTTTAAAATGGCAAACTGTGTCCTCAGATTGATTGAAGGAAATTTACATCAGCACTTTTCATCTAGTTAACCACACATCTTTACTTGTCCATTGGCTACTGGCTTTTACTTATTCTAAATAATAATATTGTATATGTATTATCACATGGGTCAACAAAGTAACACCTACCTTTATTTAAAAAGAAAAAAACACCTTGTCCCTCACTTTCTGCATTTTAAAATTTCTCTTTCAGGGTCAAAGTGGAACATAATGTTGTCCTGGAGTTCCAAAATATTCCTGGATATCAGGAGGAATTTGATAAAAATACCAAAGAAATTGCGACGGCAGTTGGTGATCTAGTTGACTGTACTGAAGGTATGAAAGAAATATCCTGAACATGAATAGACAAGATCAGAATCTAATAATGACAATCCTCTGTGAAGATGCCAAGCTCAAACTCATTAAAACAGAATCGAAGGTTTTTAAATCTTTTTAAGTCTTTATCTGATTAAAAAAGTGCAAAGACAACTATTTATATGTTGAAACCAAAACATGTTACTCTTGTATGATTTCATCATCTACAGTCCATAATATCATGAAAAGATTCAGAGAATCTGAAAATCTCTGTACAAAAAGGACAAGGACCAAAACCAAGACTAGATGGCCAGGCCCTCAGGCAGCACTGCATTAAAAACAGACACGAGTCTGGAGTGGAAATTACTACATGGACTAAAAATAACCATTTAAAAAAACATTGACAGTGGACACAGTTCATCACTGCATCCAAAAATGAGGTTCAAACTGAACCCTGCGAAGAGGAAACCAGATAGAAACATGATCCAGAATCACCAGACTTCCCTGGATCTCAGCCCATTTAAGGTGGACTGGGAGGAAAACTGTCCTGACGAATGATGAATTAAAATCTGGAAATCATGGACACTGCATCCTGCTCTTTACAGAATAGAGAGTCCACCATGCTTTTTCTCAGCTCCCAGTCCAAAGCCAGCATCCCTGATGGTGAGGGGATCATCAGAGTCCATGTCATGGGTATCTCCCACATCTGTGAAGGCTCCATTAACAATAATATCTACAGGTTTAGGAGCTACACCTGCTGCCATCTAGACAACGACTTCTACAGGGAAGACCTTCATATTTCAGCAAGACAATGACAAACCACATTCTGATAACAGGGATTACAGCAGCGTGGCTCTGTAGTGGAAGAGTCCTGCTGATAAACTGGTCTGCCTGCAGTCCTGACTTGTCCCCCATTGAAACATTTGGCGCATCATGACATCAATAACAGGACAAAGGAGACCCTGAACTGTGGAGCAGCTGAAATCTTCTATCAGGCAAAAATGGGACAACATTTCATTTTCAGACTCCAGAACCTGGTCTGCTGGGTTCATCTAGGTCTACAGAGGGTTGGTGAAAGAAGAGCTGAGGATACATGATGAGAAACATGAACCTGGAACTACTTTTTACAAATATGCTGCTGATATCAGATTTAAACTGAACATTTTTTTCCAAAAAAACAAAACAAAAACAGTTTTCGGTTTTTAACATTTAATATGTTGTCTTTGCCCCATTTTAATGAATTATAGACATTAGACTGAAACACGTTAAAACATTTTATTAATTCTTAATTAATTTTGCTATTAATTTTTTTTCCCCATTTTCAGACTGTCCAGATTTCAGCGTCACAGGCAAACCCACAGTGAATGCTTCAGATCTGAAAGCTGGATGTCAGTATAACACAAAGCTGTGTGACTGTGTGAAAATGTGTGTGTGACTAAACAGGTGTGATAACTAACAAAATAAGCATACATTTGCTTAGTCTGATTCTAACCAGGATCAGAATCAGACTCAAAACACTTGACTTAAGCCAAGTGGAACATTGGGTCATTACACTTGCTCAGGCAGATACAAATATCAGAAGAACAATAGAAATAAGAATTAATTTAGAATAAATAAGAAATTAAAAAAATAAAAGAATATGAGAAACAAAGCTACAAAAGTATTGAAGAAATAAGCTGTGTACAAGCAGAGAGAGTTCATTAGTTTCAGCGTTGAAGTGTAGGATTCTGCACAGAGTATTTTACAGTAAAACATAATAATTGCACAGAGAAGTTTCATGAGCTGTGTGTTTTCAGTACTGCACTCTTGCTAAAAACTCAAGACTGAGCCAGGAAAACCCCCCGTTCTGTATCTGCAAAAATTCATGCTTAAATAGCTTAAAACTCTTTCATGTACATGCACGCAGTTTCTCTTTTCATGTCTTTATATTTTCCTTGTTTTTATCAACAGTCTGTGAACAGCACATCAGTGATCCAGATCTTTTAGACCTCTACTTAGCTGTGGAAATCGATGAGAAACTGACCTGTGTGACAGCCTGCCGCAAGGAACATCCAAATCACAAACGTTGCTACAATGACGGATTGTGCCAAGTGTTTAAAGCCTCTGGAGTTTCCTGCAAGTGAGTTTTATCCTGCTGTGCATGACTTCATCCTGGTCCTTTTTATTAAAGTTAGCAGTGAGTGAAGTTGAGAGCTTCTTCAGTGATCTTCTGAAATGTTGGTCCATAAGCTCTTAGTTTGCTGAGATTTGATTTTCACTTTGGTGTGCTGATCTGAAAACTGACTTCATAATGTCTCCTTTCTCTAGGTGTGTTGACGTGTCCTCCAACTGGTACCTGGGGGATGACTGCAGAATGGCCATGCACAAGATAGCTTTCTTCACTGGACTGAGTGGGACACTGGCAGTTCTGCTGGTGCTGATAGGAGTTCTGACGGCGTTTGTGCTGAGAAACAAGAACACAGAGCGGAGGTGAGATGTTCAATATTAATTTGCACAAGAGTCACCGTGAAATATTCCTAAACTTTAGTTTTAGTCAGAAATACTGAATACTGACCTTCAATATTTCAAATATTCATCAATTTCTCTTTGCGATGACTGCTGAAAAAACATAAACTCCGACATCACCAGCTTGTATAATGATAATATTACTATATAATGGAGTCTGAGGACAAGAATCAGAATAACTAACTCTGTGAGAATCAAGTTTAATTAAACCAGAATAAATCTCATTATAATAAAGGATTAAGAAGTCCTATAGTTTTTATTCTTGTTACTTTATTTTATTTTGAACATAATAACTTTATTCTTACAACAAAACAACCTTATGCTCATAACAAAAGTTTATTTATTTGTAATATTACTGCTTTATTAATTAACATAATGTCTGTTTTCTGACGGAGAAAAAAGAATGTTTTTACAAATGTATACCTATAGCTTAACAACTCTATTCTCATAACTTTATATGACTTAAAAACTATATTCTTGTAAAACAAAAAAAAAGTTAATATCAAAATTTTATGTTCCTACTTTCATAACTCATGGACTTTGTTTTTATAAAATGACTCAATTATACTGACTTTATGTTTTATGATGACTTTATGCTCACATAAAACTGCATCATTTAAAAACAGTTAAAGACCCACTCTGATGAAAATCATGTTTTTCTTGTTGTCTACATCTTTGTATACCATTTTTCTGATGTTAGAGGAAATATAAGAAAAAATAAGTGCGAAATTGCATTTCTGAGTATTTTTGCATTCAAATCGCTGTGAATCTCTGGCAGACCCAAACAGCAGGTGCAGACACATAAAGATTTCTTACATCACAAATCCAAGCTCCTCCCCTGGTGCCCCGCTATGCAGGCTAGACTCAGATAAGTAAAGAGGACGATCGCGACAGTCAGATTGCAATGCTCGTAAAAAAGCTAATTATGATATTAGCTTTCATCATGTCCCCAAAGATATTAGTGTCTGAGAGCTGAATAGCTCCTATGTTACCTGCTACTTTTACTACACCGGCAATGTTAGGCTGCAAGCTAGTGTGAATAGGAGTGTGAATAGCAGCGCTGTCTCCGCCCATGACTCAGAGGCGAATTGCTAATGATCTACTGGAGCTTTGCAGAAGAAAAGCACATTAAAAAGTCACAGGTAACGGATTTGGGCTAAAAAATTCATAATCACAATTTAAAAATCACTGAGAACATTTTAAGCAGTAAAAATAAAACGATCGGAGTGGGACTTTAAACTACTGTCACAGGTGATGCTCAGCCTTCAGGGTGTGTGTTCCTGGTCCACAGAGACTGGGCACACAGGTCTCGATGCTCTGAGCTGTATCAGGACCTGAACAGAAGTAACCACTCTGCAGTTTTAACCTCAGTTGCTTTGCAGGTTTTATTTTAGTATTTCAGAGTCAGCGTATAGATCAAAACTGTTGAGCGATGAACCGTCAGTTCAGAGAAAAGAAGCTTTAACTGTGTGAAACTGCAGGATGATTGTCTTTGTGATGATGAATGATCTAACTGCTGCGTCTGCAGGAACAAAGACCTGAAAGAAGCACAGGTGAACGAGTGGATGACAGAGGACTTTGAGTGGCCGAAACCAAACATTCACAGTGCAGGTAAATAACACACACACCCACACCCACAGAGGCTTTTCATTGCAGCAGTGGTAGAGATTACCTCTTACTGCACTTTCTTTATGAGTTGCATTTGATGGTAAATTCCACAATAACAAAGTTGGTATAAAGGCAGGAGTTTTGAGAAATGAGATGATTATTTCCTCCATTTAGTTTACCCAGAAAAGTTTCATTAAAGTCAATAAGATCATCTTTAAATAAGGAGGGGAAGTGCTGCAGGTCAAAGGGAGAAGTTCACCTGGAGAGGAGCCATCCTCTAATCTGACCGTCTATATAAATACAGTCCAGAGGGAGGAGCTGCAGTAATAACTACTCAGACATGTGCTTCATATGAACATTTGATGATTTTCATTCTGCTTTTAGAAGTGTACAGAAACCCATCATTCAGAGGTGGAGCAGCAGTCCACAGAGAGGATCCAGGTGTCTACAGACCACCTCCACCTGTCTACTCAAGCCGACCACCTTCACAGACGGACTACAGACAGTCTGGTAGCCCAGTGTACCCCTCACAGCCAGTTTTCAGATCCAATACTCCATCTTCTACCACGACCTACCCACAGTCTTTAGGACCAGCCCGACCATATGGAGACTCATTCAACCAGGTCAGTGATGCTGTCCACAATATAATGTGTGACCGTGTTTCACCTGAAAATGTTCAATCAGAGAAAATGAAACAAAGACAATTCACTTTTTCAAACAGTTTTCACTTTTAAAAACCCTCACTGCTTCTTTCAGCTCACTTTAAGGTGCTCAGGGAAAAAAATCATTCTAGCAAGAGCCAGAATATTTCCAAATCTAAAGATAATTCTGAAATCCCGAAAAAAACTTTTAGACATGGGAAAGCTTTGGCAAGATCTTGAGAAACTCCATGAGACTCCAAGCAACTTTAGCAGGACCGAGAAATACTACCAAGAAAGTTTTGCAAGATGCCTTACTTAGGCATCTTGCAAAATTCTTACAAGAACCAAAGAAATTTTTTACAAAATCCCCAAATCTGTTATTAGATCCTGTGAAAAGCTATCTCTGAGTAACTTCTAAGGGAACCAGAAAACAAGCTCCAGGTCAACTTTGCAAGAACCTCAGGAACTTCATTATGGGTCACTTTGGCAACATCCTGAAAAACTCCTGTGAGACCCTGTGAAGTTTTGAAAGAGTTTGAAGAGCCTTTGTGAGACCCTAGAGGGGGCAGCTGTGACACAGTGGTAGAGTCGGTTATCTCAGAAGGTCAGGGGTTTGACCCCAGAGCTGACCACATGCCGAAGTGTCCTTGAGCAGGACACTTGACTCCACCTGCCCTGGCTGGCTTTATCTAGTGGTGTATGAATGGTCGTCAATAAATGTGGTGGTAAAAGGTCAGATCCTCAGCCATTGTTTCTCAGATTTTCAGCAGGATCAGTGATGAACCTTTAGTAACCCTGTGTGAAGATGCATTACAGCTGTCGATTAATGCTCCATCTCTTTCTCTCTTATCTCCTCAGATGAGGATCCAGAGGCCTCAAATCAGGTTCTAATGGGACTCATGAGCCGGGCCTTAAACCTTCAGTCTTACAGAATCAGTATGGTGGTAGGTTAATTAAAGGAGACTTAAAACTGAGACTTTTACCAACATGATTGGTCTTGTTGGTGTTAAACTCCTGTCTCATGTTTTAATAATAACCACGTTTGAAGAGTTCATGCTCAAAGTGTCTCACCAGTCCAAATTATTGACTGCTTGTAAAGATGGATGACCTTCTCCTGTACAGACATGGAGCCAAAAACCCCTCTCTGACAGGCACTGGTATTTGGGCTTTATGGCTCATACTGCAGCGGGTCACCAGGGACCGCTCTACATGTTTCCACCTTCCACTGAGCAAACACTCATGTAGTTCTGTGTAATAAACAGTGTATGATTAAAAAGCAGAGTCTGGGATATATATATAAACTGTAAATGACAGTGAGCCTGAGAAGGAACCCTGTGGGACACCATACTGGATTGTTTTCATCGTAGAGGCTTTAGCTCATTGACCTGGACTGCTCCTGACTTTATTTTCAACACCATCCAGCTTCATCCTTCACCATCCTTCACCGTCTCTCTTTATCTAACTTTACCACCACTCTCTACCTTACAGACTGTGAGACGATTTTATTTTTTGAACATAAATCAATATGGTGTTTAAACCAGAAGTCAAGGTTATTCAACCTATTTTATATTCTTTATATTCTTTATTCTTTATTTAATGTTCTTTTTATATCCTATATTCTACCTATAACTGACCATCTAACACTGACTACTGTTAACTTCATCAAAGAAACTGTTGATGATGAGCATTTCTGCATGGACTTGATTTTCAAAACCAAATAAATGGAGTTGATCACAGTAAATAAACTGACAATGAAAATATCTCAAATATCTTATACAGCGTTTATCATAGACGTACAATGAAAGAGACTGGCAGTGAAGGCTAGTCTGTCAAAAATAGGCTGTACCTCCAGTCTGCAGCCACTGAGGGGCGCCGTAGTATCAACTACAGATCCCCACTGTCACAGTTGAATACACATGCAAACAGATGCTCAAAAGCTTCTTTTTTATGTTCGCAAATCTAAATTCAGAGTCAGATTAGCTGAATAAAATATCTCTAACTAATGAAAGAAACTGACATTCTTTTTGGAAATTATGGACGCTGCATCCTCCTCTCTAAAGAGTAGAGGGAGCACCTGGCTTAATCTCAGCTCCCCGTCCAAATCCAGCATCCTCGATGGTATCTTCTACATTTGTGAAGGCTCCATTAACGCTGAACAATATCTACAGGTTTAGGAGCAACATCTGCTGACATCCAGACAATGACTTTTTCAGAGAAGATCTTTATATTTTAGCAAGACAATAACAAACCACATTCTGACAACAGGGATTATAACAGCATGTAGAAGAGTCCTGGTGATATTCTGATCTGCCTACACTCCTGACTTGTCCCCCATTGAAAACATTTGGAGCATCATGACATCAAAATCAGGATAAAGGAGAACCTGAACTGTGGAGCAGCTGAAATCCTCTATTAGGCAAGAATGGGACAAGATTTGACCTTTATATTCCAAAACCTGGTCTGCTGGGTTCACTATGGTTTACAGAGGGTTGTTAAAAGAAGAGCTGAGGATACATGATGAGAAACATGAACCTGGAACTACTTTTTACAAACATGCTGCTGATATCAGATTAAAGATGAGAAGATAGATTTTCATAAAATCCTTTAAATTCTGTCTTAGATCAACATTTTATACATAACCACAAAACCACAGCATACACCACTTGATTTGTGCGCGTGCGTGTGTGTGTCCTGCAGTAAAGATGCACTCAGTGAGCTGTGTGTCCACATGGCTGCAGATTCACAATAACGCGTCTCTGCGTCTCTTTGAATGGAGGAGAATAAACTGAACATTTCTCGGTCTGCTGTCTGAATGGGAGCTAAAAATGTCTGAGAGGCGGAAAAATGAGGCTGATATTTTTAGATCATTCATTTTAATTCCTTTTAATATCTGATCTGCTGATTTAGGTTTTAATGGTTATTATTGTATGTGTAAAAATAAACTTGAAACAGAAGCAGGAGTTAAACATCCGTCAGTGTATTGACTCAAGGATTCAAAGCCAGAGTCTGTAAATATGAAAATATACAGGCCTGAGGACCAGAACATCAAATACACAAAAAAAACAGACACAAAGATAGACCAAACTCACAAACACCAGGACACAGGATGACCCAGCGCCCACTCTGCTGCCACTTTAGTGCAAACAGGATTCTTATGAGAGTCTGGGAGAGTTCAGATATATCAGGGACAAAACTGGGGGACCAATAATAATGATAATAATTATTATTATGATTACTACTATTATAATAAAAATAATAGTAATGATAATTTAAATAAAATGTAATAATAATTAATAATAATAATAATAATAACAACAACAATAATAATAATTATTATTATTATTATTTTTATTATTATTATTATTATTTTATTTTATTTTTTTATTATTATTATTATTAAAAACAGTAATATTAATAACCTAAATTAAATAATAATAATTTCTCAGTAGACCTGTACTGATGATAACGGTCTTTTAAAAAATGACATAATTTCATTTTTTAATAATAGCATAGAGTAATACACTGACTTTATTCTTTATAGTGTTTGTGGACATGTCCTAAATTGTGTAATTGACTGTGCCCACAAAATAAATCAGGCCTCGGGACCCAACAAACTTCCAAAGATGTGCTTCACTGGGACAATGTAACAGGTCTAGACCTTCAACAAAAGTTCTCAGGACTCATACTGTACCAACCAGTACAGTATCAGCCGATCTTACTTTTTATTGTCTTAGGCTGATTTGCCAGAGGCCCTCACCTCAGGCAGATATTCCCAGTGGTTTTCTAAACCACCTCCTCCTTGTTTCACAGTGAGGAGACATTCATTGGGGTTGTTGTTTTTTTTCTTTTAAACTTGAGCAGAAACGAGCTTTGACCCAGCCCAACATGTACCGTCCCCTTAATGTGTGTAAAGGTGCGAGGGCCAACTCAATGCTGCTTTAAGCTTTCATTTTCTCCTTTTATTTTCCATTCTCACGTCATACGTTCGTCTTCCATTTAATTTTGACCTTTATCTGTTTTTCTCAATGTCTGAAACCTGACTTTAATCCTTTCTGTCAGTTTGTCTTATCAATAATATTTGTAGTTATTTCTGTGATCTGAGTTTCACAGTTTCACTTTACTTCACAAATAAACTTTTTGACACTTTTGTTTTTTTACACACAAATAGCAGCTTTGGTCTTTATGATGTTTCCAGAAACAGGCTGCTGTAAGGTTGGTGTGTTACAGAAATCTCATACAGAAAGACAGCGTAACAGGTTATGTGAGGCTGATTTTTATTTCCCAGCAGGTTAATAGCTCGTCTTTCCAGACAGAGGAAAGAAACATGGAAAACTAAAATATAAAACAGCAAATATGAGGAAAAGTAAATGTTTAAAGTCAAACCCTTAGAGCTGGACTGTGTGCAGAGTCTGAGTAAGCAGTGAAAGATGGACGGAGGAAAACTAATTACACAGCAGATATGGGGGGAGAAAGGAGGGAGGGAGGGAGGGGTGACGGAGAGAGGGGGATTGATGTGTTATGCCCCGTCAGTGTTGCTGCAGTAGCAATTAGATAATAGGACTGGATCAGCAGCACACAGCCTGCTCCACACCATTAGAAAATGTGTGTGTGTGTGTGTGTGCGTGCGTGCGTGCGTGCGTGCGTGCGTGCGTGCGTGCGTGCGTGTGTGTGTGTGGGGGGGGGTCACTGTACATGGGCGCCGTCTCTGTCTCTGTCCCACCCTGCAGACCTAAGAGAAGTCAGACTCACATAAAACACACCCTGCAGACCTTTTCTCCCATTATTCCCCTTCATGCAATCATCCATATTTTAAAAATCAGTTTTTCTGTCTTTTAACCTTTTTTAACCTCTTTTCACCAAACCAGTGTTAATCAGACTTGGACTTTAGTCCAGTCAGCACTATCCCTCTTCTCTCTCAGAAACAGCCTTTTCAATATTCCCCCTGTTTTTGCACAGCTGCATTGATTTTGTGCAGACTTCTTTTCCAGTAAAAGCCCTGCATTAATCTCTTTGGGTGCACACTGCAAACATTACCCACGTTTTCCAGCCTTTGGCATCCTTATAAAAATCAAGGGATGATTCTAAAATGTTTTTTTTTTTTTTTTTTGGCCCAGCACGTCAACACCAGGGAGGTTCAGTTCAACTTCAGTCTTACATCCATGGACATCATTCGACAGGCAGAGTGGTTTTCATGGACTTTAATGACCTCCCTACCTCCCTCATATACCCTGTATATTCTTTGGTACAGGCAGGTCTGAATACAGATTTAAGAAAAGTACGCTGGTCCAGAGGAAGTCTGGGCATCTCTAGATTTGGGTCTGCTCTCCTCACACCTCTCTGACAGGTACAAGGATATCACTTTCTGACTTTCTGTTTTGTGTTTACCAAGGTCTTGTCTTAGGCCCGATGCTGTTTAGATTTCACTTACCAACTTACTACTTACCTCTTTAACTTCTTGTAGATCAGAAAGTTTGTATAATATCAAGGTTCAGTGTCTTGTTACGCAGATGATATTCAGTTATACATTCATTATTATATTTACTCAGTTAGATGAACTTTTAGAATCTAGTTAATCATCTAAAAAGTGAGCACTTGATGCCACTAATACAGCAGCATAAAATACAGAGATGATTTTTATCGGTCTTTCATGTTTTACCCAGACAATGGCGCTCAAAGAACTAGCACCTAGCATCTGGTCACATTAAAGGTTTCTGTCAATGCATTTAATGTGACCAGTTTCATGTCGAGGTGCATTTTTCCTCTAAATGTTGGGCTGCAGAGAAAGAGTAGATGGTGATATTAATTATAAAACAGGAGCATTTGTAGCTCCGACTGGATTTCCGCCCTCCACCTCTGCAGACCTGACTCTGTCCTTTTTGTTTCTGTGGCCA